AGAGTCTCTAAGTCAAATCTCGCCACAATTGCCATGAGACTTCGCAGCGATATACCAGCAAGCGTTGAGGCATAGGTCTCTAGTTCATTTGTCGGTTGGAGATCTCCTCGAACACAGATCCTCGCTTTGAACTTCTTGAGATATCCTTTGCTGCCCTTATATGTGAATACCCACTTCAATGGGATAATTCGCTGAGTGTCTTGATCAATATTGCCAAGATCAATCATTTCAAACGTGCCCATTTGCCATAGTGATCTGTTCTCAATATTCATTGCAGCAATCCATTTGTGACTGTATTGGTGTTTGATCGCTTCACTGTAATTCTTTGGAACTGGTGGAAGTGTCTTTTGGTGTGGATTGCCTAAATCATCTGCTGATGCATCCCATTGATCTCTTCCTTTTACTGTATCCGTAGATTGCAGTGTGAAGTGGGATTCTCTTGCTCTTCTCAGTCTTTGTGATGATCTTGTTGCTTCTGGTGGCTGTTGATTTGTTTGACCAAGAGGGGCTGATCGATTGTAGATGTTGTGATTTCTGCTGCCACGAGGTCTTCCCCTTCTCGCTATGTTTGGGATTACTGTGGAGGAATCTTGTGGTATGATTTCTTCTGGTTCCAATTCTATGACTGGTGTCTGTTGTAGTTCGAGTCGGTCTGTTGAGGTTTCCTCTATGGTCTCACTTTGATCCGATTGTTCTGGAGTTGGCGATACTTCTGGAGTTTCTGGAGTCTCCCTCACCCCCTCAGTTGTTTGAGAATCTGACAGCTGTACTGTTGGTGATAGAGAAGTGGGTGTAGGTAATTGAAAATCCCCTGATTCTTTCTCCTGCATCGGTGTTGCCGGTGTTGTTTCTTGAGCGGCTGGATTCGAGGCGGGTAGTGGCCCGGTAATATTATCGCTGAAATCTTCTCCATCCCAGCCAGCTGTGTCTAGGTCTTGTTCAATTGGATTTGTGAATGGGATATCCATTTCTGTGAACTGGAATTCAAGTTCCATTTGGCTTAACTTGCTGGTATCCTCAATCCTTGGATCATACAGCGTGTTTTCGTCGAAAGTAACGTCTCTAGTTCTCATGACTTTTCCTATTGCTGGGATCCAGATTCTGTAGATATTTGTGCTGTCATAACCACATAGATAGCCAATATGAGCTCTTGGCGCAGTTTTGTTTGACTTTTCTATTCCTCTCTTGTAGTTTTGTGTCAAGGGGTAAGCTCTGCAGCCATATCGCCTCAAGTGTGCTAGTTGTGGCTTTTCAGCCCTCTTGTGGGTAGACTGTTGATGAGAGTTCAGCCAAGTGTTGACCAACCCCAATGGTGTCTGCCACTTGTGGCGTCTTCGAGGCAATCTGTTTGACAGATAAACTGCTGCTTTTGCCAGCTCTGGTGCCATCAATTCAGGAAAGCGAGATTGAAATCGAAGTGCTCTCATGATCATAAACACAGCACCTCCAGCTCTTTCTGCTGGGTTTTGAGCACCAGTGTACTCAGCTGATCTTTCAATCATATATCCATTCACAGCTGCCCATAGTTCAAACGCATTGCGTAAAGCAACCTCCCAATCTAGGCGTAGAATAGAGATTTTGATAAAGCACTGTCTCTCGAGGTATGCTGCTAATTCTGTCATAGCTTGTAGTCCCTCCTTTCGAGTACGAAGAGTTCTTATCCAGAAGAACCCTGACCAGCCATCGCTGACCAGCAGGATCACCTTCTCCCCATTGTATGCTTTGCTAAGTGTAAAGAAGTCGAGAGATAGATAATCTCCTACAGCAGTTGGCCAATGGTCTGGGTTTCTGCGGGAAATTTGGCGAGTTGCCTTCCCAACAGCACAGGCATCACATTCCACTTTTGTGATTCCTTTTATCTGTATCCCAAGAGCTGTTTTAAGTAGCTGTTCCAGTCCCTCAGCGCCTGGATGACCAAGTCTCTCATGCCACAACTTGGCTTCTGCTGATGATGTTGGGAGTGGTTGTCTTGTTGACTGAAAACCTTTGGTTGGTTTCCTTTCTACGGTTGGGCTGAATCTCACAGTCTTCTCGGTATTGCTGAACGAGGTATTGTTCAGCAGAGCTGGGCCAGCTTCAATAATGTATTGACCATATCGGTTTGGTGTTTTGAATAGAAGTCTGCCTTTTGAGTCGATAAGACCCGGTATTCCTGTTGTAAAGATGATCCCTTTTTGCTTCAGCGGTTCTGTCCCAAGGAGCGATGTTGGGTATCCAGGCACAAGCCATACATTTCTGACTTTGATCTCCTTGTTGTTGGATTTGCCGCCTTGGTTTGGTTTGATGATCATTGTGCCTTTCGCAATTGCATGTACATCTCCTCCTCCAGTGGTGAAGTCTTTTGTGACTGTGTAGTCGAGATCATGAAGTCTTGAGGAGTCGTTGCAGATGTGGAATCCTGTTCCTGAGTCTACTATCACACTGTCTGACAGTAGGAATCCTGAATAGAGACTTGCTTCTCCTTGATTGACGATAGTGACGAAAGATGAGAGTGATCCTTCTCCATCAGACACTTCTTGAGTATAGTGGGATGATGATTGTGTAGTATTTCTCCAGTTTGAGGAAGATGTTGCTCGATCTGGGGACTTTTGAGACTGCTGATCGCTTGCCCCTTTTCGTAGTTTTTCAACTATTCTCTTTAAGTGTGGTTTCTTCTGGAGATACTCATTCAATCTTTCCAGTGCTTTCTTATTTTCTGGATTATCTTCATGATAGTTTGGGCCTCGCTTCTTAGGGTTGGCATGTTTGCAATCAACAAATCGGTGACTTTCGTTTGGGCAAGCTGCACACTTTTGCTCTCGTTTTGCCCCCTGTTTTATTCCTTGTTCGTTTTCTCCTTGCCAAGTAGCGAAACTCGTGTCTTTTAATGGAGCAGCATTCAACCAGTCTGGGTGGAAAGTTCTCACCCAACTGCGGAAATCGTTAGCTTGCTCAATTCCAGCAGTCTTGCTGATCGAACTGTAGGTTGGGTCATCCTTGTATCGCTTTGTGAAGTCGTAAGAGGCAGATGTGTAGTAATCTGGTGCAATTTGCTTGACTGCTTTCAAGAACTCAGAGACTTGAGTAACTGGATCGCTGAGAGCAGGGATTCCGATTGTTTGGGCTTCATCCATGATTTCTCGATAGATTATGAGCCATCCTCCAAGTTTTGCTCTTTTGATTGATAGCATATGCTTGTTATATCTTTCCAATACCATTTGTTGTCTCCCAAAGTTGTCTGGCGCTAGCTGTTTTTCAAGAGCTTTTATGATATCCCTGACTGTTTGCTCCTTGCTGACTTGGCTGATATAAGTGGCTGCTACAGTGTTCATGATCCAACTATGAATTTCTAGAAGACTTCGCCGAACCTGGTTGTATTGGTCTTTTTCTTCTTGATAGATAGCTTTTCCATAGCTGATAACGTTGCTATAGTTTGCTCGTTCTTCTTGTCTGAGGTCTTTTGGGTCTGGGAATTCCAATCTTGGCTTAGTATTAATCTTGGTTCCTTTTGGATTCACATAGTCCCAGACTTCATGAACGTTTGCCAGCATCTGTAAGTTGTTGAACCAGTGGTTCCAGTCGCTGTCAGTCTGTAGCCGCTGTGTGTATTTTGCAGTTTCCGTAGTTGAATTCATGATCTCTCTTGAAAAGAGAACTGGTCTCTCTCTTCTGATCGTTGTGCAGTTGGTTTTTCGCCGTGGCCAAGATTGAGTTCGTGACTAGACACTTCTTGTTTCAAGTTGGTGATTTTGTCGATTGTTGCCTAGAGGTTTGAGGGTATATAGCCAATCTCAACGCCTCAATTCTCAACAAAACGCAAGACGCCCCCCCTGTCTAATGAACCTGCCGTTTAGTGTAGTTGGTCTAGCCACCCAACTTGTAGCTATTCGCAAGGACCGTAAGACTGGCAAGCTCCCCTTCGTGGGTTCAATTCAGGGTTGTGGAGTTTTCGCAATTTGTAAAAAGTCTTATCGGTTCCGTTACACGAAGACTATAAAGTGAACCACCTGTTCGTCTTATCTGCCCGAAGCTTTCAGAGGCATAAAATGAGCAACTAGGTGTCTCTTCCGTTTCGTAATTCCAACCCTCCTGGCTGCGTATCAGTGGTATGGTCGAGCATGAACTTATATAAGGTTCAAGTTAAGAGTCCTGGGTTCAACTCCTCAGATGTGGTAAGTCCCCCTGAGTTGAGATGAACTTTTTGTGATTTTTTGATAAGTGTTGATGATATGAATTGATGACCAGAAGTTCTTTTGTGATTGAATGTTTCAACACTTCAACGTTCAGCCTTGTGTGATTGGAATTGATGTTTTGTTTGGTGGACTTGACTGCCAAAGTCTCATGGGTCGGTAACTTCGTCAATTGAGTGCCCTTGTCTATGGCATAAGTCTGAACTGCTCCCTTCTGGAAGTCGGTTTTTCAATTGGTAATTGTCACCATGAGGTACTGGGCTCATAACTGTCACGCAGTCAATTTGCCCACCACTTATGGGGTAAAAAAAGATGCTTCCATTCATTAGAGACTGTCTAGGGGTTATTGGGTTGATTATATAACCGTCTATTCGGTAATTACCGATTTGAAGGTTTTCATGCACAAAATGACATCCCCGTTAGTTTTATATGGGAAACAATAGCCGGGTGCATGGGTTGAATGCATGCCCCGATATATGCAGTGGTCCGTGTGACACTTTGCCTGTATTTCCTTGCTCGGGTATGGGGCCAATCTCCACTCGGCGTCCCTTTCTCTCACTCATAACCTGCGACCTTAAATGAAGTCATTGCGAATCCTTCGCGTGGTTTAGGATAGAGACCCTCTTTGTTGTTTACGTGCAGTTGGCCGCCAACCCAAACGCAGCCCTACCGGATAGGTACAGTCGCCGACGCCCAAGGACCGAAGCACTCGCAGGCATTGCCAGGAACTGCTGCAGACGACGGGTTAGGCTACGCCCTTTTCGTTTCACTCTCAATTCACATCAGGATACCACCTCGGTGCCTGCCAGCTTCTATTCTTCTGTCAAATCAATGCCCGCTATGGCCCCGGACTGGAAGTTGCTATATCTCTATGGAGGTGACAGGTTAGTGCGTGGCCCAGACACAGTACTTGACAGGACGGGTCGAGAACCTCTATGTCGTGAGTCCGAGGTAGACATAGGTCACACGGTTAACTGGTTGTCTTTCGCAGCCCTTGGGATTCGAGTCTCTGGACCGACTCCGACGACCGGGTTCGAGGAGGTAAGAGCCAGTCTCATTTGCACTGCGAGTCGCCAGAAAAAGCACAATTCTTTGGTCACTTGGACATTACTACCCTGGGAGGGGCCGGTTTTGCATCCCAGAGAACTGTCGGCACGCTTCGTTTGGACCTGAGGCAGTATGACGGTCTCGTCCTCAAGGTACTTAAAAGCGACTCGAAGAAGTACACACTCACCCTAAAGGACGAAATTCTTCCCCCGAGGGAGGATGGTCGTGACCAGAGCACCATCAGCTGGGAGTATGATTTTATCTCTGAAGCTGGGGAAGTGACCATCCTCTGGGACAACTTCAAGCCCACCTACAGAGGCAAACCTAAGCCGGACGCCAAGCCCCTGGATTTATCCAATATTAAGAGGATCAGTTTCATGATGCGAAGGTAAGATATCTGTCTCCTATAAGCGGCCCATGGGAAACTCATCGACTTTATTGCAGCTTCTTTGGAGAGCAACAGGGAGACTTCAACTTAACCATTGCCCACTTGGCCGCCATCAGTAACAGACCCACATCTTCGGGATCTGAGGTATCAATTAAGAAGGATTATGCCACTGGACATACAGTTGCACCTATCCCAGTTGTCCGGTCATCTTGGTTCGGTTGGATTTGCGGGTTGGGCAGACGATAACTGACGTCCCACGAAGACAATATGTTGGACACATCTAAGCAGGCTGTTTTCACACATAATTGAGGTCTACTAGTGTATTTGCCCGGGAAAAAAGATACTCAATCGACGCCATCAAGCCAAGCATTTGGATTGATATCTCACAGACTATCCAGATGCTTCACACAATCTGACCCAGAACCTTGATCAAGTCACCCGTGACACCCATAGCCGTCACATCACCGCCAGCACCAGCGCCCTGGACGATGAGGGGGTTGCTACCATAACGCTCGGTGTAGAAACTAATGATGTTGTCACTGCCCTTGAGTGCCGCGATGGGGTGAGAAGCGTCAAATTGTTCCAAGCCAACCTTGACCTGCTTGGAAGCTACGTCGATACTGCCAACGAAACGCACCACCTTGCCTTGTTTCTCTGCAGAAGCCTTGGTCTCCTCCATTTGACTGTCAAAATCGGGGAGCCTCTGCAAAAACTCGTCTCCGCTGGAGCAAGACTCCAGTTCCTTGGGGATCAGACTCTGGACGGGGAACGACGTCGGCGACTCCACCGGCAACCCGGCCAACCTGGCCAAAATTGTAAGCTTTCGCGCCACATCGAGGCCGTTTAGATCATCTCTTGGATCCGGTTCCGTATAACCTAGTTCCTTAGCCTTAGCTACCTCGGAAGACCACTTGCCTCCGGAGCCCGATACCGGAGCAAACGAGTTGAAGAGGAAAGACATAGTGCCGCTGAAGACTCCTTCAATTTTCGTGATACGATCGCCCGTCTCAACAAGGTCTTTCAGTGTTGAAATAACGGGCAAGCCCGCGCCGACAGATGACTCATGGTAGACTTTGGCGCCGGATGCTGAGGCAGAAGCAAAGATGTCCTGCCACAGCTTGTAGGAGCCTGAGAAGGCCTTCTTGTTAGGGGTCACAACACTGATACCACGGCCCAAAAAGACAGGATAAGCATCAGCAACATCTTGAGAGCTAGTGTTGTCGACCAAAATGACCTTGGCAGGGGCACCAGCGAGGTAGTCGGCAAGCTGGGGGAGAGCTGGGGGAGCTTGCGAGGCCGCAGAGAGCTTCTCGAGGACACCGGCGATAGGGATGTTGGAATAGTTGGAGTCGTACAATGCTTTCTTGCTGGTTGAGATGTAGCAGAGGCTTAGTCCTGGGGAGGATCGCCGAGTAGCCAAAGCCTCGAGTTGGGAGAGAAAGCACTTCCCAACCCCGCCAGCGCCTATACCCCGCGTAAGGGAAGTTAGCATGCTACATGATTCACACAACGAATGAGCGAAGGGCGTAAGGGAAAACAAGCTGGGCTATTCCTACCAATGATGGCAACAAATACTTGCTTGGATGATGCCATAATGAGTTCTTCAAAATATTGTTTGGTATTCAGCCGATGGGGTTATTGAAACGTTGGCTTTAGTTTGCGTAATGGAACGTAATGGGCAGTAGCGAGACGATGGCACTTAATTTCAATACCCCTCCGACCGCGGGGCAGCTGTGGTGGGGCGAACTCAAGGGTTCGATGTCCCCTCACCTCGGTGGCCACCGACATCACACCGTCAACCCTTTTCGGCTGGACAACGCTCGGCATTCAGCAACTTCCGTAGCCGAGCTTGACCCCTTCCGACCCCCAAACATCGTGGCGTCATCCATTGAGGATGTCACATAGAGTCGGGATTCGAAAATCCTGACTTGTTCTTCTTCTCGTTAAAAATCAAAAAAAAATCAAAAATAAAAACAAAAAACAACAACAACAGTGCGCACAATGGCACTCCTGCAATCACTACTTCACTTTACCAATTTTAAGAATCCCTTGCTGCGAACGCTGGTACCTTCCGTCTCTACCGCCTATGCAATACAACTGGTTTTTGCCGTCCCCTCAATCATTGCCCAGAATGAACACTTTTATGACTTCTCTGGATCTTTGACCTTCCTGTCGGTCACCGCTCTGAGCCTCTACCTACCATCTCTTCGTGCCAAGTACTCGTCCACGACTACGAATGCCTCAGCCGTACTTCCCAGCCTGCTAGCGCCCTTCGTCAACCCTAGCGGCGCAGGAGCTCTGAACTGGAGACAAGTCATGCTCAGTGGTGCTGTTATGTTCTGGGCCGTTAGACGTAAGTTTGGCCGTCCTTCTGGCATGAATCCAGTGAGCTGGGTACTGGCTAACATGATTCCTGGTGGAAAGTGGGATCCTATCTCTTCCAGCGCATCCTGCAAGAGGGCAAAGATTCGCGCTTCGATGAAATAAAAAAGTCGCCAACTAGGTTTGCGGTAGCCTTTTTCGCCCAGGCGACCTGGGTTTCTCTGTGTCTACTTCCTGTCATCACCCTAAACTCTGTACCTGGAGTGGCGTTTGCCGCTCTGCCCTCGATCAAGGCCTCTGATGTTCTCGGCTTGCTCGCCTACTTTGGTGGGTTTGCATTCGAAATCACAGCTGACCGGCAAAAGAGTAAATGGTTACGCGAAAGACGAGAGAAGGCTCACGATGAGCAGTTTATGACCCGAGGACTCTGGAGCGTCAGGTACGTTTTCGATGCGTGGGTGAGTGTGTGATCTGAAGACAGACTGACAGTATGCCAGCCAATATCCCAACTACTTTGGAGAGATTTCCCTCTGGGCCGGTATTGCTACCGCTGCTGCCGGCGTCCTGGTAACACGGCCAATCCAGACGGCTCTCGGTCTATCTGGTGGCGTTGCTGGGCCACTGCTCACCACGGCCATGTCCTATGTGAGCCCTGCCTTTGTTTCTCTTCTTTTGCTCAAAGTTTCGGGTGTGCCAATGAGCGAAAGCAAATACGACAAACGCTATGGTGACCGCAAGGATTATCAAGAGTGGAAGAAGAACACGCCCAAACTGGTCCCCAAGATATTTTAGGCATTCAACAGATCGGTAAAAGGAGGTGAGGCCATGGCTTCAAAAACAGATCATTTTGTACACCACAGTAATGTCCAGTTTGCTCGGTGCATATCTTAGTCCAGACCGACCAACCTTGGTGGTCGTTGAGCAATCCTCAATACCCTTTCCTGTCTCCTTTATGCTACGTAGTCACCCTCGTAATAGCCTGGAGCCCATAGCGCCGCCAATGGGAATCAACCACCCGTTAAATTAACAAGTCATATAATACGCCGTTTTCATGCGCGTGTCGTGAGATATTGGTGATGTATAGGATGATGATACGATTCCAACAATTTACTGATGGAACTTCTTCACCTTTTCAACCTCATCATAACTACCCATAAAGATGCCGGCTCTGTCATGGATGTGCTCAGGCACAACCTCGAGCATTCTCCTCATTTTGCTGTCGACAGCCTGGCCACCGGCTGTGAAAATAGTTAACATTCTGCAACAGAAGACAACGGCGGTCTTTGTACTAACCGTTCTCAAACACCAGCGCCATGGGGGCACACTCGTAAAGGATACGAAGCTTGCCCTTGGGACTCTTCTTATCAGCAGGGTATGCGAAGACACCTCCATATAGCAGGGTGCGGTAAGCATCAGCCACCATGCTACCAATGTAACGGGCACTGTAGGGCTTGCCGTTCTCCTGTGGGGTCTTCAAAGAGTTGAAGTAGTTGTTGGTGCTGTCCTCCCAGTACAGAGAGTTACCCTCATTGACCGAGTAAATGGCACGGGCCTTAGGCAGCCTCATGTCGGGGTGGGTAAGAATGAACTCGCCGACACCATTGTCGAGGGTGAAACCATTAACGCTGCCCCCCCTCATGGTGATGACGAGCTGGGCCGAGGCTCCGTACATGGTGAAGCCGGCGGCTAGGAGCTCAGAACCGGGCTTCAGAATATCCTCCCTGGTGCCGGTGGAGCCTTCCTCCAGCTTGTGAATTCCAAAGATGGTACCAACGGATACACCGGCATCAAGGTTGGAGGAACCGTCAATGGGGTCACAAGCCACAGCGTAGCGGGCTCCAGTGTTATCGTTGAAGAAGATGATGTCCTCCTCCTCCTCCGAGACCAACAAGGCGCACTTGCCGGACGACCTCATGGCCTCGATGAAAAGATCGTTAGAGATGACATCAAGCTTCTTCTGGTCATCTCCGGTTGTGTTGGACGAGCCAGCCAGACCCGTCAGGTTGACCAAGGTCGCTCGACGGATGTAATAGGCGATTGACTTGAAGGAAAATTGCAAAGCGTGGCACAAAAGACTACGAGGTTAGCTAGACACAGTTTTGGGGACGAAGGGACGAGTGACGCCTACGTAAAATCTCCCGTGGCTTCCTTATGCTTTGCCTGCTCTTCGGTCAGGAAACGGGTAAGGGTGACAATGTTGGTGTTGATCTTCTCGGTCTCCTGACCGGTACCGTTCGTTGTGTAAGCCGACATATTGACTATGGCAACAGTATGCGCAAGACAGTAGAAAGAGGTGGGGGGGGGGGGGGGGGGGGAATCTGTGGTGGTAAAGATAGAGAAGAGGGAAACTGAATGGATGTTGAGCGAGGAGGGCCGATTGAGGCTTGTGATGGCGGGGTTCAAGATGGCGCTTTCACACAAAGAAAGGCGGGCGCACTGACACAATGTAGTCGGGTTAAAGCCGAGGATAGGAAGAATGAAAGGAAGGGGATGTTGACGTAGATAAAGGTGACAAAATAAAAAGAGGAGTATGAAGAAAGCTTCTGGATAGGATGAAAAAGCGGGCAATTGGAGGAAATGGATCGTGTTTGTAAGTCCGGGCCTGGAACGATACACCAGACAGCGTTGCCGGAAGCTCTCGTCTTCAGAGCTCAATGCCCCTCAGTTCGGCATATGGTTATCGCAGGGCTACGTCCTATTATCGCGCGCCATCCCGAGTCACGACGATTAAGTGGAGTCAACCGCAAGCACCTCCGGCCGAGGGGAACCCGAGACATGGGGACAAGGACACAAAAAGCACAAGGCACGAGACGCCCCTCGAGGATTTCTCGGAAACCTTCGGCGCGGTGTGCAGCGAGGACGTCGGCCAGTCCCTCACTGGTAAGGCCTACCTTGAGATAGGTGAGTTAAGGTACTGAAATTGCGGGCACTGGCAGGGCTGCCCGTGGCAGCGAGGGGGAGGGGCTGGACAAGAAATCCAGGGTAAACGTGGAAGGCCAGAGGAGACAGGACAAGCTGACATCATGTGGTGCGACTGGATAAAGATATTTGAGCCCTCGAAAGTATCAGACTTCTTGCCTACATCAATCAGTTCCGGATGCTCCATCATTGGCTTCTTTGTTTGCTGGTAATGCAGCAAATATCCTTCGCTGCCTTCCTCATTTTGCATAGTATTTGTAGGTAGTATCAGCGGTATAACTATGACTGAGCTGGCATGGCGTGGGGCACCTGAGGATAACATCCTTCTTATTTCTGGTCACAGCCAACAGAGGCGAAAATCATGGTCGCTTGCAATTTTAGATCATGCCGCCACCATGGTGGATGCTACGGGCTGTTGACGGAGAGAGACCCTCAATTGCCCATTTCTTCCGGTTTGTTGGCTTGTCATTAAGGACCCCGCACACACACTGCCTATCTCCATCACTATGCGGTAGATGGTGTTGGTTTATACAGGAGCTTTCAAATCGGGGAAAATATTGACAATGGCCCCAGCCATTGCTGGAAGGCCGATGCCGATGAATACTATGGCGTATGTAATATGCATTACCTGCCATAATTGTGTAGTAATAATATCCGTTTAGAGGTGGAGGGAGGGTGATGAGACCTTTCGCCGTTCTGCTGACGTCCTGGGCCAATCCTAATCTCCCCAGTTCCTCAAACCCCACACACTAATGAAGGCTTAGATAAGCCTGTCCTCACGTGCTCATCTCTCTTCCATTGCGCGTCCGAAGGCTCTATTATGGTAAGCACCCGCGGCAGCATCCCCAGAACCTCCCGTGGCCACGTTGGGTCTTGTCGCTGATGTCTCGGGTTCGCTGGCGGACCTCGGCATGTGGCAGCACCACACGTTTTCCAGCCGGGGCTTGCCCAATGCTTGAATAAATCGACCCCCATCCTTCAACAACTCCCCTGTGACGCCAGCGACATTTTCCGTAACCTGGAACTACAGCCTCTGTTACAATTCTGTTGTTCTCCATCAAAACAACCCCATCATTTTATTTGCCTGCTTCCCAAACTACCAACCGCAAAGTCGAGACATACCATTTCATCTTAAAAATGGTCGCAGACGCCCTTGTTTACCACCCCTCGGTGGCCCACTATCTCAAGTTTGTCGCCACAACCGTCGGTCGCGATAAGCTCCTCCGCACCCTTCAGTACTTTGCCCGCTTCTATGCTTGGTACCTTTTCCGTACCAATGGCTCCAAGGCCGAAATTGCCCCTTGGGATGCCATGAAGAAACAGTTCGGTGTCACACGCAAGATCATGCGCGTAGGCAAGAATGTCGAGCACTTCAAAGCCGCCGCCGTCGCCTCTGATGCCAAAACCATGGATCCCGTCCTGCGCTACGCCTCTGTGGGCCGCCAGCTGGGCTACGCTGGCTACCTGACATTTGATGCCGCTACTGTGCTGGACTCTACGGGCATCAAGAAGTGGGAAGGCGCCAAGAAATTGCAGAAGGAGGCCTACCGCTTCTGGGCCATTGGTTTGATCTGCAGTGTCATTGCTCAAACCTATACCTTGTACCGCCTCCAGCAACGCGAGGCTAGGGTTGACAAGAAGGAGGGAGAAGGTGTCGTCGAGGCTAAGAGAATAGCTATGTGAGTTTTATCATCGTGTTACCATTCACTGTCGCACGAGAAGCCATTAACATAATCACACAGTGAACGCGCCGCCAGCCGCCTCCAGCTTGTCTCCGACCTTTGCGATTTGACTGTACCTACATCTGCCCTTGCTTGGGTGGGCTTCGACGACGGCATCGTCGGTCTCGCCGGTACATTGAGCAGTTTGATTGGCGTGTATACCCAATGGAAGAAGACGGCATGATCACTCTGGAGACAATCCTAAATGTGCATCCTTGTGTGGTTGTGATGAATGCTTGTTAATTGGCCGACAGAAAGTTTCGGTGTGTAATCTGAATGTTTGGTGCTGGACAATATGCTTTGATCTGGGGGCGTTCCGGGTTTATCCAGCCAAGGTTAAAGGCACAATTGCCATAACGGGCGGATCTAGGTAGACAAATTGCTAGCCATTTCCCGCAGTCGACGCTGGCGCGATAGTCAACTATATTATTCAGGATGATTCAAATGCCTAAGTAAAACACGGTATTCCTTTCACGAACTTGGTCAACGCATACGCCACACAACTGTGGTAAGATTGACGCGGTGACGAAATCCAGCAGGTTCCATTTACAAGTCATGTTCACACATCAAAGACGTCGTTTTGTTCTGAGTGACATTCATGCGTGTAGTCGTACATTATAATCGAGCACTCAGTATTCTTCTCCCTTTTTAACATGCGAAAACCCATGTATTCGCTTTCGTATTTCCATTCCGTAAAATAATCCGAAACAGGCCCATTGTCTTCTTATGCCTGCAATCTCATACCGACTTATACCAAGGCAACCTGCAGGCGCAGTGCCTAGGTCCTTCACTTCGTCTTCATGATAAGCGATACACTGCGAGCGAAGGATCTGCTCCGGGGGGAGCATGATAGCGTCATGGCGCTTCCAGAATCTATTTAGAGTCAAGGACAGCCCCTATGAGGCAAGCATTTGAGCAAAAGGTGAGTTACCAGTAGCGGCCACCACGGTCATACTCGCGCGGGTACCCATCACGAGGGTATGCTCCATCTCGGGGAGGAAAGTCTCTTGGAGGTCGGTCATACGGTCTGCCGTTGGCATATGGGTCGGGAGGCGGAGGGTAGTCACGACGGTACGGGTCGTCGTAGCGGCGCGGAGGCGGATAGTCGTCCATGGGTCGGCGAGGGGGCGATCGGTAGCGGGCACGCTCATCGTAATACTCGCGACGAGGACTGCGCTCACGATATCCCTCACGGTATCCATCTCTACGGGGGCTGTATCCTCGCGGGGGGCCACGACGATCATATTCATCCATGGGAGGCGGATAAGGTCGGCGTCCTCCTGGCGACCGCGAGCGTGCACCACGGGGGTCACGAGATGGGACATCCGGCTGAGTCTGGCTTTGTGTAAGCTTATCCGTCCGTCATGTCTCTTCATTCCAACTTGCAACTCACGTCAGCTACGCAATTGACACGATTTCCCTTGAATTCACGTCCATCGAGCTTCTCAACTGCTGTTCTGAGATCCGCTGCGGTCTCGAATTCCACAAAGCTGAGACAATGATTAGCCATCGGACTGGAGGTATCGAAATCGTGTCTCTCTTACCCCCGTCCATTGCCGTCACGGCCCGTTTCAGAATAGACGACATCAAGGCTCGATTGACGGGCAAAATCTTTGAGGTCCTAAATCCAGAATCCATGTAAGTTGGTGTCCAGGAGCGGTAGGATGGGCCGATAGTGGTTGCAAATCCGGATGTCAACGACCGTACAGCATCCAGTCCATGGGAATGGAGCCAAAGGCCAGGAGTCCAGCTCAAGAGATTTCATCGCTACTCTGGCAGGTCCGGGCCGGTTCATAGAAACGGCACCAACGTGGTGGAGCACGATCCATTAAGAGTAGCAAGATCCGGACCAGTCGAAAGACCACGGGCTGTGTAGGAATGCTTGGGAAATCGCCATAGAGCGTGCCAGGAAATCCATCTCAAGAGTAAAGGGATGGTCCAAACGCGCCTAGTGCCGGCGAGAGGGAAATCCAGAAGATCCAGCTTGAGAAATTGGGGAGAGATTCAACAGACCTGCCAACTGGTATCGGTGGGTAGTCCCGTAATCTGCATCCGGTGAGGAGTGCGACGAGGCCTTGGGGGAGCGCGCTCATTGTTGAAACCGCCACCGTTGCCACCTTCTCGATGCCGGGTACCGCGCGCGAATTGTACGGTGAGGCGTTCGCCCATGAAGTCGGACCCATCTATTATTGTTTCGCTGTGGTTAGCGGACCGAGCCGGACTGGTAAGCATGAGTGCAGGACAGCGCGTGGAGACGTACGAAAAGCTGAGCACGCGAGAAAATTAGCCAGAGGTAAAGTAACAAGCTGTGCACGACAAAAGCAATGATATGCGCATACCTGGAACGACATCACGGGCATCCATAGCATCTTTATATTCGATGAAACCAAATCCGTTCATGAGCTTGATTTCGGTGATTTCGCCGGTACCATGGGTCGCGAAATGAGCCTCGACATCAGCCTTGGTAGCTACCAAGGTGTAGCGCGCTGGTCAGCAGTTTACAAGGAAGGCGTCATGTTGTACGACGAGACTTACCATTCCGCGGGAGGTTTCCCAGGTACAACCTGGTGGACGATACCTCAGTCATGACAACTAATTGGATTCCCTTTAAAAATTAATGGAGGCTGTGGGAAAGGGATAGGTTGCCGCGATGGTCCAGCCTGGTGAAAGATTGTAAATACGAAGAGAGATAATGTCGGATTCGGGGGCGAGGTCCTAATGCCTCCTAGAGGATGGTTGAGAAAGGAAGGTATCGAGAATGATCAAAGTCGAAGAAGCCGACGAAGGACGAGACCGCTGGAATATCCAAGCGACAACCAGCGAATGGTCGCAACAGTGAGTAACAACAATAACAATCACTCGCCCAGGTGTCGCCTGTGTGCGAGAGAGGGGAAAGAAAACGGAAACGCGAAGAGATCGGTGCGCTCGAAGGGACAGGTTTTTGAGGAGGAGGGTTGGGATGTCGACGTTACACCGGCCGATCGGCTGCGATTGGACGGTGCAAGATGTGGTGTTGAGCGACTTTGCAAAAGGAGATAGTACTTTGAAAGATATGGTGAAAGGTGGAGAGCAAGGTGCAATAAGGTGAGGTGGTGGTGGGAGCTACTGGAGGACGTAAGGCAAGGTATTTGACGGTCCCTGGCATCTGTATGTATGTACTTGGCTTACCTACTCTAATGAGATGCCCATTTAGGCAAGGTTGACGAGACGGAAAGAGGCACTACAAATATCCAGTCAGGCAGGTACCTTAGCTGCCTTACCTCGCTACCTGAGGAACTTGGTTCCCTGCCCGCGACAAGGGTGGACAACAATTGAGGCAGGAGGGTGGAGCGACATGGTATAGGCTGAAGAGGGAGAGGAGTGAGGAGTAGGCGCCCAAGGCGCTACACCAAGAGGAAGGAGGCACCATCTGGAGAACATCCGCCCGCGGGCAGGCAGCCTGAGTCAACCAATAACAGAGCACTATATCCTGAAAGTGTAAGGTTCCATCACAGCTACCTCCCCAGGGGCACTCAGCGCCCAGGGGCGTCGTACTGTGCTAGGCAGGCTTGAGAAACAGGGGAGAAACTGCCAACCTGGCGTTGATCTTGGTTACGCTTCGTGTTTGAACGAAGAAATAGACATTGCCTACCTGCCAGAGGTCTGCCAGTGCACCCAGACAAAAGGAAATGTAGAATGGGTTCTGTTGCGGTGAGCTGCCTCCGCTAAGCAACCAGCACCAAGTCGAGACTTGAACGTCCATCCGATGACCATTTTCTCACCATGGGGAACTTCTTATCGCTCATTTTCGTCAGCTAATGCAATCTATTAAGTTGCCATGCGACTGACCAAAACAAAATCAGAGAAAATAGGAACGCAAGTCAGCAAGCTGCTTAGACAGAGGGGGAGGCTGACTCCACTTAGAAATGCCATAGCATCCTGCGACTACAGTTGCTGAATTAGTACAGGCTTCGGGCAGTGCGCAACAGAAACCATCAATTCCACAGTTATAAGGCCGCAAAGATTTACGGCACGACAGCCTCTCGGATCTCGGTTGCTCTCGTTGCATCGCGATCAGACTATTTCTTGCTCCCAATGTAACTACGCAGGTACCAATAGGACTGCCAGGTTTTACTTTGCCTGATCAGATTTGACCGGTTTCCCATTACCTCATTGGGATTTGATGCCCATGACTTTCCGAATTCGAAACTGGCAGACCAGGCCCTGCCCCCTTTCAATGACCTAGTCTGTAACAGGGGGGCACTTCCCTTACCGTTGCACATAAGCGACTCTATTCTGACAGTTATCCTCGCTGGTGCTGACCCGCATGATTGTACATTCGTGTGATAGTATTATTCTCTCAAGAAATTGCGTTCCAACCTAACGTTTCATCTACTCGTGAAATATCCACTACCATAACTTCTATCATGTAATTGAACTCTGCCTTTCCAACTATTAATTGGACTTCAGCACTGTCATTGCTACAGAGACCGTGCCATCCGTCGGTCATAAGCTGTGCTGAACCAGAAATCAAAATTCAGTGTCTGCTTATATGCGGCATCATTATTGTCCTCAACACGAACAGGCATGTGGATAGGCGTGTTCTTGAAAGCCGCCGTTCCATACCCATCACTTATAAAGACTTAAAGGTGACACGTTATTCTTGATTCCGCTGGAGAAAGGCAAGGGATTACTTGGACGTAAGTGCCGTCAACCAAACAAGATTTCCACCAACTCATCAATGAACGTAAATGCTAGGTGCGCACTGCCGAATATGTTAGCTTCCTTGAACGCGCAACTTCAATGCAAACAATCACCCACTTAAGTCTCGAGTTGTTAAAGGTTGCGAAAACGCGACGACTGGCTGCCTGAGCATTCACTCGGCCAACCACGCTGCCTGCCAGGTCTGGCACGAGAGTTGCCAACATCAAACTAGCTTCCGTACGTGTCTTCTTCTTCTCCGATGCTGTCCTGGGCTGTTTGTTCTTGTTCATTTGCCCGCCAGGCCACATACTGTCCCGAAGAAGAGCAATGTACTTCAAAATCGCATCTTCTTGAACTAGCATTTTGACATTGTCTCGGACTTTACGTTCAATGGTGCCGCCCAAGAGTTGCTGGAGAACCACAACTACTGCTCTTCCACGCAGCCAGTTGTTGCCTCGATTGAGCTCGAAAACTTCTAAGAAGATGTCACAAATAGGCTTAATAAAAGACTCAAGTTCCTTATTCTCAAAGGCATTGAGCTCAGCCTCAGCCTCGGCAGCATTGACTCCGTCTTCATTGACGGGGAGTGGCATGGAATTCAGCTGATTGGTGGCTGCCGCAATCAGGTTCTGGCCAGCAAGTGAAAGTTGGTCCAAGACTGGGATATTACCGAGAATGTCTTCTACGCCGTCCGTAACAGAATCGTATAGCCGCGTGATCATGTCCTTCTTGTCCTCACGATCCACTAGGTCTTGGCCTTGAGCAATCACACTCTGTGACAAGAATGCTCGAAGGTCTCGACTGCGGCACACTTCAGGCAGCATTAACAGCTCACGTAGATACTGCTCGAGCGCAGCACGTCGCTTGCGCAGAAATTCGCTTTGAAACTTCATGACCATTCGTCTCCTAGGAAAATCAAGGTTGCGAACAGAAGGATACCTTGAACGAAGTTTTTGATGTAATTCGTGGAATTCGCTGTACCGGCGAGTGATGATCCATGTGGCTGCTGGCATTTTCTCTCCAGCATCTCTCTGAACTTCAATCACATATAAAGCAAACTCTCTGCCGTCATCCTCACGGCCTACCTGGATGGCTTTGATCTTGATTGTGGAGCGACCGTATAGGCTGTTGTCGCTCTCTTGCACGACGTATTGCTGCCTTTGCAACTCTTTGCGACGAATTTCGCGCTGAAGGCTTGCCTTGGATTTCCGAAGTATCCGAAGTTCGGCTGTATTGTTGGTGAGTACGGCCTTCTTCGTAAGCGAGTCGACGACAGCATCTTGTGCAACGAGACGGTCAATATCATTGGACAGCGCTGTAATGGCTTCTGCCAAGCCGAGATCGCCAGGCGCAGCTTCATGGACCTCGTCCTCCACATCACCCTTATTCAATTCTCCATTTTCGTCTTGTTCGTCCGAAAGGTACTTATCCTCGTCACCAAACAAATCATCGTCGATAAATACGCCAATGCGAGAAGCGGCGCTTACGAGGCCTAGAGATGACAAGCTTGGCTTCTCGACCTCCTTGGATGACTGTGCAGGTCTTGCCACCTCGAGCGACCCTCGCTGAGAATCGTTATCTCCAGAGAATAGACTTGATCCTGCATCATCTGCCCCAAAGAGTGACGCTCGAAACTCTGCAGCCGTTTGAGGTCTATTGTCTTCCATAATGTTATTTAGAGCCTCTTCCATGGCCTGCACAACATTCGTATCGGGGACAGGGCTGCCGACATCTTGATCGAGACTTTGAACCGAATCCATCATTGCATCAGGTTCAAGGTCGTCATCATCAAATAGAGGGTTTGGGGACTCATCATCCAAGGAGTGCCGCTGTGCCATCGTCGAATCGAGACCGTTGCCGTGAACGTTGAGACTTCCTAGATCCGACGTAGACCCAGCACGCTTTGCCATAGGACGTGGTGGTCTTGGTGCTAACCTGCTCACCGCGTTGGGTCTGGGCTGGTACGTCTGAGAACTTCGGCTTATGGACGGGTGGGCTTGTAATGATGATGACTCTATGACAGATATTGGAACAGCAGCTGTCGATGCCTCCTGTGCTGCTAAACATTTGTAAAAAAGATCGGACTTTTTGAAGGACTGGAAGTACTGTGCTTGCATTCTTTCCAACACGGCCGTCTGCGCTCTCAAAATGGCCCGCCGAGCTTTGTAGTATTGCTCCGGGGTTGCTGCCTTACCAGCATTTAAGAAAGCTCGGACTTCGTCTCGAGTGGACTGTGATACCTTCAACTCTGCCTTAGCCAAGTACGCATGATCGATCTGAGCCAAGTCTAGGCGATCAGAATCAGACCACATCGGTAAATTGGAGGGCAACTGCTCATCATCTTGACCTTCATCTTCGAGCGGATTACGAAAGCCATCAACGACCAACCAGAATTGAACAAGAGGCATCATACGATGACGATCCATGAATTCCATGAAGTATGACAAGCCTGAAGCATCTCTGAGAAGCTCTACTAGGGACGCGTTCTCGAGCTTCGAAACAGTCTTAGTAGTGCCTGCTGGTTGAGAGGACAAAGCAGTTGCACTTCGTTGTCCACCTCCTGCTGCAAGCACCTGAACGCGCTGGTCCAAAAGCCTCTTCCCCATCTCCAACCTACGAAGATACACTTGATCTTGATTCTCCTCCAGCGAGTCTCGCTTTAATTGACTGGCGACCTCGCTCCGCAAACGCCGTGCATCTGATAGATTATTGACTTTTCTGATGGCGCGGATGAACTTCTCAAACTTTCGTTCACTGTCGGTAGGTGAAAGGCGAGGGATGATTGCTGCTTTGCCTACCCTTGGCGTTGGTGAGGCGTGCTGATCCAAAGCCGCTCTGAGCTTCCGGACTGTCGATCTATCTTGCAGCATAGAACGACCATAATTCTCCATTACTTGATTCCATGTATCGGGATCGGCTAGCATCTGCATAACAGGAAACAGTACTGCGCATGCCACAACTTCTCGGATTATGGTTGAAACAGCGCGGCTAGCAAGCATACCCCGCGGGAGAACCTTGGGCAAAATTCTGGAAACCATGTTGCGAAGGTACTCTTGCTGGACAATTTTTGTGTCGGGAAATGACAGCGAGGCAGCTGGGTGAAGTTTTCCATCTTTATACTTGGAGGCGATTGCTAGATCCAACTCTTCTGATTCCGTTACGGATCGATTTAGTTTCCTTCCCCGGACGGATCGCTCGGCGTCGTAAAAGTCACGGAAGTGTGCTGTCAATATTGGGACGACGCGTGCGGTAACGATGTCAACCAGGTCAAGTTCTAGAAGCCTCTCCCTAATGCTGATGAGAGCGTCGCGAACAGCTTTATCAACCTGGTTGGTGAAGACGGGATTTTTGCTGATACCGGAGTACCAAGAACTAACAAAGTCTCGAATTATCAGCTCGAAAAGGTCATCGAAAGCTTTGGAAACTCGGTGAGATTCGGGGTCGAGTGGCACTTTTGAGTAGGCCTGGCGGATTTGGAGATTGGCGACCTCACTGGCCCAGGCTGTAGGCGCGAGGAAGGCAGGACCATTCGGGCAGGGTGATCGATGGCGCAAGCTGCGTCTAGGACCACGAGATATGAGGAGAATAAAAGCAAGAAAGACGGCAATCGTCAAGACCACTCCGCCGACCACAGCGTAGCCAATCCATCGCAAAGTTGGGACCCAGCTGATGGCGTAGCCCCAAGCAATGAAACATGTGATGGCGGCAAGGATCAGGTCTTTTCCTTGCAAGGCCATAATCCACGTTGGTTTAGAATGAAGACAAGGCTGTTGCTACATCGTTTGACGTCGAAATCTGCGATAACCACGGTGCTGGGTTTGTTGATGGGCAGGTGTGGCTTGCTCGGGCCTTAGTGATTTGGGGTGAGGCGAATTGAGGTGTCGTGCAGTGCGACTATGCAGACCGACAAGTTTGGATGATGTCCAGTATTGAAGGACCCAAGCGCCCAGTGTACGTAAGGCAATGACCACGAAGTTCCCTGCATTACCTTACCTTGCCATAGTGTGGATGCATGACACCGGGTGGGTCCGAGATTGATGAATTAGTAGCTTAGCCAACTACTAGCATGTACGTACGTACTTCAGGTCTCTTAGTGCATCTGCAACACCTTTGTTATACTCCGTAGTAGGACTTGAAACAGCACTTTACACATTAACACAAGGCATCTGGACTTTTGCTTTCTCAGATCGAAGTTTTCGGGGGTATCTCTGAAATTGGGTTGGTATTTATGGTCATCTCGTTGTTGCGGAGCCCATGAAACCTACTAACTTCACCATGGAGGGTCTTCCATTCTACGGAAAAGGGCAACGTATTTTTGCCCTTGATTCCGTGCTACCTTCTTACCCTCTTCCGTCTCTGACCTCATGACCTTGACGCACTCATCTGCTTCCTGTATCTCTTCGGAAACACGCTCGAACGAAGGATGCATACTGAAATGTTCTACCATCCATTGGTGTAACGGCTCGACATCCGTGATTGTGTAGACGACACCGCCCGGCCGAAGCGCAAATGCGTACTCGGAATTGAGTGTGGCCGAGACAATCCTGGCTTTGTGTTTCCTGGCTTTGAAGTGGGGATCGGGGAAGCAAATGAAGATCTTCGACAGCTGAGACTTCTTGAAGAAGTTAGGAAGGAACTTCATGCTGTTGGCCCTGAGGCAGCTGATGTTTTGGTAGAGACCAGTGCCCTCGTTCTGGGCTCGAAGCGCTTTCACACGTTCTTGGACATACTCAGTGACCGAAGTTCGAATTTCCAGGCCTGATGAAGTCAGCAAATCAGGCATTGAGAGCGGCCTAGATCAAGTTACCAAGTGCCAAGGTGTCTGGCATAAGAGGGGCAAGTGCTACCAAGAGCCCTCCGAAGCCACAGCCAATATCGACCACCTCGACATTCTTCCTTAAGTTACGTGTTTTTACAACTGAATCGCACCGCAAATCTGAGTCTGAAATCGCCGTTGCCACTGCTCTTGAGTCGATGGAAGGGGTTTCGTCTTGGATAGCGAAGGCAGGGTAGTACTGGGTCCAGTCCATTTCATCTGGGCTAGCTGGGCTAAAGGTCGAAGACGCGGTTAGTGGTAATGCCACCCAGGACTTCAAGATTTGGCGACTTAACTAGACTAGTTGATGGTCCGAAAAAGGGTTTGCATGAGCTCTTTGCCTGTAGAACTTCTTCTTTGGCAAGTCCACCACGCCTTCTTGGCTGCGCGCATTGCGGTAGTCTTCGCGCTTCTGGCTCTTGGGTTTGGCTTTGCCCATGGCTGAGTACCAATGCCTTGCCCAGCACGAAAATGTGTAGAACACGGTTATATGAATATTAGCGCCTTGCCGTTATACGTCTTACGGGTATTAGGCCGCGTGATAAGCGTCGGATGTGAGGGTTCGAGCAGCTGCAGACCTGGGATTAAAAAAAATAAAAGGTGCGATCAATTACGACCAGTAGTGCATGGCGGGGAATGTGCAAGAGGTAAGACGAAATCGGAAGGCGGTCACTTAGATGAATGCGACTTTGGTGGACCTCAGCTACATTACTTTGGTAGGTGTGTTGAAGTAGGTCGATGCCTTAGGTGCTCTGAAGACATAACCATTGAGGGCAGCTTAAGAGAGGAGCACCCTAAAGGCGATACAGTTTGTGTAGTGGGCACATTGTGCTGTCCATGCTGATCGGCTTATTACGACCGTGGCACCGGCGCCTCAGGGGGCAGACTGCGTTACTGCGGATGATCTGCCAGACCCCTTGTGTGGACAAGGGTCTTCTCGATACCTTTAGCCCCGAGGAACTGGCGTGATAAAGGAGGCATGGAAGGGATTTGACTTGCTGCGAGCCAGCCTTGTTTGAGAATAAGCTGAGAAAATGGTCCAACTTAAACGGGCTCTTGGTGACGCACTTTAGCTTTCTACTCGTCCCTGAATTGAGAACAACAATAAAACCCCAACATTAGCCTCTCTCTCCTGCTCTCTGATCGAGGGATAAGTAAAGGTATCCATCCTTAGAAGGAACGGGCAAAATAGGGTATATAGAGGGTTGTACCCGGGTCCCCTCTCGTCACCTCATCGCGGAGGTGCCGGCTTCCCATGGTTACGCCTTCTATATGCCTCCCTTGGCCTGACCTGAGGAGACAGCCCCGAGTCTCAAGCGCCTTCACGTCTTGTTGCTGTCACCTTACCCTCTGAAAATCATCTCGTTTTGACCTTGTCATATCTTACGGAGATTTCTTACCATCACGGCCCCCTAACCCCCCACCAGCGCTGACGGTTTAGAACGAACACCTCCCCAATCCATCCATCTCTAATTCAGATTGCATGCACAACCATCATTCCGCCCTCAACAAATTTGGCTGCAGTCCGGTTCCAGTTATTCTAATTGTCACACGCGCAACATAACCGAACACCCAAGTGCGGCCACATCAGATTCATCGAAATCTTCTCGCAGTTCTCACCCTCTTTCTTTCGCAAATAAGCTTCCTGAACATACATCTCTGGTTTCGACTCTCATATTTTTTAATGGATTTTCACGCACAACCAGGCTCCTGGTCTCACACCTGGATGACTTACTCGCTTCTTTCATCCAACTATCCAGCACTTGTCAGGTATATTTCGGGCGCATTTGTATGTCCCACACGCAGACTTTCTATTCTACCCTCTATCCCCGTTTTGAATTATTTTTATTATTTACTGGAAACAAGATTCTAACTGCTGCTCACGATGAAGATCGCGCTCGGTCTGTTCTTTGTCGTCCCTATCGTACTCTTGATTGCATTTGACTTCTCCATCTGGGCCTATCGAATCTGCTGGAGCCGTCCGGGGAGTCCACCGCAGGAGTTGATGCCTCGTCAGCTTAACAGGCCGCCAAATGGACCAAATGCGCTGCAAGAGGTGGGCGGGGTAAAGCCTTCGAGAAAGCGTATATGACGTCTACGCAACCCAGAAGAGAGACTTGTTCAAAAGAGGGATGCCGTCTGAGGAGCCTCACGGAAACGTGGATAACTGGCTCCAGCTAAACGACCTGGGGCTGTTAATTGTGATATGTGCTTAATTTTAAGCAGCGTATATGAATAGAGTTGGCGTCAATAGGGAAATTAGGGATGTTGCCATCTTGTGAAACAATCAACGCATGGTTCGAAAAAGCGAACATGTAATTTAAACATCGTTACCGGTCATTTTCACCGTATTACTCTGAATGGAGGGTCCCTTTGGCATCTTGACCTCCGGCCAGGCTTTCGAAGGAACAAGTTGTGTTGCCTTGGCAAGATTGTTTCGCAAACAACAGTCAGAGCCACCGGTCCTTACCAGGCTTTTTTTTAGACAGTGTCCCATCCCTTGGAATATTCTACTAATTTGTCGGAAGACTGGTTTGACGTGGTCTTGAACGGTCTTCCTTTCCTATTCGAAGCCGCAATGTCACCCCTGGAGTGTGTGCTGGAGCAAAACTGGCCCGTCAGTGTAACTTATGCCCCGACGACGACAGCAGTCTGTGGGGCTCTAACAGTGAGCGCTGATTCCAATGCAAAAGTCCCCCATCCAACTTTTGTAACGTTCTACACAACACTACATTTTCATGCTTCCAACCTCACATCTTTCACCAACGCCAAAACTCCAGTTAAACCAACCATCAATTCTCTCTTTTGTCCCATCTATTTTCCACTATGCCGCAGGACCCGAACCTCTATGGACAGCCGCCACCCAAGAAGCGAAAGAACAATACGGCTCTGAGCAGCTCTCTTGATTTTACTGCCCAACTAACCTCCCTCATGTCTGTTCCGTCGACCACCGTTTCCCGACCAGTTCGTCCACGTGCGTCTCGCACAAGAGACTCCATCTTCGGTGGCGCAAAATCCAAGACGATTGATAACAGTAGAGGCAGTGGCAGCAATAACAATAAAGCCGGCCCGGTCTCTGTTAGAGACTCGCACAAGTTGGCCTTAAAAGACCCCTTGGGTACCGAAGACGAATCCCTAAACTTGGCTCGAACGCGACGAAGAATGGAAGAAAAGGCACGCCTCTACGCTGCCATGAAGCGGGGTGACTACGTGCCCCAGGAGAATGAAGCCTCGCCTTTGGTCGACTTTGACCGGAAATGGGCCGAGGCCGAGGGAAGGGGAACGATGCATGGGGATGGCGAAGTCTCGAGCTCCGGTTCCGATAACGAAGAAGAGGATGAGAAAAATATCAAAAGTCAAGAGATCGTAGAGTACGAGGACGAGTTCGGGCGCCAACGACGCGTGACGAAGGCTGACATGGAACGTCTCGAACGACAGCGTCGCCGTGGCCTCTTAGGTGCCGAAGAATTGGAGCGCATGTCAGCCCGTCCTGCGGCACCTGCGAAGCTATTGTACGGCGACGGTATCCAGACGATGGCTTTCAATCCAGAAGATCCTGAAAAGATGGAAGAGTTGGCACGAAAACGTGACAGGAGCGCAACCCCACCGGAGATGAAACACTACGACGCTGATAGTGAGATTCGCACCAAAGGTACGGGATTCTACAAGTTTAGCAAGGACGAGGAAGCCAGGTCCAAGGAATTTAAGAGTCTAGAGGAGCAGCGGCAGAGGACGGAAGCCGCGAGAAGAGAAAGGGAGGACACGAAAGAAGCCAGGCGGAAAGACCTTGAACAACGACGGAAAAACGTCGAGGAGAGGAGGGCTGCGAAATTAGCCAGCAGTTTCCTGGACGGGTTGGCTGTCGACATGCAATGTCCTAATGCAACAGAGGAAGACACAGTACCACAGTAGCGAATGATGCTTCAGCACATGGTAGAGGGACCACTGGTGTCATTGATGAAACTAATATTCGCCGCAGCTTCTTCATTTCTTTTCACTGGTATTCTGAACTAGTACTAACAATGGTTAACGTACAAGACGAGACAAACCTGCAGCACCAGGTCTTTTCAACAATGTTCAGCCAACCTCGTGGGGGATGAGTTTTACTGCTCCCCCATAATCCCCATTTTCTGAGGAGGCTGTTTCGAGGCATGTCGGCCCCTCCTAAATATTCCGCCACATATATACAATAACCCGCCTTCTGCGCCAATTAAAAGAAGCCCAGAATGCTCATCCAGATATCAACTAACGCCCAGAACAATAAGAAAAGATATAACAAGGTGGCCGTCTGGCCGGTAAAGGATGATGTAGTACATTAAGCCACACATGAATCAAGTGATCGGGTGGCGTCATCGTCAAGGGGCGGTGTTATGTGAACCACCAAATGCAGCCACAGTCACTTAACTGGCTGGTTCTTGTCGGCCGGTCACGCGAAACCAAAAAGCTGTCCTCGTGTATCCACCGCTTCGAGTCTGCAATAGCCACCGTTTGCCTGTTTTCCATTATCATCACCTCAACAGGTTGACCTTCATCATTCAGAACAGGAACGGTGTTCTCTCCGTCGTCGCAGACCTCGACTTGTCGGCAGAATGCATTCTTAGTTTGATCAAGAGATACACGACGTTCCTCGAACTTGATGACCTGGGGGTACGGTGGCGGTGGTGAACGTCGAGGTCTTTCGGTTGGCACTGCCGAGGGATATATAGTGGTGACCAAGCCATGACGCACCAGGAATGGTGTCGAGGTCGCAGGTGGGAATGTGGCAGCCGCGAGGGGTCTTGTTGTCGAAGTAGGCTTCCGTTGGTAGCTGTTGTTTTGCGCAGGATAAACAAAGACTTCCAGTAAAGTGCCAGGCCACGTGCAAATCCAAGGCCTGTCTCCGGCTTGAGCCCCCTTCACCCCTTTCCTACTAAAATCTCCCGACGAGGGCGGCGGTCCATTCCATCTCTTTTTTGAGCTTGGCCGGGTTGTGCTAACTCCAGGGAATCTATCCTCGGCAACAATCACAGTTTTGTTGTATGTCATTTGTGCGAACCATGCGGCACCTCGACCTGGTTCAGAAGTATCATTTACGAGCCGCATCTTCAGAGGGTCGATAATAAGGGGTGGCTGTGTGCCCCAGGAAATCATATTGAAGCTGGCATCGTTGCGGTCGCTGTCGTTGAATGTAGTAAGTTTTAAGGTGTAATCAGATATGGGTAATTCGTTAGCGATCCTGGAAACAGTCATGACATAACTGGTGAATGGAATGTTGCAGGTCCAGGCTTGTGACTGTGTAGTATCGTTGAAACAGGTGCTTGGCGCTTGACTTGCAATCAGAGGGGGAAGGCCGAATGTGCCAACCTCCATTGAAGGTAAATCAGGCGGCAATGTCGCCAACGGCTTAATATCTACCGTGGCTGTTGGGATGACAAGCGGTATGGGCTCGTCGTCTTGATGACGACCTGGTGGCTTTTTGTGCTTTGCAAAAAAAGTGCCAATAACAGCACCCAAGATAATGCCCCTAAGATAATAGTTAGCAAGGTGATCAGCCAAAATCCAGCATACCTTCCAACTTACATCAGTACTAATCCCACAGCCAACAGGCAAATGGCCCAATATGGAATTACGCCAAACATTCGCCTCTTTGCCCTTTTTTGCCATTTCCGGTCTGTACTCTTCTCCGCGTATGCCTCCGCAGCGGTGTTGATCTCGTGCTGACTTGCGGCATCCGATGTCAATGTTCTAGACGACATACGGGAGGGCTGAAGGCGAAGATCCTCTCGAGACTCGAATTCGGGGTTTCTGGTAGCTAGACCGATGCCGCCAGCACCAGGAATGGGAGTGACAGAGGCAGCCGTAATATTGATAACAGGTTGGGACTGTTGCTGTTCAGGCTGCTGCTGTTGGCGCGACGACGGTAGGGTTTGTTGTTGTCGAACCTGTGATTGTTGCTCCTCCTGCTGCTGCGGCAGCGATGATTGAGATGGCTGCTGTAACCCACCCGGCATCTCACCCGGTTGCTTCCTAGCATACGCCTGTTCTGGATATCTCGTGTAAGGAGGAAGCTCTTCCGTGTGGCCCAGCGGTCCAATCAAGTCGGCAATATCTTCCCCCTCGGGACCCATCCGTCTTTGGTAGTTATCAGAGCGTCCAGGAAATCCCACCGGAATGCTGTCGCCCTCATGGGAGTCTACTGCTACGGTGTTCTGCGTGTAAAGAGTGTACGGGTGCGTCGGCCCTCGCGGCCCGGCATAAGATCGTTCAGACATTCGGGCGGTGGATGAAGTCGCCACACTGTTGGTCCGCTGGGGATACATCTGATATGGATGTGACGGGCCGGAGGGGCCTTCGTAGGGGCTTTCAGAGCGGATGATCGGTGAATCGGTTGAGGCGCTGGAGACACGGGAGATGGAAGAGCCAGTTAATTGGCCTGTCGAGCCATCATGACGGAGAGCGAGGGGGTCGTGAGCGCGGGGAGGCTTCGCAATGCTCGAGGGTCGGGAGGGGGGAGCGGCTCGCTGGGTAGCAGGAGAATCTCGTGACACAACCGCCGATCCAGTCGAAGGGTTTGTGGTCGAAGAAATGGGAGCATGAGATGCGGAAAGATCAGCTGGGCGAAAGCCGTCAGAGATGGTCATGGCTTGCAAATCGTAGTCATCGTCGTCGGTTGTAGTCGACGGCCTTGCTGACATCCTGAGGGAAGCCCTCCGCTCGTTGCCGGCTTTGTCATGAAAAGGATCCATGGTAGCGTTCTGAGATAATCAGGATTCGAATCGACAACGAGCTGCAGCCGTTTGGATGAAGTTGCATCGATTTCACAACATGGGCGTCCGCCGCTGACCCCAGAGGCCCAGATCCAGTCCCAACCTCAGCCCGCGGTGCCTCGCTGGATGTCCACTCCGAACAAGTCGTCGCCGTAGAAGGGGGCTTGACCGAGGGGGGAAATGGCGGGTGATGGTCAGCTCGGCTGTGGCGGAAAGTGTCGTGGGCAAGTGGATTGTGATGTTATCGTTATTGAGATGGAAGTGATATCGTCGTTGAAGGAAAGGGAAGGTTAGACAGCAGGCGCAGGACACAGAACAGAATAGGGCGAGAGAGAGAGAGGGAGGGAGTGCGGGTACGGGAGGGTAATACCAGACAAGGTTGGACGATTCAGGAACAGTTTGGGTTTGGGGTCCGACACGAAGTGTCCAGGCGTGCTATTGGTGGCACTAAACGAGGGGCCCTGTTTTTTTTCTTAATGTGTGTGTACCAGCGACGGAGGCAGGATACCCAGGGGCCGTATCCAGAAGCAAAAGCAGTAGCCCGCTGGAGACTTTCTGGTGGAAACGACTAGGGTGTGAGAGGGAAGGGGGGAGACAGCCCGTGCCGTCGTCCCTGGGTACCTTTGTGCTAGGAGCCCTAGACAATGACTGGGGGAAAAGGAGCCGGGGAGAGTGGTTCCCTAGCCTATGCACATACCAAGAAGACCAAGATCATGGCGAAGAAAAGGTACACGGGACATCTGCATTGCGGCGCATGCAAAACAGGTATACCTTGCCTTAGCTTGGTTGGGGCGAGGTACGTGTCCTCGGTGTCGCGGTGGCTACGATTAGGTAGCGAAATCAGAGAGCGACTACCAATTTGGGTAGGGTGTATGCCCGTGCCTGCATTTATCCGCTGTTTCTTCAGTTACTCAATGAACGTAAATACTTGGAAGCCAATTGGCAAACGTGTGAGTAGGACACTTGATAATGACTGTTTTTAGAGATGTCTCCTTGTGGATAACATGACAGGCAACAACTACACTGCGGCGGCGTGGCGGGGATAGATGGCCCCGCCCGCGCTCCCTTTTAGCTGCAGGCAAAGGTGCAGGTGTTCGTTCGTGGGTACTACTTTGAGTGTTTTCGTGTGAGAACGGTGGGGAGGGTTCAGCATTGGCGTATGGTAAGTAAGGGAGCCAACGGCTAAGCAAGTAGCCCGCGTGCCCGTTTACCCTGCATTTGGCCACAGGCACTTCCTTCAATCCATATCTCGAGTAACCTTACAAGACGGGGAGATCCACCTGTACAGAGCCCACCGTTTGTTGTGCCGATTGTTATGTTTGAAATGCGACGAGTTTGACTCCTTTTCTTCAATTTCCCAAATCCTTTGTAGTGCCAGGGCTGAGTGAGGGGCCCATTTATGCATACAGCATACCCAGTATTCCATTGCCTGGGAGCAGCGAAAGGCTTAGTATAGGTGGCATGGTGTCTGTCACTACTCGAATCCATATCGACATTTTTCTGGGTAAATCTGCCGTAGCACCCTGTCGCGGTTAGGGTAGCTGAGGGCCCAAACACCTTGATGTATCTGTCTTAAGTGACTCTGAGCTCAAAATGTGCAGCGGGTAGCAGCCCTCGCGAAAAGGGTAGTCGCTTCGCCCTCAATCCCAAAGTCGACCTTACTAACACCAAAAGCCGAGGCAGCTCATGATTGTACGTCATTCGGCAAATAACGAGGCCTTAATAGGGCGGGCGGTCACGGATATGATACTGATAGTATACTAGTACAAGACACCAAACTAGGAGTTTGATGACAATGGCCAGGAACGGGTTGGGTGTCTTGTCTTGGACACCCTACTCAAGCACATGTAATTCGGATCGGGGTGGGAGATGGGAGAATGAGGACTGGCTCAGAGCGAAGCTGTCACAGTGGAAGGTTTCAGACGTTTGGCAAACAGTGGGGGCCGCCTGAAGTGCCGCTCTCTTGTTTCTTAGACACATGGTCAGAGGCAACGAAGGTGTGGTTTACTAAGCATGCGAGGACACAGGCACCCAGACCAGATGGGTACGAAGCATAGTGCTAGTAGGTCGGGACCCTCGAAGATCTCAGTAGGGTGTTGGTACGAGAGAGGCGCTAGTTCTCGAAATAGTTTAGTCGCCCGTCCTTAGGTACGCTATGAGCACTGTGAAGGCGGGGCCCTAGGTACCTCTTCCGCCAAGCAAAGAGGCATGTGGGGACTGAAACTCTGAAGGAGGTCAGAGACAATTGTGGCCTAGCGCAATGCTGCAAGACTGGCGCGGATACACCAGATAAACAGAAGACAGCAGGGACAACGTGTAGTGGTCATGGCTAAAAGTGGGTATGAGAGAAGTGCTCAGTTCCAGCCGTTGGAAAACACTTGCTAGGTACCGAGTAACAAAAGTGGTTATCTAGCTCAGTGGGCTTCCAGGCTCTTTCCATGAACATTTCATCCACACTCAGACACAACTGCCAGGGTCAGTTACCTTTACCTTCTTCGTCCTGAAGGCTCTCCCAGTTCTCTACCTTTACATCGTGCTCTTTATCGTTAGGTGGTGTGTATTACAAGACACAACTTTCACCCGCACGGAGCAGAATAACTGCCGAATAAACCCAGGCTTTTCCCCCTTCAGTTACATGATTCCAGCCGCCGTTGTGGCCGGGAATGCGGCAACTGGAAATGGGTCACCAGTTAAAGGGCCCGCTGCCAGACACTTAAAAGTTAACCTCTCCCACTCGCCATCACTTGAAAGAGAGGGCCTTTCCCTGTTCTCTCTTCTATGGCGGTCCACGAAACTTTCCAGGTTCCTGCAGTTCGGTCACCGATCGAAAACCTCTGTTCAAATCGCCCCCACCCTTATTGACTTCCTGCTTGCTCCATACGAAAGCAGGCACGTCGCGTCGCGACGTTATCCTTCTCGTAAAAACCCGTCTTGTGCATCTAGCCCCCCCGTCCGAGGATTGTGATCGATGGGCCCTGACGGTTGGGATTTCACAACGGCTGACTCGCTACCCCTGCAAGTAAATCCTGCCTCCACACTGTGGCAACCGCTGCCATCTCGTCATTATCCATTCTTCCTACCGCCCATTTTATAATTGCAACTTCTCTCTACCATTGCCCCTACATACAAAAGTGTACAACAGGTGTACACCATACCAAAACTACTGGTGCGCATGCTCTCCTGATCGCCACCGTTGCCGGCATTCACACGCCAGCGGCACCTGCTTTCCTACTGCCATCGGACTGAGACCGAGACTGGTGATACGGCGCCCTTCTATTCCTCTTGACTCGTGTTGGCATGTAAATACGGCTAGCCTCTGTTGACAACTTGTCGATTCAACCTAGGATCCACTCAAAAGTTGCTGTTGTCCTGAACTGCTGCATGCAACACAGATGTGGTCAACATGCAGATACCTATCATGGTAACAACCCGAGCGTTTCAAGATCGTCCTTCTCACCATGAGCCAGGACCACGTGCTGCCCTGGCTCGGAGTAAATTTGTCCAATTCCGTCGCAGATTTTAACAACTGCAACCCATGTTACGTTTGGTGCCTTCTAGGTGGTATGGCTAGCTATGCCTTTTCCGATGCTGCTCCTGCGCCATGCCTGTAGAATGACCTGTATCCTACCTCACGTTCTCAGTTGCCATCCCGCCATGTAATATGACAACCGCTTCCAACTGCCAGATGTCAATTTTGTTTTACTTTCCAACCATTCCAAACCCCCTACCGCCCAGTTCGACCAAGTTCCATACTTTCCAGTACCTTTCAGCCTTGCGTCACTGCAAAACTTCTAGCTTCTAGTGAATTGTACTGCTTGGTAGTCCAAGACCCTGGCAGACAATAACATCAAGAGACTGGATACGACCTGTTGATTTCCAAGCCATCCCTTCTATTCTGCGACTGCTTGGTTCTTCCAGCACATCAATCCAAGCCTCTGTCGTCTTATCGTTTCCAGAACGGTATCTCGTGTTGATTATAAGGCGTCTCACAAGGCAGCCAGGTGAAGCGATGTCCTTACCGCAAGGCATTTTGCCATCCTAATGCCGTGATTCTGCACCCGCCAATCACACCGACGCCGTCACATATGGCCACAGCACTCCGCAGGGCTCGAGCATATGGATGCGAAGGAAAATCAGACGCACAACTGTATACCATCCCATACTGGATTTGGAGAATCAATCCTAGTCGGTGTCAGCAGCCACTAACCCCCCCTCTGCAACTGCCCGCAGATTCTCGGTGTCATGCTTGGGGATTCTCTTCGGCACTTCTCAAGCTTCAAGTCCGGCTACTTCATCTGGTGACAAAACCGTGCCCTTCAATGTGCCTGTTGTTCTGAATGGGCGTGACTGTGACTACATCCTCACCTGGTGGCGTGAAAGGAATAAGGGTTACGTTGCCTTGGAATCGGCTGTTTGGAGACGCTCAATCGGTTTGGTTGTATGTGTGTCGATTCAGAGCGACAGTCGTCCCTCCATTTCGGATGGATCGATTTAATGTAATGCGATCTTTGCATGTCATTTGTATGGCTGTGAGGGCTTGTAGCTACTGCAGACCCAGGCGATGTTCATTTGCCGACTGGCTGTGGTTCGCACTCTATGGCAGCCCCGTTTTCATCAGCCATCCATCTCTTCCATTTCTACTGGCGAACTGCATCGCTCTTTGCTCCGAGTGGCTTGAGGCTATGGATTTTGTTGGCTGCCTCTTGTGCATTCCCAGCCTAATTGTCTCATGTGCTCGGGATTGGTCACTCGACAGAAGTTGGCTGCTGTGCTTGAGCGCTCAATTGAAATGGTGCTTCTTACTTCTCACATCTGATATAAGTTCCGGCGGGGATTGATTCAACTGCCAGGTTCCTATGAATCATTCGGCCCAGCTCTAACGGTTCTGCTGGTACATGCTTATGATAAATCTATACCGGCACATCAACCTGTTCCACTAGGATCTGCTTGGCAGTGCCACATATGTTCCCTGCTTTCCTGCAATTGTTTCTTCTTCTCCTTTTCTGCAGTCATTGGATGGCACACGCATCGATTAGTGTAACCAAGTGTAGTGACTATGTGTCTCGCCTGAAGGAGCCTTAGTCGGTTTGTGATAGATTCATCTACCACCTCGCTTGGCAGCACGGTAACTTCTGTGTACTTTAAGTTGTCTCATGGCTTTCGGTTGAAACACTATGGGTGGCCGAACGTGAACAGGGCTGCCGTGGAAACAGGGCGAGGTGGCTTTTTTGGGGGGAGGGTGTCGTCGTACCCTGCGTAGTAGTAATACGCACACCACAGCCTTGCCCCAGACCATTTTTCGTCCACGACTGGCTCAATTTCAAGTACTCTTCCCATCGCCATGACAAGGCGACTACAAATCAGCTTTAGTACATTTCACTTCTGCACTTGCATCATGCACTTTGCTTGCATGGGTCGTTCTCATACCCGGGTCCTGCGCCTAGATGAGGCGAGCAACATTAGACAGCCATGGACTCGCTCACGGCCACGCTCGTCCCCTCGGTATGCAGGGAGCAACGCAACAAGTATTTGATGAAGTCTCATCCCAGTGTTCCCATGTTTGTCCTTCGACGTTCGTTGCTTACTCCGTCTCTTCCTCGGTGGTCAACAAACTCAACTCGATTAGTGAAAGGGATTTGGCCCTGACTCCTCCACTGCTTACTCCTGTCCTGCGTCATACCTGGCCGCCCCTTCGTCCCATCGCCCTCTTACACGCAGTATCGACTGCTGCTGCTACTACTGTTGTTCTCAAGGCTGCATAGCCGCTGAGTCAAACCCTCTGTGCCGTTTTTCGCTGTGACGTCGTCATGTCTCGTCGCCGTTCTGACGGTTCATCCGTCTCAAGCTACTCTTCAGGAAACTCTCGGTCGTCGTCGAGATCATCTTCGACTTCATCCTCCCGGTCAGGAAGCTCCAAGAAATCGAGGATTTCTCAGGTTTCTCATTCCAATATCAAAAGCGACCATTGGTCTGTGTCTTTTATGAAATGGACTACAGGTGCCCCTCTCGGCAAACCGCTTTCCCTTCGAAGGACCAAGGTCCGCGAAATTGAGGACGACTGGGGATATGATGATGGAGCCACAGTCTATAGCGATTCTTCGTACACTCAATATGCGTGGGTCACTCCAAAATGGGACGACAGCATTTCCGAGATTGCGTCTAGGTCAAGCAGCCGATCGGCCGGCCAGCTGAGGAGGGAACACCGGTCGCGAGGGCCACCCCGTTTTGCCCCTTCTCCGGCCATGCATCAACCACCTCCCTTGCACCATCCCCACCCATCACCGCCGCCGCCACCGCCGGCGTTCATGCCTCCACCTCCGATGTGTGATGATGACCAAGGCTACGACGACTACCCGCCAGAGCCCATGTTCCACCAGCATCCGCCACCTCCGCCTATGGGTGCTCCTGGTGACGGTGCCGGCTTCATCAATCTTGGGGCCAGCGGTGGCGGCGGCTCGCGGAAGTATGAGCCTTGGTGAGCCCTTCAGTATGCTTGGTACTACTTGTGTAAATGTACCACGCCATGCTGTTTCGAGTGGGTGTACTGTGATTTTTTGGCTCACAGGCGGGTTATCTGATTTTTCTCTTGCTCGGTTGGGTCTTTGGCGTCTAAACAAATCTGGACCTTCATCCCCTATTGGTACCCAGAACACAGAAGGGAAAAACAGAACCTTCAGGGAGGGATGTGGTTTAACCACCCATAATACCTATTTACAGTAACGCGATCATGAGAGTGTGAGCTATGGATGCTTTTGTATTATAATTCGGACAGACAGAATACCTGGCGTCTTCTCCGAGCGTCAACGGTCAAGGCCCTCAGTTCGAACGTCACCATTGAATGAAGAGTACTCTTATTTACTACAGCGATCATCGGACAATCAAACCCCGTGGCATAAGTCAACCATGCCAAGTATAACTCTTCGAATGGAGCTAGAAAATTCGTTGAGAATATGGGGGGGCTAGACTCATCTTGCTAGTCACATGAGACAGCTGTTAGCACTAAGAAGAAATATGTAAAGGCACGACTAGACAAGGTGTTGTTTGTCAACGCTTCCAATGATGCTATGACGACACGACGCAAAGCTTCCGCAATGTGGGTGCCTAGACGCCGAAAAAGGCCACAGCGGTCGAGAACCTGGATGAAGTCTCGCTCTGTGTCATTCGGCGAGGCCGCTGTAGCCAAGCTTAGGGCGTAGCTAAGCCTGATCTCCCATCTCCCTAGCCACACAATGGCCTCACCTGCATTGCATCCACTTACTAGACTTAACCTGGCAGCCTATGTCCAGGCACCCATACCCTCTGGTCCTGAACGCCTAAGAAACTCCAATGCTGACAGACCGCTTGCCTCGATGGTTCGCCATCCCCTCACCATTGTCCGGACCCAAACGTGATGTCGCGGCAGCTGACTTCCCTTCCATTCGGTGGTTTGGCGAACGTGCCGCCTCACTTTTATCAAAAACATTGCACGCCATTTCCTTCCCGTTCATATGCGGTCATCCTCACTGCTGCCGCTTCGAGATTGGATGCCATTCCTGGAGTGACTTACTACGTATTGAGTTGGTTGGACAAGTCCAGTTTTGACTTGTTCACTCCAGTCAGTCCCACCAAGATCCATCCGTTCCACCAGCCATGCTACTGATTCTCGCCCAAAACAGGCAGTCGTAGACCCTTGCTAAGCTGCCTTCTTCTTTCATGGGGCCTGCTGAGGCCATTTTAACACCTTTCCTAGTTCTGTAACTTTCAAGTGGTTCTTAGCGGCAATGAATGCGGACTAAGTCGCCATCTGTTATTTTGATAATCACCTTTTCTACTTGCATACACCGCAAATCGCTCCTCTAAGCCTTTACGCTGAGTGACTCAGCTAGTGCTACTATGCCTGGCGGCCTCATATGGATGGCGCTTCATGCAACACCATTGATTGATTCGAAGCCCTAGAATTCTGTTTGCCTCATTGGCTACCTAGCCCACGTAATAAGCACGCAGCACCTAGTGAGATGGCTGCCTCCGGTTTTTCTAATATATAACATTGCTAGTCCTGACCACCAAGTTGAGTTCCTGCCCATCACTCACCGCACCTGTTCGGTTGTTTCCATTCCACAAGAAGTTCTTAACCCTTGTTCCCAACGTCTGATACACAACATCTCGAAAAGCCCCAACACCTCATCCTCTGGGCAGGGCTGGTTTACCGTATTTGCGAACATCACAAAGAGCATGGAGACCTACCCCCACTCTACGGGTGCAGACCCCATGAATACTTCAGACCCCAGCGCCGTTAATGCGCCGCCGCAAATGGCTCTGCTGGACTTCTTCTTCCCAGGATTCAGTGTCTTTTCCACAGCCTTTCAGAAATACCTAGGCGTCGACCTCAACGTTTATATCCCGCTGGTAATTCTGTGTGGCGGGGCCACCTTTGCATGGCGATACTTCAGTGAATATGTCTGGGAGAAGATTGATACCCACCTCATGTCCACGGTTGAAGTTCGAACAGACGATGAAATATACGTAAGTCCAAATCCTGTGAATGAGGAGAAAGCTAGTGCCTGCTGTTGTGAAGGCGGGATCAAAGATCACTTGCTAAGTTCAGCTAGAATATCCTCATGTCTTGGGTCGCAGCACAACGCTTCGCCAAGAACTCTCGGCGGTTTGTTGTGAACACCAACTTGAACTCTCGATCATGGTTTCTTTGGCGCTGGGATGAGGATGACGACGAGAACAATGATTCCGAAGAGCCGTCAGCGGGACCTGGCCCAAAGAAAAAGCCGCTCGCCTACACTCCCAGTTTTGGTAGCCACACATTCTGGTATCGCGGGCACCTTCTTCTCTTCAAGCGCAGCCAGAATCAGCAGCAGGCGTCATACTTGGTGGTCAGCGAGCGCGAAGAAATCAGTGTTTCATGCTTCGGCCGCAACCCCTGGATCCTCAAGGAGTTGCTTCAGGAGGCACGCACGGAATACCTCAAGAAGGACTCTCAGAAGACTATGATCTATCGCGGTAGCACACGTGCCGGAACTACTGAGCCTTCCTGGCAGCGATGCATGGCGCGGACATCGCGACCTTTCTCGACCGTCATTCTCAACGAGAAGACTAAAAAGGAGCTCGTAGAAGATGTTGCCGACTATCTCTCGCCGGCAACCCGCAAATGGTATTCGAACCGTGGTATCCCTTGGAGGCGCGGCTACCTCTTGACCGGCCCTCCTGGAACTGGAAAATCTTCCTTGTCACTGGCACTAGCCGGCTTTTTCAAGATGAGAATTTACATCGTGAGCCTGAACTCCATCTCAGCTAACGAGGAGAATCTTGCCACTCTCTTTGCCGAGCTGCCTCGGCGATGCGTAGTTCTTCTTGAGGACATTGACACTGCCGGTCTCACACATACCAGGGAAGAGAACGATGTTACGGACAACGCGGACGCCAAAGAGGGAGCGGGCGACATGGTTCCAGGACAACTCACCCCTGGAAACAGCACGACATCAAATACTAGCAGGCTCTCACTATCTGGACTGTTGAACATTCTTGACGGCGTAGCCAGTCAAGAGGGCCGCGTGCTGATCATGACCACAAATCATGTCGAGAAGCTCGATAAGGCCCTCATACGACCCGGCCGAGTGGACCTCGTCGTCAAGTTCAGTCTCGCAGATGAAGAAATCGTTGGAGCTATCTTTCGGGCTATTTTTGCTCCTCTAGAGGGTGATGAGGATGAGATGGCAGAACGAAAACAGACGACCGAGGATGCGGAAGCCGATAAGGCATTCGCTGAACAGGAAGCCAAACGCAAGGCAGAGATCAGTGCGAGAGTTGACAAGTTGTCGAACGAGTTCGCTGCAAATATTCCGGCCCATGAGTTTAGCCCAGCCGAGATTCAGGGATTCCTGATGAAGCATAAGCGTAGCGCTGAGAACGCGGTGGCCGCAGCAGCAGAATGGGTTGTCGAGACGCGCAAAGAGAAAAAGGAGAAGGAGCTCAAAGCGGCTGAGGAGAAGCGACAGGCCGAGGCAAAGAAGAAGGAGAACGAGGAGAAGAAGCGGCAAGAGGAGGCGGAAGAGGAAAAGAAAAAGACTGAAAAGGATCGTAAGAAGCGGGAAAGCAGAGAGAAGCGGGAGAGCGAGAAAATCACCAAGAGGAGTAATGCTGCGTCGGGCGCTACTGATTCGGCCGACTCTGACTTCGATTCCGGCCCTGATTCCGGCTCTGAAGTGGAGGCTCCTGTCCATGTGAGCGTCGGGTCCGTAGTAGCAGAGAGCCATCAGTCGGAGGAACCAAAGCCGGTGGCTGACAGGGCCAAATCTCAAAGTGAGGGCGATAGCGTCAGCCGGAAGCGAGACTCGGGTTACGGTACCCCTGTGGAGGTATAATTCGCATGGAAGCCATAAGAGTAACTCTATTTGGTACACAAACGTGCATTGGCCGGCGTTTGGGGTGAATCTTTTGTTGGATGGGGATATCCGAAAGATGACTGCGGTACCATGTCAAAGCGTTTCTGTTGCTTTACGAGCCTCATTCCATGAGAGGTGATTTCACTTATTAGGTATGCGTATGTTGGCCAGCAGCTAGAAGGAATACAATATAGCCACGATAAATGGCTGACAGAACCCCTATTGGAGAGTTTACAAAAGACAGTGCATATCGTATGGCGTTCCTTTAAGAAGACTAGTCTACGTTAGTAAATCTAACCAATATCGTCATTGAGTGGTAAGGTTGAACAACTGATGTATATTGATGGGTCCTGTGCCAGTCCCAGGCTGCGTCTCAGTGGCGCGAGGCGGCGGATAGAAAAGCCTCAATGGCTTGCAGATGATGGCATTGTGTTTCTGGAAGCAAAACGAGGATGAACAGACTTTGTTTCGCGTCTTTGCGCAAGGAAGCCAGCTAATGTAGTGTGTCATCACCTTGCTTGCTCCGATTAATGGTAAGGGAAAAGCAGGAAAAAGTCCAAGATGCAGTTGCAACCGAGGTGCTACCCACAGAACACGAAAGCAGTGTTTCGGTACCATGTCTGTGCCAAGCGTGTGATCGTTGCGGCTGCAGGTGCTGCGCAGATATTCTTTCAAGATTCTCGAAGTGGGGGAAACTGGGAAACCGAAACATGCTCCAGGACTAAAGGACCGATGCGAGTCGAGTGCAGTATGAAGAGAGAAAATTTTCTTGAATCTCAAGTCTTGGTTACACTCGGTCGAAGGACCTCGGATTTCGAGAAGCAAACCTGGGTAGAAGTCCGGGACGGTATCGCAGCGGTGCATACTAGTCCGAGCATGGTGTCAGAAAGAGAGGGATGGAAAGTACCCGCCTATCTACCTAGTCATGTGCAAACCGAGGTACCTCCATCGCGAGGCAATGGAATTACGGTTTGCAGGCGGACCCTCATGAGTGGGCAACTCCGTGTGCCGTGTCCGCAATGCCACACCGCGTAGGGTAAAGAGGGGCCACCCAGCTCTCGGAGGGCCGACGCGGCGATTCGGGATCGAAACTGCAGGATATTTGAGATGGATAGGATGTCAAAGTCAGAGCGGTCCATAGAGGGGAACTGAAATGGGCGGGGTTGCAAGGGTACCATCGCCCCAAAGGTAGACTGAAATCACAGCTCTCTTACGTAGTAGGTACACAGGCCGAGGACAGGCATTGACGTAGGTCGGTACTCGTCCAGCTGGGCAGGGGGCGAGAGTCGACATGGTTTTTCAGTTGCTTGGTGTCGTTGGTGGCCCTGTGTCTCATCATCACTGTCTCCTGGAAAGGGTTATCAGCTACGCAGGGTAGCTGGCATAGATATGGTAACGAATGCTCAGCCACGATCGACATGCATACCAAGACCGATGAGCGTGTCGCGTGCCGCGTGGTGTAGGAATGCGCGAAGGGGATCGTGGAATTGGTTTTGGAGTTGGGCGCTGCGGTGGCTTGGTGGTTGATGGGTAGTTCTTTCCGCATCAGTTGTCGTTTCCTTGACCTTCTTTCCCTTGCATTTCGGCCTTGTAATCGTCTGTGCCTGTACGCATGCTTGGCTGTGGTGCGGTGCCATACAGAAAGTCATGTCGGCCTGCACCGCCGTTTGACATAACGCTATCCCAATGAGGTGAGTTGATAGATGCCAGAGAATGAAGCTAGTCTTCATTCCGATTAGGCTCTCAGCCACCTGATCTGAATGCACGCCGCAGGGGCATATGCAGCATCTTACAGTGACGGGATCAGGGTTGGGGGAGGAAGGAAAGGAAAGCCTTTCTTTCTCTTACACTAGCATACCGGGAGGATGGGGCTGGGGAAGATGGGGAGAAGAAGAAGAAGAAGAAGAAGAAGAAGAAGAAGAAGTAGGATAATGATGATAACAATAGTAACAACAACGAACTAGAATAAAAACAACGAATTCCGCAAATGCAAAGTCGCACTGCATTCTTGCCGCAATGGGGGTGAGGTAAGAAGACAAAAGAAGAAACGCAAGCGGGGCGGAAGCCGGAAACACGATACTACCTAGTAGCCATCGTCCGAGGGGATGGGGGGGTGACAGTGGTCTGAGGGAGTTCGAAGCTGTGTTCTAAGTTACCTTTGGATAGTCCAGTTCACCTTTAGTAGCAGTGACATTTCAGATGCACAATGTTTGGCGGGCCCCGGCAAGTCATTTTCGTTGAGCACCATTCGTTGCTGATGGCCATGGTCGGGACTTGGTTGGTCCACTGCTGCTACCTGCTGCTCGTGGAGAGTGGTTTCGATACCAATGGCATGAACGAAACAGAAGCTTGGGGCTGCCAAGGGCAGATGCGGTGGCTCTGGTGCGCCTTCCCTGCGGGCTTCTTGCGGCCTTTTCTTGCCTTCTTTCCACTTGGAAGCTGGCCACAAGATCCAAGATGCGAGAACGGCCCGTCCAGTGGAGCCTCAATCCATACGAAGCATTACCCACCATGTACAAGCCCTGCCACGTTATCAAGTACCTCCTTCTTTGACTCTTTCAGTGCAGCGACCAGTTGTTTGACGGTTGAAGTACACCGTTACAAAGTGGGTTAGGCAAGGCAGGGAAAAACTCGGACGGCTAGGCTGCAGAACAAGAAGAGTCGCAGAGCACCACAAACAAGCCGGTTGTCTCAGTCCCCTTGCGCCTCGAGCCATTCTGCTTTTTCTCACGACAAAAAAGTTGCTTGCTTAATTTCAGCTTGACAAGGAATTGCTAAGCCTCAGACTCAATTACTCACCTTTCCAGCACCTCAATGAACAGAACATCCAAGCTGAAAAATTGTAATTTTTTTTTGGAAGGACTGACAACCCGTCCGTACCCATTTGAGCCACTGATTGATAAGGCGTCGTTTGCGCAGTTCGTCCCGCTTTAGTGCTACCAACCTACCACTAGCCCACAGGGTGTTTCGATAGCACACTCTCATGTTGAGCTTCGTAGGCGGGCAGGCGATGAGGGGAAACCCCATTTCTCAATCATTGAGGTACTGGGTACTTCCAGAAAGGCAACGTACGTCGATAAGATTTCCTCCCCACACCCACCCACTCACCCATACACCCCTTACATGTCATTTGCTGTCTCCCACCTAGCCTGTGCCGTAGTATATTCCACTGCACCGCAGCGCACCGCACCGCATCCGCATCCGCATCCGCACCGCATCTCCTCCATGACCAGAACACAGCCCATGGCATCATGTCCATGTTCGCACTTTACCTACCTTCTGCCGGCCATGTAGCCCATGAGCGGAATGGAGTTACTCGCCAAAACATTATCTTGACTGTCTGCCCTTTAGAGAACTAATCAATCTGCGCTCCAGGGCGAAAACTGTCTGTGCAAGATGCCTGCCTGCCAGTTAGGTAAGGGTAGCTAGGTGGGCAGGTAGACGATCCTCCTGGTCCGGTGCGCCGGACAGGGCACATTGTTACTAGTGCTGTTCTGCGCTCTGGAGTGCCAAGCAAAGTTGCGACATGACGGAAGACTTTACGTAGCAAGCAGGTGCCAGACTCAGGCCAAAACGATAGTAATCGTCCAGGGTCTGCCCTTGGGTTTCTGTGCCCCAAAGGTTAGGATACTTCGGGGCGGAGCAGGGTAAGGTATTATGAATGTCGAGAAACCTCCGGTAAAGCATCCGGATCGATAAGTGACTCCCTGGCAACACATCGCCATCTTAAATCTTTCTCGGAGACAAAGGAAAAAGAAGAGGAACATAGAGAAATGAAGTGAAGCGGAAAGAGAGAGAGAGAGAGAGAGAGAGAGAGAGAGAGAGAGAGAGAGAAAAGAACGCGTTGATACCACGGCAAGATCGCGGATAAGGAATATTCAAACTTGGGGAGGGGTAACCCGAAAGACTAAAAAAAAAACAAAAAACAAATTGTAGACCATGTATTCGAACCCTGGATGGGGCTGGGCCTTGGACTTAGTTTACTCTACTCTGCTTTGCGACCTCCTTCATGTGCTGTGCGCACACTCCCCTCTTCCCACAAGCCACTACCACTATCACGCCCACGCACCCTCATACACGCCCTCTGGTGCTAGTAATGGTCCCTGGTTTTCAGTCTGTCTTGCTCCATGTAACTCGACCTGTATTCGTGCCTCAATCACGTCCCCGTTCCATCTCATCCCACTTAGTGCTCCCCATTGAGGGATGGATACCTTACTCGGCGGGTTTTTGCGTGCTGTGGTGTGTTACTACGTCAGTGGAGACTAATATTAAAACACTCCCCTCCGTACCTTTGCCTCCCGCCGTTAGCTTCCCATCATCTGCAGAGCTGTGGGAAAAAATCAATAAAAAAAAAATCACAAACGCCCCTCGTCTCGACACGCTCCTCCGTCTCATCTGGGCACACCTTTTCTTCCTTAAACCTCGCCAGCTCTACCCAAAACTTCTTCTTCTTCTACTATTGCTTCTCCTTCTCTCGTCCTCGTCCGCTGCCGTCAAAAATTTGCGAACTTCTCCCGCCGTTGCGCAAACAAGCACGTCTTCTCCCTACCTACAGGTACATTGGGTCTCGTTGCCCCTCCCCCTCACACTCATGGTTGCCTATCCCAGCAATATGTGGTTGCTGGAGTGCAGAACCCTGGCTCGTTTCTCTGCACGTTGGATGCCTCTGTGACTGGTTTGCCTGTCTGTTGAAACGGCGGTGAAAGACCTTCGAGTTCAAAACTGAGAGCTTTGTCTAACTTTACCACCTTCCAGGTCTTTTTTCAAACCCCCTCAGTTTGTTCTTTTCGTTTCCAGTCTACACGAAATCGCAATTGAAAATGGCCTCCCGCCCTGAGAACATTGGCATCAAAGCCATTGAGATCTACTTCCCCAGCCAGGTATGTTAAGAACTCGCCACTATCTTCTGCCGCTCAAAAAAGAAAAAAAATCTCGAATGCGCTCGTCGCCGAAGTCGCAATCCCTACCCACCAATGATCACCCCGCTATCACCTACCCCTTCGCTTGTGAGCTGTCAGCCGCTTGGATGTTTTTTTGAGGCTATTTTTTGGATTAGGGAGAATTGTCACTGACACGTTGGTCGCCCACTACTTAGTACGTCGAGCAATCCGAGCTCGAGGCTTTCGATGGCGTCAGCGCCGGCAAGTACACTATCGGTCTTGGCCAGACCAAGATGGCCTTCTGCGACGATCGTGAGGGTGAGTTTACCTACCAATTTCGTGATTTTGCAGGCTCGTTTTAATGGGTTCAACAGACATCTACTCGTTCGCTCTGACCGTTACCTCCAACCTTCTCAAGAAATACAACATTGACCCCAACTCCATCGGTCGCCTCGAGGTCGGCACTGAGACCATTCTGGACAAGTCTAAGTCGGTCAAGACGGTGCTCATGCAGCTCTTCGGTGACAACACCAACATTGAGGGTGTCGACACCGTGAACGCCTGCTACGGAGGCACCAACGCTTTCTTCAACACCGTCAACTGGATTGAGTCCTCTGCCTGGGATGGCCGTGATGCCATTGTTGTCGCCGGTGACATTGCCCTCTACGCTAAGGGTAACGCCCGCCCCACTGGTGGTGCTGGTGCCGTTGCTATGCTTGTTGGCCCCAACGCCCCCGTCGTTCTGGAGCCTGGCCTGCGTGGAACTTACATGCAACACGCCTACGATTTCTACAAGCCCGACTTGACCAGCGAATACCCCTATGTCGACGGCCACTACTCTCTTAACTGCTACAGCAAGGCTCTGGACGCTGCCTACCGGGAGTACAACAAGCGTGAGGCCAAACTCTCTCAGGCTGCCAACGGCCATGCCAACGGCAATGGCGAGGCTGCCAAGGCTCCCAAGGCCTCCATAGACCGCTTCGACTACTTGGCTTTCCACGCACCGACCTGCAAGCTGGTCCAGAAGTCGTACGCTCGTCTTCTTTACCACGATTACCTCGCCGACGCCGACAGCCCGGCCTTTGCCGAGGTTGCTCCTGAACTGCGGGATATGGACTATGAGAAGTCCCTGACTGACAAGGTCGTCGAGAAGACTTTCATGGCCCTTACCAAGAAGAGATTCCAGGAGAGAGTGCACCCCGGCCTTCAAGTGGCCACTTTGTGCGGTAACATGTACTGCGGCAGCGTCTGGGGCGGCGTTGTCAGCTTGCTGTCCCATGTTGATGCCGCTACCCTCGCCGGAAAGCGCATCGGCGTCTTTAGCTACGGCTCTGGTCTGGCTGCCAGCTTCATGTCCTTCCGTATCAACGGAGATGTTTCTCCGCTCGCCAAGACCCTTGACATTCCCGCTAGACTAGAGGCTCGCCGCAAGGTGACCCCTGAGACTTATGACTCTGTAAGAAACATTTCTTCAAGCTTATGATAAAGACGTTTGGCTAACACTGATTTCAGATGTGCGATCTCCGTAAGCAGGCCCACCTTCAGAAGGGCTTCACTCCCAAGGGCGATGCTTCCACCATCACACCTGGTACTTACTACCTCGAGAACGTTGACGAGATGTTCAAGCGATTCTACAGTGTTAAGGCATAGAGTGCAACGTGGTTACGGAGAGATGCGCTTTTTATCTTGGAATTTTCGAATAGATAGAGGCGGATGCATAGATCTTGCGACATCACTAAAAGAGCATGGGCCAGCTTGAGGTAATTAATAAGTGGAAGAACAGAAGCACCACAGGATCCATGACAGCCAGGAACCTCGACTTGGGAATATGTCGTGTGGCTGGGTATTCCTCATAATGGTGTGTTGTATATACCGAGCCGGGTGAGCCCATTCGGGCATCCCCCATGATGAAGTTGAAGGAAGAGACATGAATGAATTGAAACGGCTTTCTTTTTTTTTTGCTTTCCAAATCTTGACACGATTGAGACTAATTAAACATGCTCCAAATTTTCTTGATAATGAACTCGCATTGGATAACGCGGCGCTTTGTATATCTATATGCCACAAGGCAATGCTCCTTTCTCTATGGTGGTTGGGCGCAAATAATGATGCTACAATACTAGTACATGTCACACGCATCATACTTCATGGGTGAGATCATATGCTCGACGGTTTCCAAATAACTTCCGAAAGCCATACCCTGTCGAAAGCTATCCCACGGTTTATTTATCGCCCTTGTACTTCCATTCGGCATGGCGGTGCAGGTGGTAGTCCTTGCTCTGAATGGCCTTCCAGATACCATAGAAACCGCCGATGGGCGGCTTCGACTTGATAACCTGACGCCAATTCTTGAGTTCCGCTTTGCGCGCGTCAACGTCAACCTTGACCTTATTGTACACGGTTGGCAGCGTTGTGGCGTCATACTTGGCGCGGAGCTCGTCGTACCACTTGCGGTCATACGCCTGCCAAAATTCATCCTCGGTGTAGTACGTGTGTGCATACAGCCACTTCATGCCACCAAGCTCCCGCAGCTTGTGTTCAAGCGCGCGGTTCTTGGCTACAAATTCGTCTGGATTCGAGGGGCCCCAACCCCACAGGCCGATGTTGAGCATCGGCTTGGGCACCGTCACGGTGCTGCTCCCGCTGCCGTCGGCCGCCTGCAACGTCTCAACTTCGCCCGTGTGTGGGTGGAAGGTGGGCGGTGCCCTCTCTTTCAAAGGGCACAGCCAAAGCGGCCAGATGTCAAAGTTCTCAGCTGTGTAGTCAACGAAGCGCTCGGCATTGTTGTAGGGAAGCCCCAGATCCTGGACAACGAAGCGAGCCGACTCGCCGCTGCCATGTAGAGCGCGGTAGAGCATGCGCGTGTGCAAAAAGTCGTCAAGGAACCAGCGTGTGAAGCGCGTGAAAGGGACAAATTTGAAGTAATCGAAGGCCGCGGCGCCGACCCAGAAACCCGCCCGGTCGTAGCGGAAGAGATACTCGGCCAATGGCACCCAGTCAACAACAGGGGCAACGCCATCAATGGAATCAGAGGAGACTCCAACTGTGCGGTCCTTGACATGGAGATAAAACCAGGGATCCCAAGCTCCGCTAAAGGTCTGCGGCTTGCTATCGGCAGGGATTTCGTCAGTCAATTCGCCAGTAATGATTACACCATGGTCCTTGGAGAAGAGGATGCCGTCAACGTAGTCGTTCTCCGGCTTCAGCGTCTCAGCCTGCACCGTTTCGATAGCCTCGGCGACGCTGTGAGTGCGACGATAAGTTGTTTTGACAAACTTCTTGGCCTCCATAAGTTGAAGCTCAATCATGGTGGTGACGCCCAGAGTGCCAACGGCTCCGGCGGCACCGCGGAAGAGATCAGCCTTCTCGTTGCGGTTGGCACGGACAACCTCGCCATTGGCCAATACCAGCTCAATTTCGTTGATGGTGTCGTCAAAGAAGCCATGTTTGAAGCTGGAGCTCTCGCCCGCGGTGCCAGCGTAACCTCCCCCAGCCGTGATACCCGGAAACTCCATTACGACAGGGGGAATCAGTCCATGGCGGAGTGTACTCTCGACGAGACGGTCCATAGGGACGTTAGGCTCGACCAGAGCGGTGCGTCGAGCTTTGTTGACCTCGAGGACATTGCCGAGAGCGCTGATATCGACGAAGCGATCCCGGCGAAAGGGGCGGGTGCTGTTGGTTGAGCCATGAAAGATGCGGTAGGGCTCCTTGCGGTCAAAGAAAGACCGCACGGCGGCAGCGATTTTGGAGACGGTCTTTTTGTGGCGCTCCATGGTTATCACATACACCTACGATGACGCGCGCTGGTGAGATTTTTCAAATACGTGCACCGTCACGTTTTAGGCGGTAGCTAGATCAAGGTGCTGACATGGGTGGTAAGCATGAATGGCTGGGGGCGGTAGTTTTTAGAGGAGTTCAGGGGGGTGGACGGCTAGCGAGCGTTGTACGGATACGCGGGCCAAGGGACATGCAGTGCCCCTGCATATCGGGGAATCTGCAGAAGGAAACTGGTACCAAGTATTTGTGCTGTACTAGTAACTACGAAAACTCAGTGATTGCTCATCCCACCTATTCTTCGCGATACGTAAGAGCCCAGTAGGGTAACATGTGTGCCCGCTTTTCGTATCGAGTTTAGTTTTCCCCCCTTATTCTTCTTCTTGTTTCTTGTCTTGCTAGTGAGCACCTCCAGAAGTATTCAGATAAGGACATCTAATAGAACGACCCCCAACAATGAGTGGCATGATGTTATTTGCTTCTCAAATCAGTTCTCCCATTCATTACTTCATCTTGTATGCGTAGACATGGTATAAGTGTATGTAAAACCAGAAGCCTCTTTTGTCTCAATGGCCCTTTCCCCCCATTCTACCCCTGCTCATTACCGTTATCGATTTACAATTTTGAAACTGCTTCCGGGGCGGAGTTCAAGCTGGTTTCCTTCTTTTGGAGAACTAGCCGCTGAATGTCTTCATCAGTCAGCGTGCTAAGAGACGCAAACTCGCGAGGAACATCCTCTTGTGTCTTGGCCTTGACGGTAACGGCCTTAGATGTGATTTTCTCCGGGTCGCTGATAATCGTCTTCATAAATCCAGTCCAACCTTCGAAACAACGCTTGGCACTGGGAATCTTTGACAAAATCAGCGCAAAGCAGTGTGGCATGCCCTCGTACTCTTCAAAAACAACGGGCACTCCGTCTTCTCGCAGCTTGCGAGCCATGTACCTGTCCTCATCTGCTAATAGTTCCCATCCGGTGCAAATGAATATCGGCGGCGAGCCAGTCCAGCTCCGGTTCATGACAAGGGTCACCAAAGGGTGCGCAATAAGATCGTCATCGACATAGATGCTAGTGCGAGGGGGTTTCGCCGGCCAGGCGTCACAGGGAGGCGGGCTAAAGTCGGCGTACAAGGAGGCTTTAGGTAGGTAGTCAAACTCCCAGTTTGATTCCCAACTCGGTGAGCTTTGTGTTATATCCAGCCACGGTGAATTAAGTGCAAACCCGCCTGGCAAAGGAATGTCACGCTCCCTGCCTAGCCAGCGAACTTTTCTATCTTGCCTGCGCAGTTCCAGCAGGAGCTGTAACAACGCGAGACTCAGGTTGCCACCCGCGCTGTAAGGCTGTTAGCGATGCCAAGGCGTATGGTGGAAGCCGTAATGCTTACCTATCTCCAGCAACGACTATGTGCTTTGGTTCAACCGGTTGGTGGTAGGCATCAGGGGGCGGGTAGAGTAACGTCAAATAAGATATTAGGGCATCCAAGAGTGCTGCAGGAAAAGGGTTTTGAGGAGCCAACCGGTAGCGAACAGAGTAAATACGGCCGCCCGTCAGCTTGGCTATTTTCTTAGTGGCTGGTCGATGAGTCGCCGGATCGCAGAGGTAGTAAGCTCCACCGTGGAAGTACAAGACTGTCAGAGGACTAGTAACTTCTTCTTGCAGTTCATCAAACTTCTCTTTCTCTCCAATTGCAGGCGGTTTTGACTCCGGTGTGGCATCAGCGCGGTAGCCAGTCCATTCAGCTTCTACCGACACAACATCTGGCAGTCTCAAATCTATCTCTGGCGTATCTGGTGCCCTCAGTGATTGAATGGCTTCGACCAGCGCATCACGAACGTCGGCTTCCGGAGGAACCGGGCTAGCGTAAGTAGCTACCCACATCCTGCCTTTAACACCATTGTCTCGGTTGGCAAGCTTCTGGGAGGATGTGATGGAGCGCGGCTTCGTGCTTTGGAGATATGAGCGAAGGACGGCAACGATAAGCTCACTCCGCAAATCGAGGTATTTGGCGGGCTTGGACAGCTGTAGGACATGAAGCAAAGCCACCCGTGTTATCAAGGGAACCTTGGGTAATAGAGAGAGCAGTAACTTGAACTGCTGAGGATCCATGTTGAGAGGATTGTGCAAACCGAAGGGAGTAGATGAAGAAGTATTGCCAGCGGTAAGAGAGGACATTGTGGAACGAGACAGCAGGGGCAGAGAGTGCCTAGTTATATTGTAAAAGGAGAGGCAAGTAGGTCAGTGAAGTTGAACCAAGCCGCGTGCTATGCCTAACGTGGTTGAAACACTTCAATAATACACTACCCCGGTAAGAAAGCTGGAACCTGCCGAAGAGAGGGATCAACGGTCGAGGGCGTGGGTTAACGCAAAGTTCAGATGAGAGGAAAGTGGCTGCGGTCCCCGGACAACAGGGCCAACCGATCGTCGCCCTTGAGGTAGGGGTATCGAAGAGTAAGGTATTGATGCGGAGGAAGCAACCAAGCGATGGCAAGCTAGCAGCCTGGCATGAGGGTGGAAAGGCTAGCCGTCAACTGTGTGGAAGCGTGGTTGCGGAGTGGACGAACTATATGAATGGAGAAGAGGGACTGCAATGCTAGCGGGTACAGCCCTGCAAAACAACGCTATGAGATATAAATGAAAATTGAGACTGATTTGCGAGTTGTTGGCGCAAGGGCTGGGGGCAATAAACATGGTGAGGATGAGACAGAACATGGAATTGCCTCTCAGTAAGGAACCTCGGTTGATGGGGGTTGCAAATAAAATTGACCAATCGCTGTAGCTGCTAACAGTAGTATGCAGTAGTACCCATCGCTAGGAGTTTGCTTGTGTGTTAGACCCTTGCATCATGTGCTGAAGGTTGTTGGCGTCTGGAATGCGGAACCAGATTAGGGATAACCTCATGATCTATCATCATTCTGCCACAGGTGGAGTGTTAAGAATTTCGAAAATGCGGGGGGCCTGAGTGGCGAGCACCGAACAAGGAACAGCGCTGAGATGTGGGCGGGCTAGAGGAGCACAATTGCAGTATTCGTATAGAGACGGCAATAAATGGGCAGAGAGAAACAAAAAGTCCAAGGTATTCTCTGTGCATGACTTATGTCTTTGGAGTCAAGCACCGTGCGTCAGCGGGAATCATGATTGAGATGGCAGACGCAACGCGGGGGTCAGCCTTGCAAGTGTGATCTCTTTCTGCGACCAGATGAAAAAAAACAGGCCATTGGTCTTCATCGGGGCGGCGCTCCATAGTGTTCGGGACAGGACCGCAACATCGGTCGAAACAGAAAATAGTTGCGGACGTAGACTCGGACGTGGACTGGGGGGCCACCTAACAACTGATGCTAGCTTGTTTGGATAGCTGATGTTGGTGTTAAACGAACAAATCATCATTACTTGCGTTTGAAGAAGTGGAAACGGAAACCAGCGGGCGAGGGCCACCGAACCTAGTTTGACCTCAGCAACAGAGGGCATGTCAGCGTTTGGGATGAGAGATGCTGCTGGCCTGAGAAGGACTCGGCAATGAAAGGAATAGTTCATGTCCACACTGCGAAGAACTTTTAGTTTGCAAGGATTACTGTCCTGGCCAGAAATCAGATGTTGAATAATTCCACTTGTGTTTGTTTACCGTCTCAGCGGTGTGAACTCCAGCACGTTCATTCAACCCAAAACCAAACAGCCTTAGCAATCAAGTGCGATCTGCGCTCGTTGCCGAATCAAGGGCAACAAACGAAAATGCATCCTTGACCCGCTTTGCAAGAAGAAGCGCGCCCGATGCTACGGTTCCGATACTGGGACCGGCTTCCGCACCTGCAGCTTTCATCGGGCGACACCACCCCATTTCAGTTCGAATTGCGAGATCGTCAGATATTGTCACATACTGGGCTGAGCTATTTATGGAGTTGCCAAACTCTTCATCATCCAACCCCTCGTGCACTGGTCATTGCGCCTAGCCGCAAATTCAGATAGCATGAGTAACACAGTTCCACGTGTGCTGCACACTCTCCGGACATGGACGAGGATTGCATATTGTGCCTACACTCCTGCAATCTGCCAGGGATCCTTATGGAACAATAGATTCGTGTCACCAGTCAAAACAGTTGATAACATCAACCAAGTCTACTTAACCCTTCTTCGCGAAATTCTCCTGGGCAGCCCTAACATCTTACGGGCTACACTCAATGTCATTTGGCTTGTATGAAACACGTCAACCGCGAGACTGCCGATTGGCGGATAACATGCTTCCTGCTTACTACAGTAGTAGGCTTCCAGATGGCTCACATACGCAACACATGGTGCTAGGTGCATCTGGCAAGCGCGCCTCTTGTATGGTCACCGATTTGATGAGGTGTCTTCCCATGAATATACCTGCCCATGCAGGCACATAAATACACCGTCCGTTCTACTCCGGTAATAGATTGAAGGTCGTTTAAAATACACGAGTACAAGAGAACATCTTAACCCTACCCATTCTTATTAAGAACTCGTAGCTTCCTGCTGCGAGCTTCCTTCAGCTCCTGAACCATTTGCCGATGCGGCCGAGTCCTTGTTCGCCATGGCCATCTGCCATGCTGGGATCGATGCCTTTGCGCCTGGCTTGCCGCTGAATGGCGATGTCCTGTTGAAGCTTGGCGTTCCCGTCGTCTTCGGGGTTTCAGCGTTGTTTGCAGCTTCGTTATCTGCGCCTTGGCTGTCGTTCCCCACGGCACCTGGACGACTTATCCCAGTTGTCGCAGGCGCTGCAGTTGCTCCATTGCGTAGACCGTTTGCACCTGCCGACGCCGAGCTCGCATTCATCCGCTGCGTGATCAATGTTTTCAAGCTCGTGAGCTCTGTGTTGACCTCCTTAAGCCTTGTATCGGTCGCTTCTTTCTGGGTCTCCATGGCCTTGGGAATTGAATCCTTAAGGATCTGTACGTCGTCCTTAATGCGCTGTGCCTCTGTTTCCCTTCGTGAGTTCGCCGACCGGAGTTCCTTCATCACAGACTCTAATTCTTCAAGAGCCTTGTCTAGCGTCTCCGTCCGCTTCTGTTCCGCTTCCTTAAGGGCCTCGGTATCTTTAGCGAGCTGTTCGACCAGCCCGAAGGCTTTGTCGAATTGCTCCTCGATGGATTTTTTGTCCTGTTCAAGTTTCTCGGGGGTTGGTGGCGCGATCATGGGATACACATAACGCTGCATTCATCAGTCGAATGCTCTAGAGTGAAATACTGCAGAACCCATACCTTTGCCAAAGCATAGGCACCATAGCCAACGCCGCCGACAACAGTCGCCATGATAAACCAATCTCTCCAGTCTCTCTTAGGGGGCGGCGGCGGAGGTTGCCATGCTGCATATTGAGGAGGGTATGATGGTTGATAGTACTGTTGCTGCTGGCTGACGGGCATCGAAACTGAAGCACTAGCTGTGGGGGGGTGCACGCCAACTCTTGCGAGAGCAGCATCAATCTCTTCCTGCGTGAGGTTCTTGGTTCGAAGGAAGGCTACACGGTTTTCGACCGAAGAGGTCGCAACACTGGGATCCTGGAGGACTATGGACTGATTAGTTTAATATTGTCGGTTCGTTGATTCATCAGGTACTGACACTGCGTCTATATCTTGTCAGTAAGTGAACGTTGAGTTGGAGGACAAGGCTTGTCATCATACCGCCGAGGCGACTATATCCTCACGAATCGCCATCTCTTGAATTGTCACCTCACCAGCCCCGACGCATTCTCTTCACTCAAGGACTATGTTGCGACGAAAGGCAATAAAGATGCACAAGACATGTGCTGCAGAAAGTTGTCTTTGGGTGGTTCGCCTCGAGACAGGCACGTAATAAAAGATGGCCGGTCTGAACCGAGGCTTCGGTGCAACCCAGCGGCTGGGGAACCGGTTTACCTGGGGAGAGGTCCCCGCGCGGCAGTTTCCACAATGTACTTGTTAAATTCATTAATGTATCTAAGCACCATAATGAGATGCCGAATGACTCCGAATGCCCCGCTTTATCCATCAGCACGTGTCGGGCAGCATTTCTAGTGTGGCTCCGGCGTCCGTTGTTTAAGAGGGCATGCGCCTGACCAATGAGGGATTAGAAATCTGGTTTGTTTACTTCCGCCAGAGCAACAACGTCAAGATTTCGCACAAGGTCCGCCATCCAACCTGCACCTATACACCTTGCAAAACGCGCGCATCGAGGAGCGAGGGTGCCGCGCAAGATTTTGATCTATTACACAGACCCGAAGCAACTACTCGAATATCGTGAGTACTTTCGCAAGCCGTTCAGCTGCCTCGACCCCTCAATCCGAACTACTGCGCAGCCTCCCAACATGTCGCAAGACACTGGTCTGTGGAGTGTGCGCCGACCAAGGGAGGTCAGTCTCTAATGGCGATGAGCCTGTCGCAACGCCTTTTCCCTTAATAATCGCTCTACTGACATGTTGCGCAGACCTTAGGAGGTATCAACTACAACTCTGGCTTACCCCAGCCCGCATCCGCAATGAAACGGTCCAACTCCAACGCAGGCGCACCGTACTCGAACAGCCATGCTCGGTCTATGTCCGGGTCCAGACACTCTCTGGCTTTGTCACGGCCGAGCCAGCCCATGTTCCAGCGTTCCTCTTCTGGAACCAACTTGGCGGAGATGGGTCTTTCTTCCGTGAAGCGGACTTCTATGCGGGACAAATCCTTCGCGCCAACGCCTGCCCCGGGTCGCACATCTACTGATGCCGACAGAAGAAGCAGCGTGTATCGTGCGCGACCTTCAACAAATGGGCCCATGAGTCACCAGTCTTTCTTTCAGCAGGCACCTCAGCCCGCGGGCGTACCGCGAGACCCGCGCCCCTTAAAGGACAGGTCCTACCAGGCCAGGATTGGGCAAGAACTACTCGATTACCTTGCGCAAAACAACTTCGAGATGCAGATGAAGCATGTTCTCTCGCAAAATATCATCAAATCCCCAACGCAAAAGGACTTCAACTTCATGTTCCAGTGGCTGTACCGGCGCATTGACCCTAGCCACAAATTTCAAAAGAACATAGACCAGGAGGTGCCACCAATCTTGAAGCAACTCCGTTATCCATATGAACGAAGCATTACAAAGAGTCAAATCGCTGCTGTTGGTGGACAAAACTGGAGCACATTCCTGGGTTTGCTGCATTGGATGATGCAGCTCGCGCAGATGTTGGACGGTTATGCCTGCAATCGCTACGATGACGCTTGCCTCGAAAGTGGTATTGATGTTACTGGTGATCACATAATCTTCGATTTCCTCAGCAAGGCATATAGGGATTGGCTTTCTATGGATGAAGATGCGGACGACGAAGATGCCAACCGAGTCCTGGCTCCACATGTTCAACAGATGGCGCAGGCCTTCGAACAAGCAAACTCCAAATACAACTCTGAGCTTGAGATGCTTGAGGCGGAAAACAGCCGGCTTTTGAGAGAGATCGAGGATCTTGAAAAGTCCACACCGGATCCAGCAGTTCTTGACAACCACTTTAGGATCATGGAAGAAGATAAGGTCAAGTTCGAAGAATATAATGCTCTTGCTTTGCAGCGGTCTGATAAATACGAAAACCGAATACAGGTCTTGCAAGAGGAGCTGGACAAGCTCATGCAAGAACTCAAGGAAGTTGAGGATGAGCGAAGAGGACTACAGAAGGCTGTGGACGATTTGGGCATCAGTATGCAGGACATTGACCGGATGACGGCTGAACGAGAACGCCTTCAGAAAGGCATCGAAACAGCAGTTCAGCGATTGGAAGAAATCAAGAAAAAGGTCGCAGAAAAAGATCTGGAGGCGAGTAGAAAACTAGAAGAACTCGAACGGATGGTCGACAAGTACAACACTCTGGCCTATCAAATTGGTTTAATACCTGCAACAGCTGTCAATGCCAAAGGAAAAGACTACGAGCTTCAAGTTACAGTCAACGATGGTCCAGATTTTAGCTCATCACAGCTAAAAGGCTCCGGCGGAGCTTCCTCATCGGACAGACTGCTCGCGGATCCTGTCACCGGATATCAGCCCGCGCACATTCTCAACCTAGATCTACGAGGACAAGTGAAGAACAGCTTCCTCACACTGAGAAAGGAGATCTCCGAAAGGAGAAGCGTCGCTATGGACATGATGATGAAGGATCATGATTTGCTCGACGGCATCAAGGAAGCCATTGAGGACAAGCGTAGCGAAGTTGAAGCCCTCGAACATCGCGTTCGTGCTGCTGAAGAGGAGTATGAGAAGACCAAAGAGGTAGGTTTTACTGGCAGTTTGGATGGAAGTCCATGACTGATCACACATATCAGGTCACGACAGCACAGAAAATGGCATCCGACGCCCAGATTGAAAAAATGGAAAAGGAGCTCGCCAAAATGCGAGCGACTCTGTCCGAGTCGGTGCAGCTCATGGAGCAGCGTGAGATGAACACCAGTATCGAGTGAGTCATAAAATTCAAGGCTTGGTGCAGAACTGACAAGAATTTGCAGGTATGAACAGCTTGTCCTCCGTGCCAATTCCTTGAGGGAGGAACTTCACACAGAGATTGATCGGATGCTTAACGACGTCATCAAATTCAAGATTCACGTCCAGAAGAACCTGGATGAATACGAGAATTTTGTAACAGATGAGTTAGAGAAGGAGTTGGGAAGTGATGAGGCTAAGGACGATACCCGGGGTCTGGATATGTGATCTTCTTTTCGGGTTCTTGGGCGGCTTGGTGGATGTCCTTTGGATGGGTGGATTCCCTGTCGATTTGCTGAGCGTTCGGGCGCGTCTTCGACCCAGGTCTTGTTTTGGTTCATGCCTCTCAGATACCACGATGACGGATAATGACAGTTACAGGTGGCTAGCGCAGTCATGTATGAAATTGATTTCTGTTTTCCTATCGCAGTTTCGAAGCTGTTTTTAGATGCGCTGAACACCTGACGTGGATGGGGATGGGGTAAAGAGATGCTTAAAGAAACTTTTGCAACCATAGAGTTGCTTGAATCCCTGGTTCTGATGGGGCTGTATACAATCTCTTTATGGCCATGGCAGGTGTTCGGAGATGGCATGGCAACTATTGATTAAGCGGCTTGCGGGCCGCCGTTGGAAGTGAGGTGCGAGACTAAATAGTTGAAACTAGGACACGGCGCGGAACAGAGGCTGAAAAAGAATAACAACCATGATGACAACGACAAAATCAACCTCCTTGTCCATAGCTGGTAAACGTCCTCTCGGTATGCAACTGCTTGACCGAAAGTTACAAACATGGGAGAAGGGATTCTTCGAAGCAGACTTATGGGACATAGAATTCATTGTCCAAGATCGTCTTCTTCCCCCAAATGCCTCAAACATGGTCAAAAATTGGCTTCAAGATTGTCGTGATGTGGCACACTTAGCTAGGCTGGACCCATCGACATCTAGGTTGCAAGCCGACATCGTACAAGATTGCGAGGCTGAGCTGCACTGTTTTCAAAATAAGTTGAGCTTCAAAACGAATAGATTCACGCTGATCCCACACAAACTCGCCATATTAAAGGAGCGGACGAAAGAGCCAGGAGGAGGAGGCATTGGAGCAACTCATTCTGACAAACCCAAAGAGCTGATTACCGGTTCCAACGCAGAATCGAAAGGTATCGCAATTTCGAAACGCCTGAGCCTTGAGCTGGTCCAGAGAATGACGAGAATACCGGAAGAAATAGAAGAGAATACCATTTCGAATCCAGATGACGATGGGTTCGATATATCGCGACAAAAATCGCAGCATGGTAGTGATTTGGTTCAACGGGAAGCTGGCCAGGAGATACGGCGGTTGCAGTTGGCAATGAGGTACAAATGGCCAGTAAACTTGCGCAGGGCTAAAGTACAGTTTTTACGGGCTATGGAAAGACAGGAATGGGAGCGTGATGAGGTTGAGCTGGTTTGGACACAGCTGCACCTCTAAGAGGTATACCAGGTAAACCCCGTATTAGCAAGGGCTATTGACTGTGTATATTTTAGAACGCTTCAGACACCATCCACCATGAGGTTGTGGCCCATGTGTTGCTAGTACGGGCCCGACACTCTTGGCCAGATACTTAGGGGAGGTGGATGACTGGCAAGCCATGTGGTTGATCAGATACTCATGTTTACACTCCCATCAATTATCAACGCAGGTCATTTGACAAGAATCACTACTCTCTCTCCTTTTTTTTTTTTTTTTTTTTTTCCTTTTTGGCTTACACACCAAATGAGGTTAGTGTCCACTGAAACAACATTTATCGGGTGGATCATTTTCCCGTGTGTACGTGGTCTGGACCTTGGCATGTGCGTGGGCTTGTGCATCAACAAACTGCTTCCGAAGGCATTCGGCATCGGTCTAAATGTTATTTCCCGATACGGGGCCGGGTTTAACACTGGCAGGAGGCTAGGATCTCCCGACTGGTCCGTAAAGTCCTATGTCCGGCATCTCCACCATGAACTTGGGTGCTTGAATTGTGCCGCACTAGAGATGGTGACGCGCATACTGGCAGCCATAGGAGTTGAGGCAAGAACATGTAATTTAGAACTTTGTGCATCGGTGTCTGTCGGGCATTAACGCACCGCAGCTGATTGATTTCCAGCCACAACGGTTATTGGCCTTGCAGCCGATCGGGCGTCTTTCTTATCTCCAGCAGCAATGATGACAGCAGGTAGGGCCGGTTGCGCCGACGGCTTGGATGGCGAACCTGACCGGTTGATATGGCTGTTTTTAAGGGTTCTCTCATTCTTAATTCAATATCCGAGTCTACTCCTAGAAACCTACTACTACTTGCTCCGGTTCTGTCTTAGACCCTGCCTTGAGTACATGTGATTGCCAACGACATCTCTAGTGCTAGTGTAAGAATAGACGGGGGGTTCAGGTCCACATCAGCTCTTGTCTCGTCCCACATTCCCCACCATTGGGTGCATGGTAGCTACGGTATGCATCTTTAACCCAGGTGCCACGCGGGCGGCTGTGTCGCCTGTTAGTCCGTACGCCTCCGGCTGCTCAGTATTTTCTCTTGGCACAGTACTTCTTTCAAAGGAACTCAACTCTATATATGCTTACGGCCCATCCCTTAAATCACTACCCAGGGCTCGTGAAAAACCATGTCCACACTACGGCACTTCCTCCGTTCTTTCTTCCAGCAGCCGGCCATACATCCCGGTGCTAGAAAATCTTCCACAACCTTAGCTTCGGTCCTCGCAATATCAATGGCTTCGTATTCGACCACCGTCACGAAAATTCCCGACTTAGGCCCCTCGCCCGATGATGCTTCCGCAAAGCCCCATCACGTTAAGAAGAACGGCGTGACCGTCGGCTTCAAGAACATACATCCCTCTTATGCAGATGGCGTAGGCCCTCTAAAGATCATCAAGCATGTTGTCTGGTACGTCCCGCATCTCTTCCTTCGACCCAGCACCGTCTGTCCTTGGATCATCCTACTAACGCCATTGCGATCCAGGCCAAGCCTGACAGGCAAATTGCCATCTCCGGACGTGACGCCCCCGACCGTCTCTGTAGTCAAGCCTGATTTCCTGCCTACCCGTACAGCATCCAGCAACCTCCGTGCAACCTGGCTTGGTCATGCGTGCTACTACGTCGAGTTTCCCTCTGGCTTGCGCGTGCTCTTTGACCCAGTCTTTGAGGACCGCTGCTCGCCTTTTTCCTTCATGGGTCCGAAGCGGTATACTCCCAAGCCCTGCGACCTCGCCGACATCCCCTTTGTGGACGCCGTCCTTATTAGTCACAGCCATTACGATCACCTTTCTCACGAGTCTGTCCTCACGATTCAGAAGCACAATCCTAATGCCCATTTCTTCGTCGGCATGGGTTTGGAGTCATGGTTTAAGAATGCGGGCCTGAAAAACGTTACAGAACTGGATTGGTGGGAGGATGCCGAGCTGACACTGGCAATAAACAAAGGCACTGCAGAAGAACCCGAGACTATTGCCGCCCAGGTGTCGTGCCTCCCATGCCAACATACATCCGCCCGCACACCATTCGATAAAGATGTGACTCTTTGGGCTTCGTGGGGCGTCAAGTCAGGAGGCAAATCGGTTTGGTTCGGAGGCGATACTGGATACCGTGCGGTTCCATACGTCCCTCCAAACGTCGACGACTATGGTCCTGAATTTGCATCCCTGCCAATTTGTCCCCAGTTCAAGCAGATTGGCGAGCTTAGAGGACCCTTTGATCTTGGTCTCATTCCGATCGGTGCATACTACCCCCGAGTGGCTTTTTCGCCGATGCATGCCAACCCTTTTGACTCGGTTGAGATCTTCCAGGACACCAAATGCGAACGCGCAATGGGCATTCACTGGGGGACATGGGCACTGACCATGGAAGAAGTATTAGAGCCCCCTAAACTCCTTCAGCTGGCTATGAAGCGGAAGGGTCTCCCAGAGACTGGTGTATTTGACGTTTGTGACATCGGCGAAAGTAGAGAGTTCAAATGATACACTCCTGGACAGACTATCAGTATTTTTATGTGTTGTATCGTGTTAGAAAGGGGGCGGTGGGCGTCTGAGGAGCAATCTTGGTTTCAATCATTACAGGCTCAGATTGTTTTATGATACCATGACGGTCGACAGACATGGACCAGTACTAAGCGAAAGTTGATTTGATTTAGGTTGAGCTTATCGGCACTTTAGTATAGACGAACACTGATTATCATGGACAGTTCCATATTGTTTTATGTATCCCACATAGGATTGCCTGCATGTGAGTTCCTATACTGTTCAGTACTGGATTACTAGTTGATGATGTTTTTTTAAATAGTTAGAGTGGTATTCTGTTCCGCCATAGCCTGGGCGCATGCTCGGGCACATCCTCTTGCTTCCCTTCTTTTGTTTTACAGGAACTCCTTTCCGCTACCGCTACCGACAATGCTTCCGATTATATCCAGGGCGTAATTCCTTGCAACGCCAAGTAATGCAAACATAGGAAATCTTTCAAACTTCAGAGCCGGGTGTTTCCCTAAAATTACCCAAACCGTAGTCCATCCACCATACACAACCTGAAAAGATAAGGGGAGAAAAGAGAAGAGACTGAGAAAATGAAAGTAACAAGGAAAACAGCAATTATAAGAGTAGCGTTGGGATGTCAAAGTATTCTACTCGCCAACGCCGACACGTCATCTGATTTCGCTAGTTGATCAAACGCTTTCACCAATCCCATCGCGGCACCAGCCGCAGCGCCGCCAACGACAACCATTTCCAGGCCTCCAATTATAGCTTGTCGCACGCATCGTGACCCCTGCCAGCCGGAGACGATACATGTCTTGACATAACCGAAGGTGAAGAGCGCGACGGCCATAACGGCAATAGAGACGTACAGTGCAAGGTAGACGTTCTCTGATGGGACGAAGAAATAGGGGAATAAGGGCACAAGTCCACCCAAGAGATAGCCCGCGGCAATGGTCAGCGCAGAGACGAAAGCGCGGTTAGAAGCGGGCTCCTGCTCGCAATGATGGAATTGCATGAGGAAATCAATGAGGCGAGGTGAGGTCGACAGATGGTCAGTAACTTCCTCAAGGGTATGCTTTGGCAGCTCATAGGGCTCGAGGACTTCCCTGACCTGGGCGCGAGCCAGGTTCGGGTCCTCTTGCGTCAGGCGTGTGCACTCGTTCAACGTTTCCCGGTAAGAGGCCCTGTGAAGCTTCCGGTCAGTACTTATTTTCAAGAACGATTGGGGTCTATGAAAGATAGTGGAATGACTATGGAAGTGGAGGGCAACGTACGCTTCGCTTTTCGCTCCTAGGTAACCTCCTAGGCCCATGGAGATGGCACCGGCAATCAGCTCGGCCATCCCACCAAAGATAACGACTTTTGTTTGGCCCAGCGCTGATAACCCAGCTGTAAGAGCAAAAGGCACCGTCAAGCCATCCGACAAACCAATAGTAGCATCGGATATGACACGGGCATCGATACGGAAGCGGGGAGATTCGGTATGAGAGGATGTAGATGTCGCGGACACAACCGTCGTCATCGTGGCGGTTGATGTTGACCTAGCTCCCAGCAGAGGCTGTCTCTCTAGGTCGGCTTCAGTGATAGTGTCGTCCGACATGGTGCTCTCCGCGCGCTCGTTGACAGGTTTGCGGGTAGGAGCCTGTGTCCGCCCAAACAAGAGATTTTTCAGAGTAACGAGACCCATTGTAACTTTCTGCCTGCCGTCTTCCACAGAAGGGATTCCTGGGTCGAACGGGGTCTGCGGAAGAGTCTTGTAGCTCCTCTCTGCCTGGAACTCCGACGAGTTCGAGAGTGGTTGTCTATGAGAGGATGATGCCCTTAGTTGTTCTTTCTGTCTAAGGTAACACAAGGAGTTCGCGGCATCAAGGAGGAAATCCGGGGTAATAAGACAAGAACAAAATCGATGTTTGTTTGTGTTTTCCTTGCTTATTACCTGGCTAATGGTGGTTGCGAGAAGTTATTTGATCGTGTATCTGTGATTTGAGTCAAGACAGGCTTTTGTATTGTTGAACACATTCCCGGCCGTCGAAAATTCCACAGCCTGCCTCTTGCATTATAAAAATCTAACCAGGGCAACGAAAGTTACTGAGCCCACCGAAAAGAGACAAGCTTGGCCCTTTTCCTCACAATTCTGTCTCTCGTTCGCCGGCAGCTCTCACCATAACCCAGGAACTTAGAAGGGGGCCCTGGGCTCTGGGTGAGCTCTGGGTCTAAGTCCCCCCCACCTGCAGGGTGGTTTACCCTTCAGATGGGTAATCGATATTGTATGGTTTTTTATTGGCTATCTCAGATGCTCATCATGATATCCAAGCTCCGTCATTGGTTCGGAGTGCCCCTCCCAGGGACAAGCTCGGGGATCCGCACTTCCGCCTGCGCAAGGTCCACGCAGGGCTCACTCAGGATGGTTCCATACTAGTGTAAGTGCTGTTTTCTGACCGTGCATCACCATCAATTAGCCGCTTAAATCCGAATCTGTACAGGAATAAACCACGGCTATAGCCATACTACGTGGAGGCAGAGCAGGTTAACAGAATCAAACTGTCAGACCAACGGCACTCTCATCTGCTTGCCTCATTCGGGCCTTATGAGCCCCTGACAGCTCCTGTTGATTGGCCTACACGATCCCCCCGGGGGTGCAGCGCTTGTGCCCGGAGAAAGAGGTTGAAAGCAGAAGTGGCTCATAAAAGTCTTACAAGACACATGTCAAGTTTTTTGGGTCTTAGACGGGGTCAAGTAGATGGATACTGTAAAACTCAGTTAAGAGACAGTCATCTCAAATGACCGGCTGCATATCCCGCTCGGGGCTCGGCGCGGTGTATTGAAAAGCAGGATCTCTTACTGGCTCCTGAACAACTGCGTATGCTAAGGTACGTAGTGCTAATATGCACAGTTCGGACCAGAGTTTGAGTAGTGCCTTACTAGATACCTGAACGGTGCTCACTACGCCTCGGAAGCGTAAGCCGTTAAAGCCGTCCCCATCGTGTCCGATGCGATGAAGAGAAGGGGGAATCGACTAGCTCCAAGTTATTCCTCTGGGGTCCAGGCCTTCAAGGGTGCGATCTCCTTTCCCCCCAGAATGACGTTGCCTGATGACAGGCAGCACCTCCATGACGCAACTGAAATTCCTCAAGCTTCCTCGACTCCTGCCATGTATACAACATCTGATAGCTCTGCTTTTCTTCGATAGCCGACAACGAGGTTTCAAACGTGCGATCACTACCAAGTGGCATAATTGCTCTTGTCGAATGTTCGCGTGATTTGGCCGCATTTCGGTCAGGACGGACGCTTTCAAACACCAAAGCGAATAAAGCTGCATCTAGGAGCAGATGAGCACCTGGGGCATTGTGCGTTGCAAAACTTAACAAGCTCAGTGGCCAAGCGTTGCAACAACGATGCTGCGATGCGCTCTCCAAGCGCTTTGACTATGCGACTATTTTCTATTGGGCTCACTGGAACAAAGTTTCGAAATGAAGACGACTCATAGCATTCCCTGGAATAATCTCCTGTGTTTTACTTGCAATGGCGTTGGCCTAAGACTCTCTCTACCTTGTCTGACTGTCTAGGTGGTTACGTTAACTGTGGCATTCGCCTTGTCTTTTTTTTTTTTTTTTAAATTCTATTGCACAAAAAAAAAAAAAAAAGAACTGGCATGTTAAAAACATAACCCTTGGCCGTTGAAGCTTTAAAGCCCTACTCTCAGCAGAGCCAGCCTAAGAGAATGACCACCGAAGCATTCCACAGGCGTGCTGGCTGGTCAACAGTTTCATCCACGCAACGTACTGGCAAACTGTCTATAAGCCATGTTGGCACACTTGCTCAGTCCAGGCTCGTCATCAGGCGGGGCAACCTCCGTCTTCGGCTCCAAGATTGGTTGGACAACCTAGTCCTGGCACGTTCTCTTCGCCACAAGCTGCTGTGGCGCTACGGGCCCTGATACATTCCCACTGCTTGAAATTGTCAGCTTCATCAACACCTCTTACCTCTCGAACAACCGAAGGCATATATCGTCCTCTAGTGTAGCTGTTCGTTCCCCTCCAGAATCAGCTCTTACCAGCACTCCAATCACAATGGGTCTCCCTCTCAAGCATGGCGCTCCTGGCGCCAATACAGATTCGCCCGCTCAATCCCAGGCTTCACAGCCTGTCGGGACCCAAAACCAACAATCCGGTCCAGCCACGGGAGCTGGAGTCAACACAGGCGCTGGGAACACACGCCCCAAGACGGAAGCTGAGCTTGAGGCCGACCGACTTTATGAGGAAGCAATGGAGGAGGAATACGCTAAGAGAGACGGTGGTTCATGAAACCTTGCATCTTTCTTCGCTCATGGTTCGCTCATGATACGCTCATGATACACGACGACCGTCTTCATCTTATGTATTACTTCTGGGTATTCATTGCGACTACGGATATTATTACACCTTCCCTGGATTTTATATACTATTCCATTCGGGCTATTCTTTCGTCCGCTTAGTGCCTTCTTTCATGAGCGCAGCTCTACGCAACTCGAAATGGATGGGCCTCCGTGTTGAACACCCACGTGTTGTCTGCCGCTTCAACATGGACCTTGGCGTCCGTGGCCTGGATCAAGTAGCTATATTTCAAGACCTCGGCAAACCAGAAGCTTTCTTGAAAGTCGTCAAAGGATCCTCCCTTTGGATCATTAACGTTTGTGATGGACGAAAATCCGCTGCCGGTGCTGCACGTTTTATTGATGGCCAGGAACGCATCCCAAGCCCAGTCCTGATACTTGGCGTCTCCTGTAGCGCGATATGCGTAGTAGTAGCTTTCAATGACTTCCGGTCGAAGCACGTATGAGCCACCATCGCTCCTGATCCAGAAGCCAGCCCGATTGTAAAAGTCCGTTTGGTTTGCAGGCGGTGGGGGATTCAGGGTGGTATTGATGCCCGGCTTGTCATCAAACCAGCGGAAAATTTCGGGTCCAATGCCGGTGGCCGTTTGCTTGTACGTTTCGCGGCATGAGTCTGCAAGCTTAAGACCAAAATCGACGTACTTTTGCTCCTTGAGAACAAGGCCGCCCAAAACAAAGCTCCCTCCATCGAAGCATGCCACTGGTCATTTAGTCAGTGTCTGAAAAGTAAATGAGTAGAAATACAAACAACCCACAGTGAGTCGAAATAAATCTTAGCTGAGCATTGGTATAGGCGGCGAGGAAGGTCAAATCCGGTCGCGTGGTCGGATTCGATGCAAGGAACTTGATGGAAGAATCTGCCGCCGCAATCCAGCGGTCCTTGTAAAGAGCAAACCTTTTTTGGTCATACACCCACATCTTGATGAGGTACTCGTAGAAGCTGTCGGTCCCGCCATTCCACCCACCACTGCGGTCTGCAAAGGTGCCATTGGAGATGAAGACATCAGTGCCCAACAGGCCAGGAAACACCTCTTCATTCGGTTTGAGCAAGTAGTCCTCTCCGCGCTGGGATAGATTGGCGTACTGCATATCGCCCGTCAGATCGCTTAATCGAGTCCACTCTAGGACCAAGGTTCCTATGGTGGCAATGCCGTTTGTGCTGGAACCGCTTTTGCGTGGCTTTGGATCGTAGATGAGAGTATTGTCTGGTACGCCGGAGGGAGTATCGAAGGCTACCTTCAGATTATCCGCAAGTCTCTTAGCCTGCGTAAGTAGCGCATCTATCCCCGCTTGGTTGGATGCGACGTCCTTGAGAGGGCCCTTGAGCATATCGTGACCTTTATCGTTCAGTTAGGAATGGCATGCCCCAGCCAATGATTAGCTATCGTGATCTTACCAGAAAGCAAACCGCCCAGGTATCGAATCGTTGTTTCGAACACGGAGACCTCGGTGGTTGTAACGTCAAAGTTAATGTTCGGCACGAAATCTAGGATTTGCCCAACAACATCCTTGTTTTCCATGATGATAGCTGTGCTTAGAGCATCGACAGCGCTGGCGCCCCATCCATTACTGGGTAAACAGACTTAGTGGCAGTTCGACGTTGGCTCCAAATGTAACACAAACTTACCGGTCGTTTTCGAATGTATTCGACACCGGCTTCAGAGTGTCATTTGGAAACGCGAACTTACGGTATCCATCCCAGGAGCGTTGGAAAGCCTCCTTCACGGCATTTGCTCTGTCAGGTTGCGGTCTGTATTGGGGGCTCGCTGATGCATAGGCGAGAAGTCCAGTGAACATTAAGGCGCCTCCCAAGGTACCTCCTGAATGTAACAAACGCATAATGGACTTTTATGCTGCGCCTTGAGGGAGAGCAATGAAGAAACAGTACCCCGAAAGATGCCGAAGGAATGTGGAAAAAAAGGAAGGCAAGGGGAGAGGGCCCAAGATATAAGACGAAAACGTGAACGACGAGATTCACGGAGAAGGACCGGTGAAAAGGAAGCATGTATGCGGCTCACCACACAAAAGCGATTGCAAGGCTACGGCTGGACAGGTTGGGATCATGCAACCCTAGAATATCAGTTGATTCTGGCACACCAGGGAATGGATAAACTCTGTTTCTCGTCTAGAGTTCCCGGGCTTTGTGGTTATACATACCCTTGTCTCATCGTAACCTGAGTTTTCCACTGCGCCACTACTTCTGCTTCTGCTTCCCCTGCGTCTAGTTTCTGCAATTCGTGCTCTTCAGGGATGTACAAGTAGCATCCTACTAGATGTTGGCTGCATCTCTCTGATGCCGTTCTCGTTTGTTGATTGCATGGTGCACCTATCACGAGCCATAGGTTGCAAGTCCAACTCCAGACGAATGCAGAGCATTCGTTTATACATTAGACATCAGACTTGCATTTTAGTGAGATTACGTTGCAACGAAAGACTGGCTAGTCATCACGCGGGCCGAGTCCGTTGGTTACCGTGAATGACTGGCAGCAACACGCGCAAAGCAGATCTTGCCGACTTTGTCGCTCCTAGGAGACAGGGAAAGTCATCAAGCACAGACTTGCCTTGGTGAACCGAGCACGTGCGGGGCGTACCTTGTCAGTGCAACCCAGGCTTGATCGAGTATGGTGTTCCATTGGATACAGGTCAAGAGCAAAAAAAGAAACACAACAGTGGTTGAGTGCCCGAGCATCCAGGCGTCCACGTCCAGCTTTCTCACCTTTAAAGTTCACAGTGGGTTATGGCGGGTTCAACACAATTATCAGGATCATGTACTTCAGTAAACTGTGGTTGTTGTCTTATCAATCGATGGGCAAACAACAAACAGCCACAAATCGGTTGCCGTTGTATCCGAAGTAGTATTGGTGGTGAAATCGGTGTTCTCGGCCATTGCCAGTCTCCGACAAAAAAAAAAAAAAAACTTCATACTAAGTTTGATGCAAGCTATGCAATGCATGCACGTAGAATAATGGGGTGGCGGATTGCGTATGATACCCGGCGTGTGCGAGTAACAGTAGCGCAAGGGCTCTAGAACATCATTATGTAGACCGTAACATCGAGTCTGGTCATCTGGCGACTCGTCCAATATCAGCCACTTGACCAGGTCAGAAGGGGTAGTATCGTAGAAAACAACTCTACGTGTGACGATCACCATCTCCAACTTCTCGACTTCGGTACGTGACAGAATGTCTAGGCCAACACCGCAATGAGTGAACATCATGTACACTAGACTTCCCCACCTGTTCAGAGTGAAACATTTGGTAATGACATGATATGGTCTCAGATTGCACTTTCAGATGCTCTCTCTGCAAGCTCATTTGCATCCTTTGCATGACTTGTTTTTTTTTTTTTTTAAAAGCCGCTGCTCTTGCTGTCTCGATCACACAGCGAGCTCAGGTATTCATAAAGGCCGCATGAACAAGACGAGTCGAGCGCAGGATCTCGTCGTTTCTGATCTTCAGTCATGTTTGCACATCCATCTCGAGTCATGCTGAGGTTTCCTATTATGATGCAGAACAGAAATTTCGTTCCAGCCTGAAAAGAAAGCCAGGGGCGTCGGACTGCCTTTAAACATTGGGCCAACCCTGTATAGCTGGAATAAGCTTTGCTCCAGATATGGTCAGGGAGAATGGGGCGTTCTCAAAGCAATGGACGCTTTTGGAGGGCTGTTTAGCCTTGCTTTCGTAGCTTTGCAAGTGCGGCGGCAACCCCATCAGGGAGAGCGTCACTTTCGGTACTCCCGTCGTTTGACTTATTCGTTGAAGTCTGTGCTTCTGCGTCCCCGAGCGGCGTTTTGTTGGATTCCTCAATGACAGCAGCAATCAATGCCTCCTCGTCATCCTGGTCAACATCCGGAATATTCTTTGGGGAAAACTGTGCGGAGCGCTTCGTTGGATTGCCTGTCATGGTGCCCGTGGCGGCCAAGCCCTGCAGTGACTCTCTTGCAGACTCCATCTCCCGTAATGGGATTCTGCTGAGAGGAAGGGCTTGATCTAATCTCGAGGTTTGGGCCGTTCTTCCTTCCTCGGTGTTTTCAACCCGATCAAGCTGCCGTTTGGCGGCATTCTTAGCCCGGAAGGGCTCCTCTACAGCGCTAGTCCATTTATTAACTTTGACAGCTCCCCATCCCGCGATAATGCCAATTTGTTCGGGGTCGGCGTTTATGGCATTCTTTAAGCTGCCAAAGTTGCTGACTAGCGCCACAGCATCAGACTTGTTTACGCTCCGAGGTATTGTAACGAATTCGACGAGCTTTTCGGCATAACTTGAAGCTTGCTGCCCACGAATCGCATTGAAATTAGCGTGCTCATAGGATTTGTATAATTCGAGATAGCGAGCAGCCTCAGCAGCGGACCAGCAGAGAATAATCGTGACATTATTCACGAGCGACGTTTTGGACAACTCGCGTAAAGGTTCCTCGTGGTTCGAGATGTCGACCATGGTGAGAAGAATGCGCAGATTATATTTGCCTTGAAGGTTCCTTATTCTTGTATAGATGTATTCGGGGTGCAGGCGGTGGTACTTCAAGCTAAGCAGTTATTTGTTAGCAAGTCGATAGCCTGACCAGAATTAAGTATAGCACAAACCTTAAGAACAAGGCGCATGTTGTTGTACCCAAGCTATAATCAGCTGCGATATCACTGTACTCCCACGGCATAGACTTTATAGACGCGAGCACAGGATTTCCTCTCTGGCGAGGAGATACTAAGATGGCGGACCCTGATCCTCGCTGGGGTAGGGCTTGCGGTGTCGGCTGAACGATCTTGCTACTGGATGAGCTAGCCGGTGGTGCTCTATCTAGACGTTGAGGTATTGGCTGCTGAATCTTCTGGGGAGCTGGTTGTTGAGCTCTGTGACGAACAGGCTGAGCATGGAGTCGTGAAGGGCCCGAATCTGATGAAGCGAGGGCAGCAATAAAGTCGTCGTCGGCGCCAAAATCGTCATCCATGGCTAGACAGAAAGATCAGATTGTATAAGGTGGTTTGTGATAACCACGTGTAAACGTCTCCTGTACTTATTGTCTCCAACTGTGCGTGAGAAGCTCCTGCGTGATGATGGCATTTGGGGATGTAACAGTAAAGTGCACAGAGCATAAGCCAGGAGCGCCGAAGGGAGCTCTGAGGTAATCAGTGGAGCAGGTGTCTTACCCACTAGTGCTGGATTGATCGGTCTGGGTGGGCATGGGCTGAGGAGCAGTATAGTAGTTCTATGTCCAGGATAGCAGTGGGGCACGTCCCTGCGCCACTGAAATTCACGGCAGATCGCGGGGTAAGATCTTGTCTGATGGTGAAAGGCTAGTCATTGCCTCCGTGAATCCCAACTCAGCGGCCACTCTTCCCCCTCCACTCGTAAACTACAGACCCAGGTTGGGTAAAAAGTACGGGACTATGGAGAAGGGGCAGAGATACATGGTAACACTCCTGGCATATGTAGGCGAAAAGGATTACATAGGAGCTAAACTGAGCTCTTGATCCTGTTCGAAAACATGTGAATGTTCAGGATTCAGAACTTTATTTCTACAATATATACAGCCTTAACCAATAGCCTCAGGTGTTGGGTTCAGTTCCACATCAGTCTAGGTCCTCCGAATTCAAACATGCCACATCGTAGTGGCTTTCGTGGGAATTTGCATCGTTTGTAAGCTTATTGTGCAGCGAATAAAGAGCTGCCAACCATGTCTCAAAGATGGGCTCTAAATTATGTGCGCCTTCGTTCTCTCTCACCAGGTCCCTCAATCTCTCGTATGCTTCAATCATGACCCATATCTGGAGAGACGAAATGTCCTCCCCACTTCCATGTGGCCTTTCTAACATGGCTGTCGAGAGTTCGCGAGTGAGGAGATCCGTGCAAATCTGAAGGCTAAGATTGTGATCTGTTGGCGGTGGCTCTGCGTTGCGTTCCACACGAGCTCGACTCCGTGGCGGCGGTGTAGGTGGTTCTGAAGAGAAGGACAGAGGTTTGAAGTATATTGCTTCTTCGTCGAAAGCGACCAATGTTCCATCATCTGACGCAGGGGAATGATTTGCAGAATTGGCTCGCTGCTGAGGTGGGGGCTGGTAGGTACTCGGCCTCAGTTCCGTGGGAAGCTCATCAGACCCACAATGCGAGTGTGTTGACGGAGGTCGGGTGTACAAGGTCTGCTGTGAAGGTAGTAGATCTGATTGCTCGTCGACGTGGATAGAGCTGGCATCTTGTGATTCTATCAGGGCCTGATACTGCTGAGCAATCAGGTCGACGCTGGACCTATCAACTGTGACCGGTTTTATGACGCAGGGAGTGCTTTCGAGCTGACCAATTGTATAGACCGGTGTTTTTGCACGTCGTCTCATGCTAGATCTTGTGCTAATGGAAGAAGTTGGCGAGCTCATGGAGCTTTCGAAGGAAGGCCTTGGATATGAGCTACTGACGGCAAGATGGGAGAACTCTGGTATGAGTTCTGGGGGTGACGACAATGCGGGTTGGTCAGCTAAGGCTTCTGGTCGGTTAGATAGATCTTCTGCTTTGGTTTTGCCGTTGTTATTGTTGTTATTGTTGTTGTGTAGGTATTCATGCCATTTGGCGTCGCTGAGGTCTGGAGACAAATGCAGGGAAGGTTGGCCGACGGTTCCGGCATGTTGAGCAACTAGCCCGACGGCAGTACTGAGTTTATTCGAAGCAGACGAATCGATAGGCGCAGGGCGGCGAAGGGACGGTAACTTCTTTTGCAGCCTCTTCCTAAGACGTGGTTTTTCTGGTGTGTAATTTGCACTGGGTGACGGGGGAACAGGTGATGGTCTCCTGGAATGGCTCATTGCATCTGCGAGTAAGTACTCAAATGTTGTAGATGAAAAGTAGATGTGTCTTGAGTGGGTAGTTTAAAGACAAGACAAGAGCGACTTCATAAACCAAGTCTTGAGAATATCATATAGGTGTTGAGTAACAAAGGTGGATAATTCAAGGCCAGAGATCCATGAGTTTGTCTGGTAGGTGATAGGTAAATGACGTCCACCGACGGACATTGATGGTGCAAGAAAGATGGCGTGTTCCATGCACGTGTACACACTGAGAAGAGGTGCGAGAGGGGGATATAACAGGACGGGGCACGGTACCGCAGGGTATCCGCGAGTACGGATGACAGGACATGTGTCCGCACGCACAAGCAATGATGGAGTTGTGTAGACTTCTGACAAGAGGGCCCAAAGCAGGATCTGGCAGAAGCTGAAGCTATTGGATGACGGAGAGGAGGGTAGGGTGTGCCAGGATGAGGCAGATAGGGTAAGGTAGGGTCAAACGCTGTGCGTATGCGTCTTTACACAGGTCCTCGCACCTCACTTCAGCTACGTGTGGATGAAGGTTTGGCAGACAACGCATGATGGATGGCTACTAGTTAGTAGTGCTCAACAGGCTAGGCAGGGATGCTTCGTATCTCTCCAAGGCGAAGCACATATTCGCACTGCCTGGTGGCAGGTATCCGCAGACCCTCGACATGGTGGTCTAGAAGCATGGATGGATGTTTGGTGAGAGGGAACCCACCCCTGCTCCCACGTCATCGTATTCCACTTAAGGTGATGCGGGGATATTGAGGTCGAGGCTCAGGCTTTGTGAGGCATGCAGCTTGCCCCATAGGGGAGCATTCCCGGTCGCGGGTATGGATTGGTAGTGCAGTGCGTAGTTCGCCTTCGTCCAGAGAAAAAGACAGCATAAGAACCTGAAGGATTAGGTCGGACGAGTTGCATTGAGGACTGATGAGGCTGGGGCTAGCAGCAAATAAGATATGGTATGGTGCCATCCACCTCTGACGTGATTAGGGCTGCTTGAGCCGTTTCCGTAGTACAATCCAGTTCCTTTGCAGGAAGCAAGATTCAGAAAGAGAGACATTACTTAAAAAATAAAAATAAAAACTTTTACGGAGAGAGTGGAGACAGAAACAGATATGCCAGATAGGAAAGCATCGGAAAAAGCACCAAGTAACCCTGCTAAGATCTCAGACAGCAACGTTGTTGGACATCATAGGCAGTGATTGCTAGTGAATCAGTAAGCCGCTCCCCTGGTGATCTTTCGACAGCAATTGTGCGCACTTTTATGGTGGGGGGCCCTATGGTGCTGCGCCTGTGCAAACTGCCCTGAGCTCCTACAGAACCGGTACGGAACAAACTCGATTGGCTGATGTCATAAAAACCCTTGTTTGTGATGTTCGCAACCTTGATTTCCCGCCACCCTTCATCCACCTTGCCCTTCCGTCTGTTTGTAACCTGACAGATCCTTGACTTTTCCGTGTCCCGACTCAACGTGTGTGCCTCAACCGAATCATGTAGCCTCACCCTCGCGTATCCTTCTTCTCTTGTTCCAGCTGTCTACTCAGCCCGTAACTGTACAGCAAGACCATGGCTGTGGCAGTAGCAGCGGGTGGATAAATCGGAGCCTCTTCCGGCGTCTCGATTAACACTCGGAATCATCGCTTGTTTCCTTCTCCACGACTTCTTTCTCCATCCCACCCCACCCTTTCATCCCTAATGCTAATTGATGTCTCATATTCGCTTACGTCGATTGATTTTCTTTAGAGGTTTGACCAGCCTCATCGGCGTTGCCTTACATTTAGAAATGGTGAGACTTGGCAAACTTCGATTGTTTCCCTCGGCTTACGATGGGGGATTCAAGACAAGCTCCAGATGTCTGCTTTCCTCTGTTTTGCTCCCATAATCTTCCACGTTCAAATGGCTCGCCAACCTATGACGTAGACAGAGGATAGCTTCAGTAGCTGCTGGCTTGATCAAAGACATGTCGCCTTTCAATACGGTCCACTCTAGTCTGGCGAATCGACCACGACTTTAGAAAACTGGCCACTATCCTCGCTGCTTGCTGTCGCTCATAAGCCGTGGCTACACTAGGAGTACCAGAGTCACATTAGCAGATCATTTTTCTTTATTGCCCCTTCATTCGCGGCCAAGGTCTCCTTTGACTGGCATGAAAATCAATCCTGGCATCGAGTTGTTTGATACTATCTGTAGGTTACTTTCCTCCTTAGGTTAAGGGGTCAAGCTTAAGGATATCATTTCGTTCAAGCGACTGAGGCTCGGCCATGAGGTGCAAGGTCACGGCATAGCAGCATGTCTGATATGCCTTGATGTTTACCACTATCACTGGGCCGCCATCTGGATTTCATTCACAGTATATCGAGGAAGCTCAAGTACAACATGCTTGGCATGAAAATTGTAATAAACCCAGGTAAAGTGTGCGGCTCTGTGCCCTTAAGAAGAGGGCATTCTTCTTATCTTTGGACTGTGACTAAAGGTTAAGCCCTGGCGGGTTCGTCAAAGGTACCTGACCCAAAGACCCTAATGCCTTATAGTTACATGGTCTAGAAAACAATCAATATTCTATTACATAAACCTGCAGTTGCAGTATATGAGCTAAAGCATGTGTATATCTGGCGTAGTACAACTTGGCAGAAACAATCTAACCAACCGCCATTCCGTGATTGAAGTTTAACTGCGTTGTTTCAAAGTAATTCTTTGACTTCAAATTTCTCCTCGCGGACAAAGTATCGATCTAACACGGATTCAAATTGACTTCCAGTTTTATGACTCTTATCTCTTCTTCTTCGCATTTTGTTTGACTGGCTCATCCAATATTGATATGCTTCTTACTAGCTTTCTTGCGCCCGCGCCCAATGTTGCCAGCGCTGTGACTAGAGAGCCTGCCAGTACAGGTCTTCGCCAGCAAGCCGTTTATTATTGGTCTTCCCATGAGCTTAACAAGACTTACTTAAGCCAGGAGGAGAAAAAGGGCCTACCACTAGCACAGAAGCTGGGAGACAATTCCGTTCCAAATTTACCTTGGGGATCATTAAAATTGTCTAGCTCATTATTCGTCAATGCCACCATGTTACTACGTGACGCACATGCACATAGGATATCACAACCCCGGGACACCATACAACCCCTTCAAAGAGACCAGTCGGAGATTTATATACGCAAGTAAGATCCAATTTGCTTCAATTGAGCGCTTTCGCTGCATTTAACTCCCTTTACGATGGGATATAGAATGATGCCAAGTCCAGAAGACCCCAGCTACAGCAAGTCTTTGGATGCCGGGGAACAAGCGCCGCTTGCCTCTTTGATATCCCCCGCCATCTCCAACACTGAGTCTGACTGAGGGTGCCGAACCAGCGGACGCTAAAGAGGAGACGGAAGAATTCTTCCACCAATGGAAATTGCACAGTTGGAGGGGCCGAAGCCGGCTCGGCGTGGTATTACCCCCGCGCTGGCACGCGGCCATCAAGCCGGGGTATTTCTCAAGCCAAACCCCACTCCAGAGACCCCACGGTGCCCTTTCCGCTGCGTGCCCCTCCCCCTCTTCTGCTCGAGTTCCTCCAGGCAACTCCAAACTCGGGGTAAAGAGCCGTGACCCTGGCTGGCCATGGGCTGTTAGGTGGGGGGAAAAGAATCGCAGAGGCTATAAAAGTCTCTGTCTTTTTTCCGTGGTCTCGATTCAAAGTTCCTTTCTTCTTCGTCTCCCTCAACATCGGCCTTTGATTCCTTCTACACGCCGTTTTGTCCTTCCCATTCTTCCGCCGCTCTTGTTGCTACTCTCCCTCACCATCATGGCCGACATTACCATCACGGGGTGGAAGACACGCGATGTCCGCTTCCCCACTTCCCTGGACAAGACTGGCTCTGATGCCATGAACGCCGCTGGTGACTACTCTGCGGCTTACTGCATTCTCGAGACTGACTCCGAGTATTCCGGCCACGGAATGGTATGTCTATGTTATCTCGAATCCAATCCAATTGCTTATCGTAGAAAACAATTGCTCACATCCGTTTTCTCTACAGACTTTCACAATCGGTCGGGGAAACGACATCGTCTGCAAAGCTATCGACTACCTTGTTGACAGAATTAAGGGCAAGAAGTTGTCTGATCTGGTCTCTGACTGGGGCAAGACCTGGAGATACCTTGTCAACGATAGTCAACTTAGATGGATTGGCCCTGAGAAGGGTGTCATTCATCTGGCTCTTGGCTCTGTTGTCAATGCCATCTGGGACCTTTGGGCCAAGGTTCTTGGCAAGCCTGTCTGGCGCATTGTTGCTGACATGACTCCAGAGGAGTTCGTCAGTTGCATTGACTTCCGTTACATCACCGATGCCATCACTCCCGAGGAGGCCATCCAGCTTCTCAAAGAGCAGGAGCCCACCAAGGCTCAGCGTGTCAAGGATGCTGAGAACAGCCGTGCCGTGCCGGCTTACACCACTAGTGCCGGATGGCTTGGCTATGGTGAGGACAAGATGAAGGGCTTGCTGCAGGAAACCCTTGGCAAAGGTTACCGACACTTCAAGCTCAAGGTTGGCAGCAATGTTGAGCAGGACAAGAGACGTCTCAGCATCGCCCGTGAGGTTATTGGCTACGACAGCGGTAACATTCTCATGGTTGACGCCAACCAAGTCTGGTCTGTACCCGAGGCCATTGAGTACATGAAGCAGCTCAAGGAGTTCAAGCCCTGGTTTATCGAGGAGCCCACTTCTCCTGATGATATTCTCGGCCACAAGGCTATCCGCGAAGCATTGAAGCCCTACGGCATCGGTGTCGCCACTGGCGAGATGTGCCAGAACCGCGTCATTTTCAAGCAGCTCCTCATGTCGGGTGCCATCGACATTTGCCAAATCGATGCCTGCCGCATGGGTGGTGTGAATGAGGTGCTCGCTGTCCTCTTGATGGCCAAGAAGTTCAACGTCCCCATCGTGCCTCATTCCGGTGGTGTCGGTCTGCCTGAGTACACGCAGCACCTGAGCACGATCGACTACGTCGTTGTCAGCGGCAAACTCTCAGTTCTTGAGTACGTCGACCACCTGCACGAGCACTTCCTCCACCCTTCCGTCATCAAGGATGGATACTACCAGACCCCCACGGAGCCTGGCTACAGTGTCGAGATGAAGGCGGACAGTATGGACAAGTTCAGCTACCCCGGTCAACCTGGTGTCAGCTGGTGGACCAGTGATGAGGCCAAGCCTATCCTTGAAGGAGAGAAGATTTGAAAAAAATCATCTACTCACAATTGGTGATGTGAAAACCAAGGGGTCAAGCCGTTAATGCTTGTCCGCAGGGCAACGATGGCATCCTGTATCTCTGGCACGTGCCGGTCATCCTTTGTAATGGACTAATGGTATGGGATTAAAAGGGGTCTGGTTGGGATGACTAGTCCGCAGGGCAACGATGGCATCCTGTATAGCTGGACAATTGGCTATCCTTATGCATGGGTAAGGCAACTGCATACTTGGGTGGAAATCGGGGGTTTGGCGAAGAGAGCCATCCCGCAGGGCAACGATGGCATCCTGTATGGAACAAGCAAAATCTTGTGGCCATCCCAAACAAGCGTTTGATTTTTGATTTTTTGTTTGAATGATAGCATTGCGAGAAGAGAAAAAGGGGGTTTGGCTACCGGAGCCATTCCGCAAGGCAACGATGGCATCTTGTATAGATAAGCAAGTAGCTCACTATCCCGTAACGATAACGAAATAATGAGAAAGGACAATTACGTCCAATCATGCTGATTCCCAGATTAAAACTGTTGTTGGCTACCTTCTAAGGCGGCTTGCATATTTGCACTGCCACAGTCCAGCCACACAAATTGGCAATGGTATATGTGGCTTGAACAAGGGTCCCAAAATTGGCTGGAGTGATTGAAGGATGGGCTGAGGAGACGTTTCAAAACGCAGCAGCAGAGCAGCAGAAAACCCCTTCTGCCCACAGCGCATGTCGCACGACAAAACACGGCTTGGGCTGTTCGAGTCTAAGCACGAGTTAGAGAAGGGAATTTCAACAGCAGGCTGTTGGATGTCAGATCAACCACCTACAGCTCGGCTTTTTGCTCTCATTGCTGTGTCATCCTCGCGTGGTTGGCCCCCGAGCTCCATCGAAGCTTGACCCCTAGACGCTTGTCCTCCACTTCCTTACTCCTGACTATACGCTTACCTTCATTTCTCACAACTGCATCTTCACGTTCGCTTTCACAATCTGCCCCGTCAACACCGGACAAGATGCCACCAAAATCGAAGAATAAAATTGCCGACGTTCCTGAGGCATTCACCCCGGAGAGGTTCGAGAAAGAGCTCAAGAGTCTGGCAGCCAAGGCCAAGGGCGAGACTAAAGGCAAATTCTTCAAGGAACAGGCCTCAACGTATCTCAAGACCACCATCCTGCTCTCTCTCGCCGCCGTCTACAGCAATGTTTCGCAACTAGCCCTCTCTCCCGTCTACGGCTCTATTCCGTCGTCGATATACCATGCCAAGCTCGTCATGGTGGCTTGCTTCTTTGGCTGGTCGGGTAACGTCTTCCTAGACCGCTCACTGCCATTCAACTCAGCCAAGCTGTTGCCCGTTATTGCTTTCTGGATCCCAGCAGTCCAATTCTATTTGTACAAAACCAGTGCAACTATGACAGCACACTGGGGCCCATTGGTCATTGAGGCTGTTACGCTACTTCCCTTGATCTTGGTTTCCGTTAGTCGTGTGGCAACTGAGCTGGAGAGCGCAAACCTCTCCAAGTTGCCTAAGTTCCTTGCCGATGCCGGTCCCGGCCTGGGATCATGGGGATTCTTCAAGTTCATGGAGAAACTGTCGGGAGAATATTTACAAAAGTATATCGGCAACTCATTCTTCCAGACGAGGATTGGCCTCGAGGCGCTATTGGCTGCTGCATACTCTATTTACGCCCCCTCGAAGCTGCTCTTGTTTGCTATCCCTGCCATCTTGCATACAGCTGTATTCAACACCCATGCCCTGACCCCTATGGCTACCTCCTCACTTAATAGCACCTTGCTGGCAGATGACTGGTTCATTTTGGATCGCAAGGAGTCCATCACTGGATATGTTTCTGTGCTTGAGAGCATTAAAGATGGTTATCGGGTTCTCAGATGCGACCACTCACTTCTCGGTGGTGAGTGGGTTAAGCACAAAGGGCCCAGGGTCGCGGAGCCCATTTATGGCGTGTTTGTCATGCTCGAAGCTGTCCGTCTTGTCAAGACCAAGAACCCCGTGCCTGATAGTAAGGCCAAGGCACTGAATATGTGAGTTGTTACGTCTTGATATAATTATCACCTAAGGCTCGAAAACTGATCAAGGGACAGCGGCCTCGGTATAGGCACCACTCCCGGAGCTCTAATTGCTCACGGCATCTCAACGACCATTGTGGAGATTGACCCCGCCGTGCACGAATTTGCTTCGAAGTACTTTGACCTGCCCTCAAACCACACCCCCGTCATTGCAGATGCCGTGAGTTACACTGCCAGTCTCGTGGAAGACCCTAGCGCTAGATATGACTACATTGTCCACGACGTTTTCACCGGAGGCGCCGAGCCCGTTCCTCTTTTCACTCTCGAGTTTCTGCAAGGTTTAAATGCCCTTCTCAAACCAGACGGTGTCATCGCCATTGTGAGTTTCCTCGCATCTTCAACGAAGGGTGCTGCTTTTAGCTGACCAATACAGAATTACGCCGGAGATTTCCTGCATCCAGCGCCCAAGCTCGTTGTGGACACTATCAAGCAAGTCTTCCCTTCATGCCGAATCTTCCGTGAGTCAGAGCACCCGAGCAAGAAGAAGCTCGAAGAGGAAGGACAGGATTTCACCAACATGGTTATCTTCTGTAAAAAGACCAGTGGCAAGATCTTCTTCAGAAAACCCACAGAAGATGACTTCTTGGGTAGCCGTACCCGCCAAGTGTTCTTGCAGCCTCGACACGAGGTCCTTGACAAGCACTTTCTTGACGGTGACTTTGGTATTTTGAGAAGCAATGCCACCGAACAGCTGACCAAGTGGCATGAAAAGAGTGCCCTGGGGCACTGGGAGGTTATGCGATTTGTATTACCCGCTCATATCTGGGAGGAGTGGTGATAATTGCCTCGTTCACTGGCAACTTGCGCGAATATTATCTCGAAAAGCAGTTTCACCAAGAGGACTGCATATTGTACATGCTCCACTAGCTATAAACTACCCTCTCCCAACAGAGACCAAGGAAGCCAACATAGATTTCATTTGTAGGTAGTCCGTCGAAACTGCAATCATGGTTGGTGATTTGGTGCTATTATCGTTACTCGACCACTAAATACCTCTGTAACTTACATTATTTCTACCACTGTAATTATCCAAAATTCCAAGTTGATTCAGTCCCCGGAATCCGCATCTGCCTGTTACTGGTCCGGGCCGGCTTTTATGTCTGCGGTCCTGGTTGCTGCTCTTATAGCATGTTCTTGAGCGTCTTCATTTCTATCTTTCACAAAGTCCGTTATATAAGAAGGCGTGTCCACGACATTGTACGGCCCAGGAACGGGTTTCCCCAAAGTTTGGTAAACCGGAACAACGCCACTCCAGACTTTATTTACGACTTTAACATTCTCTTTGTCGTTTTTCTCGTCTGCCGGTGGCCCGGATCTGATCTTAGCACTGCCGGTTGTGATGGTGACCTTGAGCACACTAGTAGACGACAACTCGGCATTGTTGGGTGGTAATCTCGTGTTGGACCAAGAGCCAGGGACAACACCATTGGTAATAAGCTCCATAGCAAACATTCTTTCGGCATGATCGTTGACAACGGCGGCGAAACCAAAGAGCACGGCCGAGCGATAGTTGTAGCTGTGCGAATTGGGCGTCAGTGCCATCACGAGTCCGTCGACGTGACTTGCTGCAACGCAGACAGGCATCCCCTCAGGGGAGTCGTTCATGACATCGCGTGACGTGTGCATGAGCCTGGAGGAAACGTAACCATGGAGGTAAAGGTCAAGAACATTGCCCTCGTCGGCGGAAGGACGGGCGAAGGAAGCCATTTGCCCGAGCATGGGGAGAATGTTTGGGAAGGGACTGTTAGGGACATTGAATGATACGTGTAGAATCGGACTCGTGTTTATGATGCTGTGAATTGTGCGAAGAGCGTAGGTTGCTGGAGGAGTCAGCGTTTCATCAGAATGTAATTAAACAAGATCGAAATCTCACCCCGAGGGCTATACCGTTTGACGGTACCATACGGCTGCTTAGGATACTCGAGCTCAGTGTGCGGCATATTGCCAATGCTTTTCGGGTGCTGATGTTTTAGTTGTTTTTGTTTTCCCTTGTTAAGCTAAACCGTGACCAAGTCAACTGCTATTTATGTAGGAATTTGTCAGTATGTAAGCTGCCCATCGCACATAGCCTGCGCCCGTTCATGGAGATCCTAATTGAACTCGAACAAACGCACTGCATTCATCCTGTCAACAAATCAATCACGCCCTATGCTGCCTGCTGTTGACTCATCAAATAACCGGCCTGGTCGTAGTTGCCGGCGCCGACCATGCGGAATAAACAGATGGGGCTAGTAGGTACATGCTGGCACAGGTGCTAGACTGAATCAAGAAAGTCCATCCACATGATTACATGCTGGCCAATTGACCTGACACTCGCCTTGTTGAATTATTCTGCAGGAAACAAGACTCGGTTGCTTCCATCATTGGACTGACCGGGTGGAGGTAGAACTACTACTTGACGTGAAGAGACCATTCGCGTCACCGACATGTGATGGCATTATGACACTGGGTCTCACGTACAATCCTTTGGAAATCACATTGAAAATAAATATAACCAACGTATAGTGAAGTATACCTCATTTGGAGGGTCATCATCAGGCAATTTGTTGCGCAGTTTCCATTGTTTCTCAGCAACTCTGGCTAGAATATTACCATTCTGACCACGATCAAGAAAAACGGCGGCTAGCCTTAGCGAAACAGCCGTTTGTACTACACAGGATATGCGCGGCGATGTTTGAATCTACAATATACGTGACTGGGTGACTGGCAAGCTTTGTCATCGAATCGTCGGTGTTTGAGGCTGTAGGCATTGGTGATCCCAAGCCTGTGCCATCCAAAGCCATCGGGCGGGGTAGTGATGACGCCAATCAAGACATGTCCAAACAAGCCATCAGACGGACGAACTTTTGAAGGGGTTGACGTAGGAATCTCCCAACGAGTTGAAATTACAGATGTTCTGGCTGTATCGCGGCGGTCGAGCACAAGCACGAGCGAACACAACTTGTCTTCTACCAAACTAGAACTAACCCTCACTGTGGTCAGCCAAACAATACGACCATTCTGAAACTCTCCGCAACCTGCAAACTCGATCATTTTGGTAGAAGCAGTGACATTGCGAACAATCGCAGTGTGTTGAAAAGAGCACATGCATCACCAAAATGCAAGACGGAGGCAGAATAGGAGACTTAACAAATATGTAGGGGATCGAAAGATGTGGGTGGCAGGCCTCGCCGGCCCGTCACGTGGGCTGACGGCCGCCACCACTGGTCTTAGCCAGCCTCCACAGCCCTCTAGCCAGTTAGTTAGTTCTTCCAACCAACAACACCACTTTTCCCATTCTGAGCGTTCTGTGCTGGTTTCGCCCACAAAAGAACAGCCGACCATAGTCCAAGATTCTTAGTCGGATTCGGTAGCAGCCGAAACACTAAAGCGAACGGGGCGACCAAAGCTTGTTCGCTTGGCGCTCGGGAACGCTGTATCCATCCTAACCACAGAACACACTCAAGGCGCAAAGTCAACCTTCCGGGGCCGTCGCTGATCTTGCAGCGGCTTCTTGATTCCAGCGACAGTGCTCTGCTGTACGCAAGTGCCTGTTGAGTATCATGGCTAGCCGCCACCATCGACGCACCGTTGCAAGGAAGCCCCCGCTCAGGGGCCTTGTAATCCAACTGCCAAGGGCAGCTGAAAGCCCCTGACAAATCTCAGAGCCCTGCGATGCTCAAGCCTCTAACATGCCCACCACCCACTTTCAGCCCTCTACTCCATTCTTCTGGTTTGGTCTTTTTTTTTCTTCCTTCTTTTCAGTCAAACTCGTTACTAATTTTGCCCCTGGCACTTGCCAGCTTCTTCCCTGCAACTACACACTGGTCTCGACACATCCGACGACTGGCTCCCTCTAGCCCAAGGCCAGCAATAACTAATTGCAGTCGACGCAGTTGAGCATTAGTCCTGGCAAGGATCGCAATGTCTGTAGTAGGCGAATGCCCTTTGCTTTCCTAGGCCGAGGATTATTCTGGCTGGCCACTCTTGTCAAGGCAGGGTAAAACAGAAACAGAAAGAAAGAAAAAGCTTTTGAACCGTTCTGGTTTCGATCGTCATTACTACTGTCGAAGAGACGAAGCTGTTTCCCAAGTATTCGACGCTGACCGGCCAATTCTCGGCGCAGACCATGCTCGTTTCGTCTTCTATATTATTCCTAATTTTCCTTCTCTTGGTTATCTTACATCTTCAGTGAAGTAGACATGAGAGTCGGCTGATTGATGAATCTAGTCTTGGTTCGGCTGTTGACTTGGAACTGAACGTTTGAGCAGGCGCATGCAGGAGGATCTACCTCTAACAGGATAACTGGGCTCCTGACAGTCGAGGCCTCTTATTCTTGAAAGGCCATAATAGACGACGACGGCTTTCCGAATCAACAGTGGACCAAAGTAGAGCTACTCACTGCCCTTTTTTTTTTTTTTTTTTTTACATTGTTGTGTCCCAGTTGAGAAGAGCATACTAAGAATCTCCACCAAGCCTGGTCTTCTGTTTAAACGACCAGGTGAGAGCATCCAGAGAAAATACTACTGGAAAAAAACAAAAAAGGACGAAAACCGTGGGCCCGCACTTAGCCTTGGCCACTGGCCAGTCCCCAACCCCTCCATCCCGAACATCGTGGGTTTCGACGCTGAAACAGAGTCGACGCACGCCACGGCGTCTCGGTGGATAGGCAAGGTTGTATCCCCTGTCAGCCTTGCAGACGAACCAATCATATCCCCTGGTCGTTGCCGGCATGAACGACGTATCGAGAGATCTCATACAACACCTTGCCCTCGGCCGGTTTGAGACCCTCATATCTTTTTTTCAGGATCTGTGATGAGCCCGCCATTCCCTTGCCTAGAGCCTGCATGTCCCTCACCAACTTGCGACTCTGGTTCGGTCACTTGCTGGGACTCGCCTGATGGTTCTCTAGTAGACTCTCCGTTAGGGTAACATTTGACTGGGTTTCCCGAGAGAGAAGGAGACGATACTCGGTACCGCTGCCTCTCTGCTCCTCATTCCTTGCTGATGATACGTCGTCTTGGCTAGGTTCTCCATCCAAGGAGTCGGTACCAGCGCGGCAACCCAGACACAGACGTAGACGCAAACGCAAGTGCAGATGCAGACGAGTGTCCCCTTCGCACAGCCTGCACACACCCCTAGTTATCGTCTCTCGGCATCCTGCAGTTGCCTTCCTTCTTTGTCTGTGTCTTCCGTCCAACACTCCACTCTCTTGCATCCTCGACATCTTGGGAGAACCGCCGCCAATTACCTTACTACCTGCGCAACTCCATTCTACTCTCCTTCATACCATCTATCTGCCACTTCGCGGGGCGTCCGACCGTTATGTTCTTTTCTGCTCAGTCATAGAATACTACCGTAGTGCGAAAGTATTCTCATCATGATTCGTTTTCTTTGTTAGATCTTACTTTTTACTTCTCCCCATTGACTGGGTTTTCGATTCTATCCCGGCCGGCCCGCGGCGCCGACGACAAACGAAATGTTCATTCCAGGAATTGTCCAGGCCTTGATCGCGGCCCTTACCTTGTCAGTCGCCAGCCATTACCATATGACCAGAGTTGTTAGGAAAGCAACATCAGGGTTTAGACTTTGAAGAGAAAATAGAAAGAGAAGAGAGGAATTGTGGAATGGGAGGAACGCTTGCTAACCAACAGTGAACAGTGGCACTATTCTCAACGCCGCACCTGCCGCCGTCTTTCTTTTCGCAAAGGGCCATGGCTCAAAAATCTTTCGGGACGGCCTGAGGCTGGTCCTCATCACATTCCTTGCTTCTGCAGCCCTGTGGGCTCAAATCGACTTCGCTGCCCTCACCATCGATCCGACTTCGATCGCCGGGTGCCAAGTCGTCGTAATATTTACTTCCATCTTCGATCAGTTGGCTCGCTTCGCTATCGAGCAATATCTACTATGGGCCATCAACTCGAATACCAAGGCGCCTTCAGGCACGATGATTCCCCAAGCCGTTCTTGGAACGCGTTTTGTGTTGGGCGCAGTATTCGTCGGCTTTCAGAAGCCACAAATCAATACCGTCTGTGTATCTAGACTTGATGTATTGCCCGTCGGAATTATCATCGTCATTGCAGACTTTCTCATCCTCAGCATGCTTGTTATCAGAGCGAGCTCCCTCGGTCTTATTAAGGAGGCTAAGAGCGGCCGGGACGATGCTCGCAGCAAAAAAGCCGTCTTGTGGACTATGGGAGGACTCGCTGTGTGGGCTGCGGTATGTCAGGCTAACTTATTTTTCTTGTAAAACAGGTTTGTGTGTTGTAGTACTAATAGGGTATTGGCACAATAGGGAAGCATTCCGATGCTGTTGGGCATCGATTCTATCGACTTAATCTGGAGGACAGCACTTCCAGCCACAGCTCTTTCGCTCCTAATCGGTGCGTGAGAATCATCTGCCATTGTTATTTTGTTGGCTAACCCTGACAGGCATCATAACCGCATTTTCTGACTCTCTACTCCCCGTTCGTCCGCAGCAGGCCACTCACCCTGATGCGCAGTCCCCTCGTAACATGAACTCGACTAGAGACCTTAGTTCGTCAGACTCCGACTATCCACCAACCCGATACGAGGACCTAAAGGGTGGCACCATCACCACCGTCACCACCTTTTCCGATTCGAGAGATGGCCTTCGCCCCGAACTCAAGGCTGGAGGTGGTGGTGCACTGCCTGTCATTGCTGGATCGGTGCCTGGCCAGGCTGTGACCGGGGTTGGCGGTGTTCCTGTTCAAGGTCAACTATTCCCCCCAATTCGTGCGCAGACAGCTCCAGTAAGAGACGGTCAGCGGATGGAGACCATGCCCAAAATCTTGCAGAAAAGGAGCATTTTTGACAGAATTGGGCCGGGGGCGGGCATCAAGAACGCCATCTCGAATCCAATTCTCCAGGAGGACGGAGAGCGAAACCCTCTCAGCAAAATAGCGACCATTGATCTGGCGACTGCGGCAAAGAACGATAGGGAGAGAAGAGATAACGACATGGCAACAATGCAGAGACCTCCCAGCCTGATTGCGCAACGACCTGCCCCTCAACCACCTGTCATCACACCGGAAGACGCCCTCAAGAGAGCTCAGAGTACGAAGCGGAAAGAGATCGGGCCTACATCGCCTGCAGTAGAGCCGCAACCTCTCAAGTCTGCCGGCCTGATGTCGAACCCCCCGGCGACAACGTCTTCTGCTCAACTTTCTCCTGGGGTGGAAGAGATTCGACGGAGATCGCCTCTTCAAATGCCAGAGACCGTTCAACAAAACGGTAAAGAGAAGGAAACCAGACTGACAACGCCGAAGCAAGCAGGGTCAGTGAACTCCATTTCGCCGCCTCGTCCTCCGCGACCAGAAAGACCGCTGAGCCCCTTCGAAACAATGGAGAGGACTGGAAGCCAACGCACGCTAGACAGGTCAGTCAGCCAGAAGTCGGGATCTAGTGTCATCCGGACCATATCGCCTTCTACCTCCCTCGTCCCGCCTCCTCCCCCTAAGAGCGCTGCCCGCTTGATGTCACCAAAAAAGCCGGACCTTCCGTCAACCTGGCCTATTCAATCTTCCGTCGACCCCACGATCCGACCATCCCGGAACAAGCCTCCGTCACCGAATACCCAAGATGGTGCAAGCGGATCTGGTTTGCAACGACGGCCGACTACGGCTGGTCTTCCCTCTAATCCAAGAGCGATGACCATGAGGCCTCTGCCCAAAGATGCTGCACTTTCCCAAGAACAGACCGTCATGTTCGTAAACAACATTCAGTATAACGACCCCACGGCAGTGCAGAACATTATTCAGGGAGCCGCGAACCAAGCAGCTAAGACGCCTCTCTCGTTTCAGTCTCCAGGACCAGCACTCAAGTCTTCGGGTTCCATCGTCCATCGACCGCGGCCTATTCCTAGACAGCTAGGCAAAGACCGTCAAATATTCCCTGCCGAAAATACTGTGACCCATAGGCGAAGCAAGTCGGGAGGTTCCATCATGAGCAGGAAATCAATCTTGTTGTCAAATCCGGGAAGTCCAACTCAGTTGCCTCCTCTGCCACCGCCACCGAAGAGTGCTGGCAACCCTGTTCGGCCGCTGCCGAACGATACAAAGAGCATGACCTTCGATGAAAAGATGAACCTCTTCTTCCCTGGGTCATCCAACAAGTCTGATGAAGGCATGAAACACAGGCAATCAATTCCCGAGATTCCCAACCTTCCGGCAGCCTATAAGCTTGGAAGTAGTGTAATCGTTGAAGATAAGGGAGGATGGGATACCGAAAGCAGCCATGATCAGTCCAAGCAGTCTGACCGCTCGACCAAGACTTCAGTTCGCACCCAGAGTATTCTCGAGATTGATGGGCCATCGAATCACATGGATTATCCTCGCAACACGTCTAAATTCAGCATCGACACTTCTGTAATCACTGGCAAAGGTTTTACTGACGAACACGAGTCCTGGATACCTGATATTCCTACTGAAGATCGTGCCCGGTCCGGAAGATCATATGATGGAGCCAAGCGCCAGTCATCACCAGTCCTGCCTATTCGAAACCCTAGTCTCTCTGAGTTCAGCGAAGCAAGGACCCGTGATGAGGAGACAACGACAAATTGGGGATCCATCCATTCGCCTGCGGCTGCAGTGAACATTCAAGAAGTCACACACATGCTTAAACCGACTTGGATCGGGCCTCGCGACGTGTCCATGATCAGTCACAACGACGGCAAAGAGGTGATGACTATCATGCTAGATGCATCTGTTGAGCATGAGAGAGAGTTGCAAGGTTCTCCTAAGCGCGACAGAGCTGCTAGTGAGCTAGATTTGACTGTGGCCGGTGGCAGTGCTCCCTGGCATCGTCGTATCGGCGATGAATGCGTGACATTCTCCGAACGCAAAGAAAAGGTCAATTCACGCCGAATGCCACCGCCAATGCCGCTGCAGCTCAAGTCATTTGTCCAGAAGAATGCTGTCGTGTTGCAAGTGGCAGAACCATCCCCAATCGAATCACCGCAGCAAGCCTACGAGATGATTCAAGCGCAACTCAAGAAGTTAGAGGAACCGAACAGAGACTCTTATGAGAGTCAAGGGCAACGAATCCGTTTGCTGGAATCCCTAGAGGCGGAAATGGGACAGCAAGAAAATCAATGGCATGAGATGCAGCATGGTCTGAGCCGCAATTCCTTTTCGACAGTTGGAACAGCTTCGGTCCGTAATTCGCAGATGGATTCATCGAACTTGGATTCGAACTCAAAGGAACCCTCACAGCACTCAAATATCGCTGCAGATCGGCGTGCGTCTCGCCGCGCTCGGATGCAGAGCGGCAGCAGTATCACTAAATCTTCGTACGAAGACCTCAGAAGCGCCTCGTCTACTTCGTCAGAGAACAACAATCGTACTAGCCTCTGGCAGCAGCGGCTTGCTGACGCGCAAATGGAATATATGGAGAATGCTACTGAACTGTTGGCGAAGCGAAACCTGAATTTTCTGTCTGTCTCAAAGGCACGTGTGAGTGCGCAGTTGGGCAGTCCTACCCCACCGGACACCGATGAGTCCGACGGCGGTGACGCTCAGATTCTCGCGAGGCTCATGCCGAAGGAGCGAGCTGCACCTGATGGACGCCTTTGGAAGCCCCTCTCGCCAGTTTATTTTGAGCGCGAACTGACCTTGCTATGGGCCCCTGCACCCGATGTCGCGACTAAGCCCTTGCAGAGGGGTATTGGCGTTGTACTGCCTGGCCTATCTGTTCGCCCCGCGACTCGTAAAACCTCCGAACCTCTAACTATTGAAAGTACCCAGCTTTGGCACCAAGACCACACCGCTGCTAAAAAGCTGCGCAATTCCACATTTGGATTATGGCGAACGTCTTTTGTAGCGTCTTCTACTCCTGAAGCACCCAAGCCTCAACTACGTCCAGTAACACAACGTCCTCCTCGCCGAAGCAAACGCATTACCCTTCTCCCCGACATCATCGAGAACCCAGTGCCTCTACCAGACAAGCGCGGCACTCTGGGCATCTTCCAGTTCCCTTGGGGTGAGAAGTCTGACACTGCGATCGTTCAGCCGCGGCCCAGTCACACCTTTATGGCGATGCCCGGCACCATGTCAACCGGTGGACCAGCAGTGCGCGCAGCCTTGGAGGCTCGCGCGAAGCAGCTCGAAAGTCAAGAATATTCATCGTCTTTCTTCGATGACTATGATGAGGAAGAAGAGGGCGATGATCAGGTGTCGGACCTTGAGGATGACGAGAGCGATGACGGCTTTGACGAAACCACACTCTGGGAAATAGCTAGTCTTTTGCAGTCTGATCAAGTGCCGTCCAAGAACAGCCTGCTCCCTCAGCCAACACACTACCGGCCTGATTCGCTCGTGGAGGAAGACATCCCCCAGAACACTTTGGAGCAAACCTCCCAGGACACAAAGACAGCTGAAATGGAGGATGATACCAAGCATGATTCGATGGTTATCGCCGTCGCTGTCGAAAAATTACCATACCCCGCGAAACCATCGTCCATGCTCTGGACAGGAAAGCCCAAGCGCTTTGTTAGTGTCCGTCAATTACCAGGACTTCCGCAGCCGGATGCGCGCACATGGGCAACTTACGTGGGCACAATGGACGCCCCTCCTCGCGTCCAGTCTCGTCTTCCCGAACCTGCAATGATTCACAGCACTTCTCTGTGGAGCTTGCCTGCGCCTTCATTAATACGTAAGCCAAGCGGAAATAAGCTCTGGGGTCTACCACAGCAGCAGCAACAGCCACCATCGCCGCAATCACAGCAACAGTCCAAGTCAAAGGCGACGTTGCTGTGGGCTGCCCGGCCCGCACCTGTCGAGACAGTATCCGACGGACTTTTCGACCCCAGCCACAGGCGTGTTACTTTCAGGACAACTTCTGCACCTGCCATCGGCCTTTTCATGCCCTCAACAGTCCGTATAACGGTAGAAGCACTCCCCGTCCTCACTTCAAGTAGTCTCTGGCAATCACAGCAGAAGCCAACCAAAAGCCTGTGGACGGCTCCAGTCGCAGTTGTCGAGACGGCATGTGAGGGGCTGTTTAATGCAAGCCACAAGCGCGCTACTTTCAAGAGGACCTGCGCGGTGCCTGTTGGCCTCAGTATGCCTTCAACAGCACATGTGACCAAGGAAGTGTTGCCCACTCTTACTTCTACTCGCCTCTGGGTTGCCTCCTCTGTTGTACTGCAGGCCCATAACTGGATATCTATCTCATCTATTGGACCTAGCTCGCCGTCATATGCTGCAATGTCTGGACGATCAACCCCCACCTTGGATACCGCATCTACAAGGTCTGTTGCAACGGAGGCTGTTTCAGATTTTGATCCCCTCCCAGAACTTGTCGTGAAGCAGCCTACATGGTGGGAAACATCCACCGAAGCCAGCTCCACTGGCGAAGTAGTGCCCCGAGAACACCTACTCCGCACTCAAGCCACCGCTGCGGACTGGGAACTCGCTCTTAACGAGGCAATAGGCGCTTCCTCAACCACTGGTCACTTGGTCCGTACCGCTGCCAGTTCGGCGCAATGGATAGAAGCGCTAAACGAAGCTATCACAGCGTCAAAGAACGTCACTGAGGTCTTAGTCGAGGCAGCAGAGCACCAGTTAGAGCAGCATCAGGAACAACAAGACTTTTCGCAGCCAGAATTTGAACAGCAACCGTCCTTTGAGCGTCAAGATCTGGAACAACAGCAGTATGAGCAGCAAGAGTACGAGCGGCGGCTGTTTGAACAGCAGCAATATGAGCAACGCCTTTTTGAACAGCAGCAGTATAACCAACGACTACTAGAGCAGCAAATGTATCAGCAGCAGCAGTATTATGAGCAGCAGCAGCAACAGCAGCAGCAGGTGTACGAGCCTCAATACCACTCGCAGTACGAACCGCAATATGAACCGCAGTATGAGCAACAGGTCAATTCACTGTCTGAGGAACAGCAGCAGCCGTTTGAGCAGCAAACTGAGTCTGAGGAAAACATGAAGCCTGTAGAATACGAACAAGAATCTAAGCCAGAGCAAGAGCAGGAGCAGGAGCAAGAGCACAAGTCCCAGCCGGAAGCGACGATATTGTTCTCTCTCTGGTCCGCCCCTGAGGTTACCATTAGAAAAGACATGGGAATCATGTGGGTTCCACCAGCAAAGTCCATCCGCCACGTACACGATACTACCCCTCTGACGCCAGAGGACTCCAAGTCCCGTGAATTGCGTCTCAAGCGTTCCAAAACGCAAGTTACAAATGCCGGCCCGGTCAGCTTTGTGGACCAGGGCATGTGGAACCGTTTTTACGGTGCCGAGCTTCAGCGCATTGTTCCCCTCGGCGGCGGACGTAACTGGGTTATGGGCGATGCACAACCCCGTGTCTCAAAGGTCGCCTTCCGCTACTGAACTTCCGTGTGTTTGAGTTTATGTATGTGTATGAAGAGGTTGTTTTCCAAACAAACTGCTTCTTGGGTTAGGAGTATAGGAGATGGTTGGCAAAATTGTGAGCGTGACGATGTACGAAATGGTACCAGAAGAAAAGAAGGCCTGGGGTTTCCACCCTTGACGCTTGTTGGATTCATTACTTCGTGCCAAAGCCACTGCCTCGACACACTCGAAGTTTTGATTTTAGAGTCCGTTTCTTTTGCCCTTCAGGGTTTTCTCCTGGATACCCCTTCCTTTCAGATTGTATTGCTTTCTTTCCCTTGCCGCAGCCAACGAGCAGCTAGCCAGCAGGTGCGGCAGTATTCCTGCACTCGCTACAACATCATACAATATAATTGGCTTCTCAGTAGCCATCTATTCGGTCGCTTACTACGTATTTTTGTAGTTGGTTCTTTTCTCTTCTCTTCTGCCCATGTTTGCTCTTCCATTGCCTTCTGCAAGTTAGCCAGGAAGGAAAGAAGAGTTGTTTCTTTCATGTATCACTATATAGGACTCAAGAAAATCTTAGGGTTGTTCCATCCATGCTCTACGTTTTCGTACTTGATTTAAGTCCGGGCCGTTGTGTCAAATGGCAACCAACAAACAGCCTCTTGAATTCACTGTCTTACACACCGCAGATGCGTGGGTCAGCCGGTCCTAGTACCATCTTGTTTCACGGCTGATATTCAACCATTTAGATACTACTCGTACGACTCACGCGTGCGATCAATATCCCTCCAACTCGCCACGGCTGCAAAGTTTGTGCCATGCCCAGTGGTGGTCCGCAATGGTCGATCTCTCATTCAACTATGTACGTAGTAGCCCATCACCCTTCCTTCCAGTTGGCGTTCCACGATCGTCGTCGCATGTCCATGTGCAAGAAGCAGTAATTAATCTTTTAAAAAGCCCAGTCCTAACCTTAAACCCATACTCAGTCATGAAAACCTTTATCATTATAACCGTTGCCTACGCTCCGTTTTGAAAACCCTTAGCTGTTGCTGCGAGTGCACATTGACGTTCCATTCTGGCATAAAGCCCTTTACGCGGTAATAATTTCCTCAAGCCAGGAGCAAGAGTATGTGCCCATAATCGTCTTATGACCATGAAAATTTTGAGAGAAAAAGAGAACTGGGGGACGGTGGCATCGAATAGAGACGATGGAGATGCGTGGATCATGACGATGCTAGGCACCAGCCCGTCGGGCAGCAGGCTAGAATTCCTTGATAAATGCAGTAGACCAACCCAGCAATCAGGTCTTGTCTTTTTTTCTTTTCCTGCTTGTCTACCCATTGTAAAACGCCAGAGCCAGAATAGTTGAAAGTAGGCAAGGAAATATTTCAGAGACAACAACACAAGTCTCCGTCCACTGGCTCCCCAATCAGTCACTAGAGCGACAGGTATTGTTTGTATGTATACTCGTTTCCATCCCACTTCATTCTTTTTTCTTGTTCGTATGAACATTTCGTCATTCCCCCATCTGAACACCAGGCGGTGGTAGTCCTGGCCCGCAGTCCATCCACTCGGGCTTCAGGTTCGCCAGGCGTGATTGTACATATTACGTTGTCGTGAAGCCACTTTCCGTGTGCATGAAAATAAAAGCCGGCTATGATAGTGAGCCGGCGGAATCGTAATGAGACTGGTTACTGAGCCATTCAAGAATTTGCTAGTCGCAAAGTGAGTCTAAAACCTCTTTGCGGCAGAATATTCTTTTTGGTGTGTCGCAGCGATGAAATAGAAAATGACCGAAACTGAACAACCCCAAGCCGTCGCTATGCAGACAAGAAAAACCAACAATATTCGTACATATACAGGGCGGTTATAGGCAGATTAGTTCCCTCGACGATGCCATGCTGCCTCTTCGAGCACCTAGATGCTGTTGTCTAGCATGGGGCGCACCTAATCTCAACTGACGGTCATCATCTGCATCCGTTGCATACCACTCGACGGCGATGCATCAACTGACCCTCGGCCAAGAACAGAGTTCGTGCTCCTGCTGTTAGGCAGCTTTTTAGGTGGACTTGAAGGGGATGGGGTGTGCTCTGGAGTGAAGACACGGGTAAAAGCTGGGCTGTCATTGTGCTGCCGTGGTGTCCGCGCTGGGCTTGACGTTAACTGGTCTGCCCGGCGTACAACCTCGGACAAGGTGTCGCGTAAATCACCAGCCCTCTTGACGAGGGCCTTGAGACTGTTTGTGCCAAAATGAAGCTTGTCATCGCGAGCAGAATCTGAAGCCGATCGCTGCTGCATCGCGTCGAGAACAGATCTAACAAGATCTGTGACGTCGTGACCTCCCATGTTGATGTTGTTCTCGGGCGTCTTTGGCCGCTGGGCAGGAAACTCATCAAGGGCCTGACTGTTTCCGCCACCAAAGATATCGTCGTCGGGAGAAAAAACGGAGCGTCTGCGGCCTGCAGGTCGTTCGCGAATGACGGCCGTTTTGGATACATTGAACTCGTGGACTTCGTCAAAGGGATCCTCTCTTTCAATGGGAGCGGGAGATGTGGCATCAAACCCTTCCATGAAACGTTCGCTCATCACGGACGATGAGTCGACATCCATTCCCTCCAATTCGTCTTCATCGGGCGATGCGAGGGCAATGATGCCCTCGGCTTCTTGCCATAGACTTGCATTAGAACCGCCAAGCATGTCTAAATCTCTGCCATGCCGGCACAGGCGCTTGAGGTCATTGACGAGTAGAGAGAGCTCTCTGATGTGTCCAGAATGTTGCTTAAGACTAGGCTGAGATGCTTGAATGGAGGCAGGAACAACCATCGCAAATGCATTGTCAGTATCCTTGTCCTCAGTTTCGTTTCCGCCAAATTCAAAGTCATCATCCCAGTCTTCGCTAACAGTCTTTGTGCCCAATCCCCAGGTGCCGAATTTCTGAGAGGCTACGGACGAGTTATCTGCAGGTTCGTGTACGACGGGAACACTCTGGCTGCGAACATGCATGGCGGTAGGTCCTTTGCGAATGACGGTGCGCCCACCTCTAATGTTCAGCTCCTTGCCGTACGCAGTCTTGGGCCTAAAAGATGTACCGAGGTCGGCCTTGTCGTGCGCCGGCTCACTCCAGTCAAAAATGTTGCTTCTAGGCCTCTCAGTTGGCCCATTTCCAGCGTCGGTGTTCCCATTACCGCTAATACTGGCGAGAGCCATGCGCAAGTTAGGGCTGACGCCGCGCGAATTCATCGAACTCGGGGGTGATAGCTGATTGCCGTATGCCATTTCGTCCTCGTCACGAGCCCAATCGTCATCAAAGTCATCTTCGATTGATAGACGGCCGAAGTCCTTGCTCCCAAGAGAATACTCGTTCGAGGGCCTCTCCATGCTATAGTGCGGTACCATGACATCAGAGTCCTGGCGGATTCTGGGTTCATGTATCGCACGCACTGGGGTTGAAAGATTTTCATCCTCCTCCATGATCCTGTCTTCGGCATCCCATGGCCGACCGAGCATCTCGTGTATCGAAAGGCGCTTAGTCTTGGTTGGCATGGCAGTGCCCGGGGGGGACTCATCAAACATGGACTCGGTTGGGGTCTCCACCGAGCGGTTGATACCAGAAGTCGCCGTACGTAATGAGTCGAACATGGTATCACTCTTGAAGTCAATGTCCTCATCGTCGCCTAGCATGAAATCCCTCGCTTCGAGATCGGAGCTGTTCATAGTCGAGCTTCGGTCCGTCTGATTACCTCGATGGTATGCAGCGATCGCTGCTGAACTCTGGGAACTGCCTGAGGGTTGGGTTGAGCGTGGGGATAAAGAGGTCCCTCCCGACGAACCGAGTCGGGAAATATCAACGTTAAAACTAGAAAGACGCGATAATGGCGGCAAGGGCGATGATGTATTGCGATTGCGCGGTTTGGGTTGGGCGGCAGTTGCGGGGTCCAGATTGGTGGCTGGCTTATTGTTTTGCGCCATGTGAGCGTCGCCTGCAGGCGCAGCGAATTCTTCCTGGGCCTGACCGGCGGCAGTCGTTACGGGGGCAGACACATGCCGTTTGTTTCCACGTTTCGAGTCCCCACGCTTTGGTCGCCGAATGCTACCCGCCCTTGGGATCCAGTTCGGTGAAGTAAAATGCATGGAGATGGAGCGCTTCGTGCGCTTGGTAGGTGTATCCTCGGGGGTAGCAGGTAGGTTTTCTTTTTCTTGTTCTTCTCCACCTTCTTCGTCTTCTTCCTCTTCTGTTTCTATGTTGGCGTCGTCCTGTGTATCTACTGTCGCCTTCGAGCTTTCCTGAGGGGTGGAATTTTGATCAATAGACGAAACGGGTGCGCCCAGCATACCACCTTGGACCAAGTAAATGTTGTGCTTCTCCTCGTCAGAAATCAAAATGCGCTTCGTCGTTGTCGCCGCCGACCTGGTGCTAGGACTGCGATCAATTAAACGGTCAGGAGCGATGCGTGCGACAACATTTGCCCTGCGAGAATGAAAAAACGACGTCCACTTGTTTGAAGCTTTAGGTTGCTGCAGCGTATGTTCTGGGTTGCCTTTGGGGCGTGAAGTTGTGGATCCCTCCGAGTTTGGGAAGGCGAACTGGTCGAATGAGAATTTGGGTTCTGTTATGGGTTCGACGAGGTTCACGTCGTGATGAATTTGATGCAAGGTCGCAGATCTCTGGTGGCTCGTTGCTGGTCGACGAAGGCTGGGAAGATGCGATTTCGAGCGACGGCGCATTACAGGGCCATTCTGGTGCGCCGAGGGTGGTCGCTTCACCAGCTTGTTCGGGGGAAGTGATGGCGGGATCGAGCCGGTCGGAGACAGAATAGGCGCTGCAGAGCCGTGAGAAAAGGCGATGGACTGGCTGTCGAGGCCAAGGCTGGACCGAACGCTTCCGTGCTGTGAAAGTGGGCGGAGGGACAAGCGCCTCATCCAAGAGCCATTCGACGAAACAGAGTCTCTCGAATCCTCAACAACGGCAGGCGCAGCTGGGTCTCCCTGCTTGGCCAAAGACGCCCTTCTACTATGCAAGAAGGAGGGAGGAAAGTTAAAGTGCTGGCTGAGCGGACGAGACGGGCGCGAGGAATCGTTCGGGTTCGGGGCGAAGGAGAAGTGGCTGGGAACCGTGCTCGAGCGTTCATCTGGTGTTGGCGGCTGGGCGAGAGAACTGGTGCCGGGCCGGGACAAGACAGGGGCACCGCTCAATCGATGATTCGGAGGAATGTCTTGGTCTGAGGCTAGTTTCTTCCTGTTGGAGGAGTGCTGGGTGGGACTGGCATCATCAGGATGAGCAAAAACCAAACCGAGTGCCGCTCCAGCAACCGCGGTGCCAGTTCCTACGAGCTAATAAGGCGACGAGTCAGCGGACGGGTTGAACCACGCAAGAATGTGTCAGGGGCATCGTGTTGAGAGTTCGCGATGAAGGAGGACATGGGAAATGAGAAAGCCCCATAGCGCTGTCGCGTGTCGACGAGCAGATGAGATCGCGCGCATAGCGTTGAAGCGGGTGTTGGGGGGATGCCTGTACGAATGGATGATACTAAAACGGTACGGCAAGCCTCAACTTACACTGGGGACGGTCTGCATGTTTGCAGGTCACTAATCTACTCGGAGAACCAACAAAGGAGTCCGGAGACGGGCATGCGGGCGGAAGAGTCGTAGATGCTCTCGAAAGAGGTGGTAAGCATCGTCAAGACATATGGGCCACTCTCTCAAGTCGGGTAGGGAGGAATGCGCGTCGAATACTGGTGATGGATTTCGCCGCGGCGGTCGCGACCTCGAGCGGATGAATTGGGTGAAAAGGCACAAGGACTGATGCAAAGGCGTCGAAAAAATAGTTGAATCGAGGCAAGGAAGATACGGTTGTGGAAGACTCAGGAAACGAGAGTGAAGTTCAAAGGGAACAAGATATGACCGGGGAGGGGAAGATGGACAAAGCCAACGGCGAAAGCACACGGACGTCGAGATGGCTCCAGGTGTGAAAGGTGAAATGGAAGTGGAAGCAGCTGGCAATGACTCGGAAATCCCCCTCCTTCCAGAAGCCAAAGACCAGAATAGAAGTCGAAATGAAAGACGACGCGGTTGGAAAGAGAAGAGGAAGCGCGTAAGTGGGTTGGCGACGTAAGGTGAGCTAAGTAAGAGGAGGGACAAGGTAAGGTTGAGGAGAGGGTCAGTGGAATTGGATGTCGTGTGGGAGGATGGATGGAGGTTCGCTCGCTCGTTCGGATGGAGGTCCAAGTCCTGGTCTAGGTCCAGGTTCAGGTCCAGGTCCCGGTCAGGTCAAGCAAGGTCCACGTCCCGTTCCTGGTCCACGTCCAGGTTAGATTCAGGCGCAGGCTCGGACTGGGAAGAATGACCAGAGCGAAGCTGAGCAGGGAAGGCTGCCGCCGTTGTTGTTATTTGTTGTCGCCGTCCTTGTCGTGGTCCTGGCAGGAACTGGACTGTACTGGAGCCAGAGAGCCGCGATGGTAGTGGAGGGGGAGGAGGACGAGGAGGGGGAAGAAGACGACAAGGTAGAGGTAGCGAAAGTAAAGGTGCAGAATGGACGTAAGTGGTGTGTTCGGAGTATTCTCTTCTGACTCTCTCTGCCTGTTGAGCGCGTCGCTTTCTCTCCTTTGCGCCGTCTCGTTTTTGTTGGAGAATAAGACTGGTGGACTGGATGAGCAAAAGCGGGCTGGAGGAGGAGGAACAGGAAGAGAGGCACCTGTGGGAGGGCGTGTGGGCCACCCAGGCTAGTCTACCTGTAGTCAAGTACAGTACGCTGCAACCTGGGTACCTTGCTTAGTATGGAGACGAGGGTTGCAGGTGCATGCGGCGAGTGGGGCCTCGCTGGAGCGTAGGAGATGACTGCTGCGAGATCTCAACCAGTGAGAGGTCCTCCGCACAGTGGCTGCTGTCTGCTCGCGCAGTGAGTGATTGAAATCGCCTTGCCTGGCTGCGAGCCGTGTGGGCAGGCGCCCAGTCAGGGACCCTAGGGACCTGACCGGCCATGTACATACAGAGGACAGCGATACACCGGTACAGTGGTACTTGGCTGGACGTACCTGCCGAGCTGGGCGGCTCCTTGCTTAAAGTAAACAATATCAACAATAACAAGAAAAAAAAAAGGCCGTAATTACACCAGTAAATACGACCAACACTCGCTGTTGTCATGCCACGCCTCTACCTAGCCCTCTGCTCAGTAGAACGAGCACAGTGCATGCGTACCTTACCACAAATTAGTAGGTAAGCATTTACCAGGTTTTCTTTACTTTTTTGCCGACCTTACAATGCAGTGAGAGCTATAGTAATAACATGGGCAGTGGTATTGATGCACTCCAAGAATCAATGCCCCTTACGTCACGCCCCATAGACGAGCAAGCATGACCAGAGCCGAGGCGGCATCCTGCTGTCGTGACTGCAAAGTACCGCTGCCGTAGCTTTCTCTTTGTTCTTTGCTCAGTTCTTTGTTCTCGTGGTGTTTTCCCTTAGCGGCTACTAAATGATGAGGCAACGTCTACAACCACTTGGGTTCGTCAGACAACCCGCGGTGACGCTAATGAGGCTCGCCGTTTATAATTCTTCCATTTAATGGGAAAACCTATTCGAACGGCCGGTAGCATGAACCACGAGGCAAACGAAAACGCCTGGTCCCTTGTCCGTGTTCGCCAGTCGTTCCCTGGCGAGACGACACCGCCACCCACTACCTTAGTCCGGTAGCTTTTGCCTCTGCGTTAACATACAAAGTGATACCGTTAGTCCCCCTACCAGTCTTTTTGACACTCCTTTCCTGCGCAGCCACAACTGTTTTTTTCCTTTGCTCTCTTACTCACCCACTCCCTTTACTACGTACTTGTAATTATTGCTTCTTTGTTTTTTCTTGCCCAAATGACCCTCTCTCTCAAAACAACCTAAATCGGGCCAGCTTTATCCACCAAACTGCCGGGGGGCAAGCTACCTTACCACTTGGATAGCAAAGCCCACTGGCGTCTCAGGTACCCTGGTCGATGGTCGAGGGATATCCTGGGAAGCCAACCCTGCGAGGAAAAGCACGAAAGACACACATACTATGTACACACACCTCGAGAAATCGATTAGTCTTAGCGCGGATCGGCTGAGACCTGCTATCTTAACCAGCCCAATGGCCAGCCACAGACCTGCGCTCTGTTGATGCTGGCTTTCCGGAGCCATTGTGCGTTTTCAAGCTAGAGTACTGAGTTGTCACCTCCAGTCCAGTCTGTCTTACCTAACCTTGCCTGGCCTTACCAACCACTCACTGGCCCTGGCTCCGCATCTCGCGAATCGCCGAAACAAGGCTATCTGTAACCAGATGGCAGGCCGAGGCTTGTAGTTGGAGCAACAGCACCGCTAAGAATCCATCTACCCGCACATGTTCTGCTTCCGCCTTTCCTTGCTTCTCTTGACCATAGATGTACAGTGGCCATGCCTGAAGAGCCTGGGGTACATCAGTATTCAGAAACGATGACCATACGGCAGAGCTTTCCAGCGAGCCTAGCGTGTACACGACAACGTAACCGATAACTTCAGTCAGTCCTGGCGGCGGTATCGTGTTTGCCCATGTACAAACAGCCGTCACTACTATAGTACTGTGTATGCTGCGGCCCTTCGTTGTGATGGGTCTTCATTATCAACCAGCCTGGTGGCGTGGGGATCCCGTCATTCCATGAATTGCATGCTTAGGTCGCCCTCGATCGTGAACGGTATTGGCTGGTCCAAGCCCGAGTACGCTTTTTTTATGCAGCACTGACAACACCCGCTTGGCTTCTGACACAGATCAAATGAGCGGCTGTCTGCCCTTCCTATAGTAACCGAACCGCCAAGTTTGCCATGTCCTGCCTCTAAGCCCCTGTCACTGTCTCTGGTTGATGCCCTCAACCCATGGGCATCCGCATATTGTTAAACCCCGGTTGACTTGCCTTATTCATTGACAACCTTTATTACAGAACCGAACACAAGGCGGCAAATATCACACGGCGACACATGTACAAGGCTAGCTCAAACTCGCGATCTACCCCCAGATCGTGGACATATCTCTCCTTGTCTTTCCGCCATCTCACCCATTGGGCGCGACTGCCCAATGTTCCGTAGTTGGTGTGAAATAGTTGGTCGTGTGAGAAAACCTCAAACCCTCACAGTTAAGACTTGTTCTGAGAGTCCCTCCTTCTAAGCTAGGCTTGTACTCACAGGGGAAAGCCCCGGAGTTTGGAGAGCCCGCCAGTCAGCTAGCAGGTCGCTACCCAGCATTGGCATGTTTTCAGGGGCGGGCTCCCCTCATCCTCTTTCCGATGGCCATAGACGATGACTTTGTGATACACCATGGGATGAAAATGGAGAAACAATGGGACTTCGCTGATAGGACGTCGTCTGAAAGTTCGACGCTTACGCACGGATTGTTCAAATTCCGCTTCTGTCTGGTAGGTCTGGGATCTGCTTAATCGGCATCTCTGCTGTTATTTTCAATCCCCTACACACCGTGTTCCTTCGGAGTAATGTGCGTCGACGCTGGCACTAAAGGGTGGTCTCCGCAGAAACAATATATTTCAAGATTTTTGTGTTCCCCGGTAGTCGCCTGGTACAAAGGATAGGACGGGCCCGATAAGCTCGCCCGGGGCTACTACTTCGTATGTAGGTATGATGTGATGTGAAAAGAACAATGGATACCTTGACCATGGTGACGAGGTCGCATGGGACGGGGGGTGTGCAGCCCTCCTTGTGGGCCACCAGCTGGCCTGTGTTTTGGGTGTAGGCATCAGTGATGGCCACAACAAATAACAAAAACAACAACACACACCCACACGAAAAATAAATAAACAAGTTACCAAACTCGTCCGTCTCACAGGTCGCATCCTGGGATGTCAATTTGGCTGGTTGTTTCTTTCTTTTTCTGCAATTAATGGAAACAGTGTCCCCTTCCTCAATATTGACCCTGGTAGTAGCGCTACAGACGATTTCCGTCTGATTTCAATGTATATGTGCGTGTCTCTACATAGCAGGGCTTCATTTAATGTATTTGGAACTCTGTTGCCATACCATGATAGACAGGTGTGGGTTATCATCGCGTGCGAGATGTTGCTGACGCCAACCAATCATGTTCATCCTGTAAGCCTTCCTCCCCGCTCAAGGAGGAGAAGAAACATGTTTCTGTCTCTGGGACACTGGCGACTAAGGAGTCGACAATCTGTCTGCGGCTTCGTGACGGTACGTTTCCGCCTCCAACCTTTTTTTCTTACCTCTCTCTCTGTGCGTGTCCTCAAGTGTCTGTACAATACTCCGTATGGCCAAGCAGGCACTTCACTTCCGTCTTTGCCATTCAAAACCGGCTTGTCCGATCTTCGACCACGCTTTCAAACCGCAACGGCGCTTGCTTAGCGACGAGGCAACAAGGGCTTAGTGTAAGAGGGAGTGGGTTCCTTCGAGAAGGACATACTGGGGCGTTACGACATGCGCCCGCCCAACTGAATTTGCATCTGCACTTGGCCTTGGGGCTACCTGCCTGTGCTCAGCTTGTTCCCCGTTCTCGTCCCGGATGATCCACCTTGGGGGACAGGAAACAGCTCGTCCAATCCCATCAGTCGCCGTTGCGAGTGCTCGTTGAGGCTCGAATTTTGGCGGATGCGTTGCGGGCCCTTGTCCGGTTTCAGCTCTCGCAGATCGTGGCCAGTAACCCTCTCATTGTACCATGCAATGGTCCCTTATTAACACAGTTAGTTTAGAAAAGGAAGTGGTACAGGAAAAGGAAAGAAAATGGAAAAGGTGGGTAAGCAAGAAGAAGAGAGAAAAAGAAGGGAGGAGCGAGATCAACAGAAGGGTCGACGACGTCCGCTGCATTGAACCACCAAACCAAAGGAACGGCCTTGGTCTCTCTGCGAAGTAAATGAACCCCGTTCTGTGGCTGGTGTAACTCGGGGTCTCGCGTCGCACTTGTGGTCATTGTATTCATCCTTTGACCATTAACTCAAAGGGAAGAGAAGGATACAATACGTGCATGGTCTGTGTTATTGCCAGGGAAGGCGCTCGTGCTGGCCCTTTTAGGTTTAGCTGATCTTTCCCAACGAGCTACTACGTAGCTGGTTTGGCGGAGTTAAGAAAAAAAAGTCACTTTCCTTGGTCAACAACCGAGCGGCGCCGGTCACTCCAGAGGACTAGAATGCGCGCTGGTTGACCCAGCCCTTAAGCGACCTGGCCGTCACCAGCTGCCAAGGCGTGGTTCGAGTGATTCCTCCATACGCCGACCGACGCTTTGTCCGGGTTTAACCAAGTAGGGCTATAGTACACTGGCATTTATGTTTGGCCCTGCAAAGCCCATTTGCCAGCCTTTATCTGAGGAGGAAAAGCACTGAATCCGTCCTGCAAGTTGTGACCCACGCTAGCCACGCAATAGATGGTGCATCGGACTTAGAACCATATCCAGGCCAGGGAGCAACAACAATTTTTGCCTTGCTCTGCTTGTGGGAAACCGGTTCAAGTTTGGAGTACGGATGTGATGGCGTTGGCATAGACATGGAGAGCAGGGAACAGGAACGATACGACAAGACAGAGTTTCGACTGAATTGGGTAACCTACTATGTATGCAACTCTGTGTTGCATGCAATGGACTAAGCCTGTGGGACTATTGTTGCAGATGATTGTAAATCGTTGTCTCCCAACCACCGCCTAGTTGAGTCGCCCAGCTGATTCTCCTGTCCTGCAGGTCGTGCAGGACTGTCTTCTCCGTCTTTGGGTTCTGAATGCTGAGCATCCACTCAAATATGCGAACCATTGTCACATGTGCTTCTTATTTGTTGATCCTACAGGTCGCCGACTTGAGTGGTCAAGTCAGACTGCTCGTCATTCTACCTTGCGGCAGACTAAACGCCCTCCGACCAAAAGATCCATTGGGTGTTGCCTTGAGCCAAGATGGAGACAATTCCGACACTCCGGTCATCTCGAATCAGAAACCCAGGATTCATTGCCGAAAGTTACCAATGACGAAATTTCGACGAACAGATTTTAGCCCCGTCTCAGAGATTTCGGGCATGGATAACTGACAACCAAGAGCTCCAATTCGACTGCTCGACTAAGAAACATCAGATTGAACAATGTGGCAGTGGCTAACCGTATACTAGAGTAAATATGAGGTTGCACCAGGGGTAAAGCTCTCGTGTCGCTTAGACACTGTCTGTTCAATCCTGTGCGGGGGAGTCAGATCCCAATGTGGCATCTCGCAACTGCCATCTCCTGGCACCTTGTTAAGATCCGGGTGGACGTCGTATTGTCCTCCCAAAGGCTAGGAAGTAGCTTCTAATCCGTGTTTCTGGTTGGCGTAGGAACCAGCTGGCTGTTTCCCGGTATCAATGTTTCGCCTGTTACCCTTAATGTAAGTGAGGCCTGTATGTGTGCAGCTGCATCGATGGCAATGTTACCAGCAGGCTGAAATGTTCTGGAGGGGAACGATACCTACGAGCCGTCGTTCCCACTTGGCTGCAGCTTCTAAAGTGGTATCCATATCCCTACCGACCGGGAAATCCCATCCTTGTTTGTAGACTTTGCTCCGCCTGAGATGACCAAAAACCGGAATTGACACCACAGCCTGGGATCCTGGGATCCTGGTATTCTGCCAAAGCAGGAAACCAAGCTCCTCCTTGCAGACGGACATTGTGAGACCTTGACGGTGTCGTTTTGGCTGCGGTTTACCACAGAGACTACTGCACCTTTCACTCTCGCCAAAATGCCTATTGCTAATTTCGATCCGAGACATCTCGGCCGTGTTATCCTATGAACTCAGTTATGGATTTTAGTGCCCGTAGCCAAGCAACAAGATGATGAGGTGAGATGAGCGGGTCCCTCCACCCAGGTAGGACAACGAGGAGTCCAAGGACACTGAGATTCTGTCTACCTGTCAAGCAACAGACGTACGAACATGTGCCATATCTAAGGTTGTGCAGCAAACACCACCACCATCGGAATAATGTCAACTGAGTGCTGGGATCCCCAGGCAGATCTTCGTTGCATGGCGCAGCATGGTGTTTGAGTAACAGCGATTTCTCCCCAACTGGCTGGGTCGTGGGCAGCGCTCAAAACACCACCAATTGATGTCAAAATCTGTTGGGCTTTCTGACTCTGGTAATTGGCCGCCACAAGCTTATTAGTTCCCTGCAAGCCGTCGCGTGCTATCCATACTGCTGACGCGATTACATGCAGACGCGCAGATTTACGACACGGTTGCCAATCCTCGTAAGCCGCCCTAACAACAGGGTACCCAGTCCAAGCCCCGATTCCTACAATAGTTCCCATTCGTTGGTGCCGATGGAGTTGAGTATTATGAACGCAGTTCAGCCAGCCTCCGTCAACTGGATCCTGGAGTTCCATCCATTTTGAGCGATGCAATCTCGGCCAAGACCGTGGCAAAGGGCTGTTGGACAATCGAAACGGCAAGCCTGGGCCTCGCCAGTCTTTCTGTCCCAGCTCAACAAAGGCTTGGTCAAAATATTGATGCTTATTATTCTGCCCATGCTCAGTAGCTAATTTCGCAGTAATACGTCGGCTTCCTCTCTAGCATCCGGCCTGCAGTGTTTCTTGGCTGTCTAGGCTGTGTTGGCCCTTGGGAGCGACTTGTAAGGGCTCTCAGCCCCGTATTGGCGTGACAGGGTGAAATGCAAATCAAAAGTCGCATACATGTCACTGAGCAAGCGGCGTTGAAGAACTAAGTGTTGGAGCATGCCCGTCAAGAACGTCTGGCAGTGTTTCATTCGTGGGAGCTTGCCAACCATACCCAGGTTCGGTGCAACGTGTCTCGAGTTTGACGAGTAGCTGACTGAGCATCTTCCTCAAAACTAAAGCCACAAGAATCGTACCAAGTACTTATTGTAATATACATTTACCAGGTGTGTTGGGCAACATGCAATCAGTTCGAAGATCACCTTCTCCAAATTGAGATGTTAAGTGTCACAGCTGTCACCTGTGTCTCTCAGAAGCTCTTACGCGTGTAATCGTTGTTTGGAAGGCAAACACAATAACAGCACCAATGTTAAATCACCCAAACCCATTTAAAGTAATGTTTCAGACATGTATAAGGCCTCAATGGGCACAAGAGCTACACAAAAGATACATAGTATTCAAACTTTTTTGAAAATCTGTTTGTATGATTGCTCACTTCCACCGCTACAGGGAAGTGGTTTCAGTCAACGACTTATAAAGAATCTCAGTATATCCATGAATAATCACCGCATTCACTTTTCATACTTCACACGAATTCGTTCGCCCTATGGTGATTTCCTGGGTGTTAATAACGACCACCACAATCCACATGAGAGGACCAAGCTCAGAGTGAATGCTAGAGATCTGCAGAGCCCAACGGTTTTGTTTCCCAACTCCCCCTCTCTTACTTCCCGGTATAGTATTCTGTGCAACATATATACTGCGTTTGTCAATAGCAGCCTGGGCCGTCATTAAAGATACTTTCATCAATCTTCCTGTTTCAATTGCCAGGTTCAAGTACATGTCTATTGTATTATGGTCGGCTGTATCAACCACATATTCGAGGATGCCCGAACAGTTTCAATTTCAATTTAAGCTGCGCGGTTAGCCAGATTGTATACTCCGGGAGGATTTCTTACCTGTAGACTGTTTGTTGTTACCTACTGCTTAACTGCAGCTACCCTTAAAAAGTCTACGTCAGAAGGAGGAGCTAGCTGATGTTCTTTATAATTACGCATAGATCCATAAAGTCCATAGTATTTCGTTCACTTCTTCTGTAGTAATAAACTATTCTAAGTAACCCTGATTGAATTGCCAATCGACCTTTTTGAGCGACCTCCAGATAGCCCTCATTAATTTGATGGGTGCTATCGTTTTGGTTGCATACTGCATTGCATTATGTAATCCGCTGTCGTTCTCTGTCAGCGGACCGATATTCTTCCTAGTGGGGTAGTTCCAGGGCACCTTCGAGTCCCACACCCTTTGAGCCTCAGTCGAAGATCGCAAACCTGAGCCAGCAGAATCGCCACTAGCCGTCGAATTCTAAGTGGCAGGTGAAGATAACTAGGCTCAGTTTTCCTGCGACCCTGTACGACAAGGGTAACTGCGGAACTAAGTTTTCGAGTCCCTTGACAAATACGTCTCGACAAATCTCTCATCACTAAGTTGTTCGGCTGTGTGAATATGGAAGCCGAAATCAGAACTGTTTTGCCCAACATCGATCCGGTGCTCTCTGAGTATTCGGTGGGCTATTTGACTCATGCATCTACAATCTGGTCTGATGAGGAGGATCAGTCTGGTCCTTCTCCTCTTGCGGAAGCTGCCTCAACCGTTACTGAGTTGCTGCTTTCTGCCTCTGGAAAATCGGACGCCAAACTTCAAGAAAAAATCGAGAAACTGGTTGAGAAATGGGTTGAAAAGTATAGTGAGGCCAACGGCGCTCAGAGAAGTGGACCTTCGGCTGTGAGGCGCCTGGACCAGACTTTCCAAGTCAGCTCGCAGCGGAACATGTCTTCGACCCTTGCAGTGGCCACTGGTGCTGTCGACCTCGAATCAGCAAATGCGCGCAAGGTTGAGTCCAAGGTTGACCGGAAGAAGCTTGAGAAAGCGGAACGGAAGATTGCCGCCAAGCAGCAGAAGAAGACGTTCAAGACGGTTGAGTATGAGGCCTCCAAGTTGCTCAACCAGCCTGAGTCCACCCAGTCATACGAAGAGTTCTACATGGCGGTCAACCCCCTCCAGATAGGTGGTGCTGGTGGCAACAAGACCAAAGACATCAAGTTGGACAACGTGGATGTTTCAATTGGTGGAAGCCGCATCCTGGCAGACACGAACTTGACGCTGGCCTATGGTCACAGATATGGTCTTGTCGGACACAACGGTGTCGGTAAATCTACTTTGCTGCGAGCCCTTTCACGCAGAGAGCTGCCAATTCCCCCTCATATTACTATTCTTCATGTCGAGCAAGAGGTAAGAACATGCCCTTAAATTCACTGAGGTACTTTCTGACATGGACCTAGCTCACGGGTGACGATACCCCTGCAATCCAAGCCGTGCTCGACGCCGATGTATGGCGAAAGGTGCTTCTCAAGGAACAGGCTGTAAGTGAAGAGCAGTTGATTCTTTCCATCTCTTGGTAATAATTATACTGACCGGACGATAGCAAATCACCCAAAAACTGGCAGATATTGAGACACAACGCGCCTCTTTGGCGGACACTTCCGCCGACGCGGCCAAGCTTGACAGAGATAGGGAGGCTCAGGACAACCGATTGGGTGACATCCAGGCCAAGCTGGCAGAGATGGAGTCCGACAAGGCCGAGTCAAGAGCCGCAAGCATTTTGGCCGGTCTCGGTTTCTCGGCCGAGCGCCAACAGTATGCCACCAAAACCTTCTCCGGTGGTTGGCGTATGCGTCTTGCGTTGGCAAGAGCGCTTTTCTGCGAGCCAGACTTGTTGCTTCTTGACGAACCGTCCAACATGTTGGACGTTCCCTCTATTGCCTTCTTGTCAAACTACCTTCAAGGGTATCCCAGTACAGTTTTGGTCGTGTCTCACGACAGAGCCTTCCTCAACGAGATTGCCACGGACATCATTCATCAACACTCCCAACGTCTCGACTACTACCGCGGTGCCAACTTCGAATCCTTCTATGCCACCCGCGAAGAGCGCAAGAAGACGGCAAAGAGAGAGTACGAGAACCAGATGGCGCAGCGAGCCCATCTCCAGGCATTCATTGACAAATTCCGTTACAATGCGGCGAAGTCTTCAGAGGCTCAGTCACGTATCAAGAAGCTTGAGAAGATGCCGGTGCTCGAGCCGCCTGAGACTGAGTACAGCGTCAAGTTCAAGTTCCCAGATGTCGAGAAGCTATCACCCCCAATTATCCAAATGACTGGAGTTACGTTTGGCTACAGCAAGGAGAACATCTTGCTGCGTAACGTTGATCTCGACGTGCAGCTAGATTCACGAATTGGTATTGTTGGGCCCAACGGAGCAGGTAAAACTACAGTGCTCAAGCTGTTGATCGGAAAGCTATCACCTACGTCCGGTCTTATTTCCCAGAACCCACGTCTTCGTGTGGGCTTCTTTGCCCAGCATCACGTTGATGCTCTGGATTTGACCATGAGCGCAGTGAGCTTCATGGCCAAGACATACCCTGGAAAGACAGACGAAGAGTACCGTAGACAACTGGGTGCCTTCGGTATCACGGGAACAACCGGTCTCCAGAAGATGGAGGTGCTATCCGGTGGTCAAAAGTCTCGTGTGGCGTTTGCCTGTCTTGCCCTGACCAACCCGCATATCCTGGTTCTCGACGAACCTTCTAACCATCTCGATATTGAGGCGATGGACGCGCTCGCCGACGCGTTGAAGGAGTTCGAGGGTGGTGTACTGATGGTGTCTCACGATGTCACAATGTTGCAAACGGTATGCACATCTCTTTGGGTATGTGATGGAGGAACTGTCGAGAAGTTCCCTGGAGATGTCCAAGCATACAAGAAGAGAATCGCAGCGCAGGCAGATGCAGCGGGTGTTGTTAAGGCCCATTAAACATTTTCAGAATAATGAGACTTTCATAGCCTGCCGTAGTCCAACTAAGTGCCTGATTTATCAGTCACTCGTCCTTAAGAGTGATCTGCTTATTAGTAGCAAAAGACCAGAAACCTGTTAGATAGTTCTCAGGTCACACCGGAGCTCATTTGGCAGCAATGGGGTCCCTTGTAATGTTGAGCTCCACACTAATTTAGCGTTTCTAGAGGGCGCTTGAGGGGAATGCCGAGCAATACGATTCGTCGGAGGCCAGTCTCTATGTGGACATTGACTTCTTGTGAGAGGCGTGCCTGCGCTCTTTAGTTCTGCCCCCTACGAAATACCCCTCAAGAACTGGTAGATGGCTATATGACTACTCTTTGCAACTTGATAATCCTCAGGCTGGGATGGAAGAGCAAAGCACTGATGATTGAGAACCCTGAAGAGACGAAAATCAGTCAATACAGGGACTAGAAAGTACGTGCTTGCCAGTGCTGCCACCTCACATCCAATGACCCCACAGTCAATTGGTCTCTGGCGGGTGCCTTGCACTAGACCATGCCCAATCGGGGCCGTGCACGGGCCTAGACAGTAAACAAGCGAGCTGCACCCCTTCCCTTCTGGCCTCGTTGGTCTGGTGTCCAATCCGTGGCGGTGAACAAAATCACATCCACCTGCAAACAAAAATCAACAACCTCTCCCCCTACCTAACCTCTCGACCTCATCCACCCTCCAGCAACTACGTCTGTCTTGAAGCTTCGCGTAGCTCTCAAGCACCTCCATTTCACTCAAATTTGGCCCTGCTAAGACCAAGAGCTTCCCATCCTCCAAAATGCGTGAGATTGTAAGTCGTTCTCTCCTCACAAGGAAAAAAAAAGCACATCTCTGCGACGCGTCGGACCACGTTTATCGGCCTTGCCCCTGAACCGTACCCCGCCGATATTCCACCCAACTTGGACCTCACCGACCAAGATACATCTCGGTCATCGACTGCTTCTACCTCTGTCACTTTTGCTAACATCAACCTTTCTATTCTATAGGTTCACTTGCAGACCGGCCAGTGCGTAAGTAGATTCCCATCTCAACCCGACGAGCTAGATGCGGGGCTAACTTGTTGAACAGGGTAACCAGATTGGTGCTGCCTTCTGGTGCGTATCCCGAACGCCGAAGACTCGGTTATATCAACCTCCAAAGAGTCATGAAGATTAACAATCGAACAGGCAGAACATCTCTGGCGAGCATGGCCTCGACAGCAACGGTGTGTATGTAATCAATTCCTACTCTGGCCACGTCGGAGTTGACCGCTAAATTCATCAAACAGTTACAATGGAACCTCGGAGCTCCAGCTTGAGCGCATGAGCGTCTACTTCAACGAAGTTTGTTATCCTACAGTCCCACGCGTTTTAAGACAAGCATATTGACGAATACTGACCTTCGCTCCTTCGCAGGCCTCCGGCAACAAGTACGTACCCCGTGCCGTCCTCGTCGATTTGGAGCCCGGTACCATGGACGCCGTCCGCGCCGGTCCCTTCGGACAGCTCTTCCGCCCCGACAACTTCGTTTTCGGCCAGTCCGGTGCTGGCAACAACTGGGCCAAGGGTCATTACACTGAGGGAGCTGAACTCGTCGACCAGGTTCTCGACGTCGTTCGTCGTGAGGCTGAGGGCTGCGACTGCCTCCAGGGCTTCCAGATCACCCACTCCCTCGGTGGTGGTACTGGTGCCGGTATGGGTACCCTGCTGATCTCCAAGATCCGCGAGGAATTCCCCGACCGTATGATGGCCACCTTCTCTGTTGTCCCCTCTCCCAAGGTTTCCGACACCGTCGTTGAGCCCTACAACGCCACCCTTTCCGTCCACCAGCTTGTCGAGAACTCTGACGAGACCTTCTGCATTGACAACGAGGCTCTGTACGACATTTGCATGCGTACTCTCAAGCTGTCCAACCCCTCTTACGGCGACCTGAACCACCTGGTCTCTGCCGTTATGTCCGGTGTCACCACCTGCCTGCGTTTCCCTGGTCAGCTTAACTCTGACCTGCGCAAGCTGGCTGTTAACATGGTTCCTTTCCCCCGTCTTCACTTCTTCATGGTCGGCTTCGCCCCCTTGACCAGCCGTGGTGCCCACTCCTTCCGCGCTGTTAGCGTTCCCGAACTCACCCAGCAGATGTTCGACCCCAAGAACATGATGGCTGCTTCTGACTTCCGCAACGGTCGCTACCTGACCTGCTCTGCCATCTTGTATGTATAAACAAACTCACCCTTTGGAGCCCTCTGCTGACCCTTTATCTTTTAGCCGTGGTAAGGTCGCCATGAAGGATGTTGAGGACCAGATGCGCAACGTCCAGAACAAGAACTCTTCCTACTTCGTTGAGTGGATCCCGAACAACGTCCAGACCGCCCTTTGCTCCATTCCTCCCCGCGGCCTCAAGATGTCCTCCACCTTTGTTGGCAACTCCACTGCCATCCAGGAGCTCTTCAAGCGTGTCGGTGAGCAGTTCACTGCCATGTTCCGTCGCAAGGCTTTCTTGCATTGGTACACTGGCGAGGGTATGGACGAGATGGAGTTCACTGAGGCTGAGTCCAACATGAACGATTTGGTCTCTGAGTACCAGCAGTACCAGGATGCTGGCGTTGATGAGGAGGAGGAGGAGTACGAGGAGGATGCTCCCCTTGAGGAGGAGGTCTAAGCGCATCTCTATTATCACTTTGAGCTTGCTTCATAACCTCGACACCCGCCAATCGTACTCCATCAATGGTGGATTTTCGCTTCACGAATCCGGTTACTTGCCGGAAATGGGCTTCTAGATATACCTCTTAGTAGTACGCCTGACGTATCAATCGAGTACGATGAATCACAGATTTACTCTGTATCAAATATTGAATGGATAGTAAAAACGCCTTTAAAAAGCGTCTTTTGTGAAACGTAAACCATTCTTGCCGTTTCCTGAAAAGAAGAATGCTAGTGTTGAAAGCATTGGATTGGCGGCGAGTACTTTCAGATCAACAGAGGCCAATCGGGAAGACCCGCAAAGTGGGTAATCTTGGATGACTAAGGCGTGGAAAAGTTCCTGAAGGTCCTTACTTCCATCAGTCGAGCAACACACACGCGCGTATTGGGAGGCAGCTCTCCATTCGATGACCATAATGCTTGCTTCCAGCCGAGGAACGGCACTGAGGCAGGCTTTAGCCTCCTCGCCGGCTACGACGATACCTGCCTTTCTGGCACCGGCCTCGCAACCTTTGCCCCGACGTTTATTTTCCTCGACACCGACGCGACCATCGAAGCTCGGCCGGACGCCCCTCTCGATCCCGCCAGGCGTGGAGGTGCTAGTTGGCGAGCCAAAGCTGAAGAAAGACCCTACAAGCTACTTAAAAGTTTACAAGAGAACGGTTTCCGTCACGGGACCTCTGGGTTCGTCACGGCTATAGCCTCTTGGGTATCAGAGCTTGTGGAGGATGATGCTAACTTTGCGCGGTGTAGGCAAGCTAGATCTTGAAATCGAACCGTTTGTGAAAATTGAACAAGATGCTGAATCCAAGAGCGCAATTCTCTCAGTCGAAGACTCCAACGTTAAGGAGCAGCGCGAGATGTGGGGTGAGTTATACCCGTTCCTCCCTTTCATCGTTCCCTCTAGCAAGCCGATTCCTCGTTTCTTCGTCTTCTCGGATGCTCCAGCAACAAATTGACTGATACTTGGCGTCTCTTCACAGGTACTACTTGGGCTTATCTCCAACGATACATCATGGGTGTCTCTGAGGGTCACACAGCCCTTCTCCGCCTAGTTGGTATCGGCTACCGTGCGTCCGTCGAACAACGCGGCGGCAAGGAGGAATATCCTGGCCAGAAGTTTCTCTGTCTGAAGCTTGGCTTTACGCACCCCATTGAGATGGGAATTCCTGAAGGCGTCAAGGTCACCGCGGCGTCGCCGACACGTATCTTGCTCGAGGGCATCGACCGAGAGACAATCATGAGTTTTGCAGGACGGGTTAGGAAGTGGCGGCCACCTGAGCCGTACAAGGGCAAAGGCGTCTTCATCAACGATCAAACGATCAAGCTGAAGCAGAAGAAGATCAAATAAGTGGTGGTATACGGAGTGGGTACTTTGTGGTATCATTGTAACTACCACTGCGACATTGCTACTACAACCGTGGTCTATTTCGGACGATTGGGGAGCCGGAAGGCTGTGTATAGCTGTATATCACTGTACGGACTGGGGAAGACACATTGTACACTATTTATTCTGCAAGTTCTGGAAGAGAAAACTCAAAAAAGATATTCACCCCCATCTAGCTTGATTTCTGGCTCAACACCTCCTGGACAACCTTCAAAACATCGCCGTGCACGGCGGCCGGGGCGGCAATAACGCCCTTGTTATTCGCCAATGTCCGGCCAACAGTGAAGTCCAATCTCTTGCCTTGGATATCCGTCACTTGGCCACCGGCTTCGCGCACAATAAGATCACCAGCCGCATGATCCCAGATCTTCTCCTGGTACGTCGCCTTAACGGGCAGACGCAGGTAGATATCTCCGGCACCACGGGCGATGGAGCCGTACTTGCTCTGGCTGTCCATACGCACACTGGGCTTGGTGATGCCCAGCTTGGCGGCGATCTGAGCCTGGTCGTCGTGGGCACTATGGCCGGCCTCAACGCTCTCACAAAAGGTAGCAGCCGACATCTCGGAAATGGGCTTCATAGAGATAGGTGCGCCGTTGGCAATGGCGCCGGTTTGCAGAGGGCGTGAGGTAGCACCTTGGCCCTGGACAGCAGAAAAGATGACGCCGTAGCCTGTGTTGTCGGTAGCATTGGAGCCAATGTCTGCAGTAAGGGGCGCCTTGTCGTCGACGGGGAGGTTGGGGCATCCCAGCACACCGACCTTGACGTCGCCGTCAACCATGAGGGCAAGGCAAACGGCGTACTGACCGCCACGCAGGAAGCCCTTTGTGCCGTCAATAGGGTCAATTGCCCAAATGCGACCCTTCGCGCCGCCCTTGCTGTTTCCACGATCAATGAGGTCAAGCATGCTCTCGGCACTTTCAATAGAGCCGCCTAGCAGAGCCTCGGCCTGCGCATCCTCAAGCTTGGTGGTGCGGACGAGGTCCCATATCTGATCCCGGAGGCCGCCATCGGAGCGCAGCTGAGCGGCCTCCTCCTCGGCAACGATTTCGTCCTGGGGAAAGTGATGGCGGAGAGCAGCAATTATGAGGGCTTGCGCTCCGAAGTCACCGATGGTGACGGGGGACTTGTCGTTCTTGTCGACAGTGCCCTTGGCTTTCTCGTGGAAGACGCGCTTCGTGAGGATGGCGGCACGCTGAACGGCCAGCTGGGCAACTTCGAGCTCCTTGGCATACGAAGACATGGTGGGTATCGTGGTCTTTGTGGTTTTCGAGAAGAATGGGGCTCGAGAGGAAAGACTCGCAGGAAGGGCGAAGTGGTTCGAAAGGAGTGAGAGCCGGGGAAAGGCTCGTAAAGACAGGATGGCCAGCGTCACAATAATGAAGGAGGAGAAAAGGAGGAAAGAAACGGATGTGAGTTTGGTCTTCTGTCTGATCTTTTGTGGCTCAGTCTTGAGGGGCATAGGACTCTAAGAGGAGACCAAATTCGGCAGCGGAGCTGGGATGTGTATGAGGCAGCTTTTTAGTCTGGCTAAACAGGAGGGACAACCTGATACGTCATGGGAGTGTATCGCAGTGGGCTGGAATGCAATTGTGGGCGCACAACAACCCGCATTCAAAGGCGCAGACTTTGCCTTCCATGTACCTATCAGAATGAGAAAAAGCAGTTCTTTACCTTCCCGGTCCTCCACTTGGTGGTGGATGCGTTAGAAGAGTGGGAAAAAGCCTGACTCGGAGAGGGGACGGATGGTAGCTTGTAGAGATCTGTTGGAGCTTGAGGTCCTGAGGGAGGGGTATCTTTGCTGTAGTGAAGAAAACCCCTCCATCTGTGCCCACTCCTCCCGGTGCCGGTGCGGGGGCCAAAACGTCCCCCTAGAACGAGTTTTTCTGTAAGCTGGCGCCAGTGAGGTCCCGTACTTAACTAAAGTTGCTAGATAGCGACAGGGATCTGCAAGCACAGGCCCGGTCAATTGAATGTGAGCTCTAAGGTGCGCCAGACCCTGACCTTGACTTTCAGTTATCCTCTTTATGTCCAGAGCCTCCAGAAATTTCGTGCTTCGATCATTGTAGCAGCAATACTATTATCACCACCACCACCACCACCACCAACATCGCAACCTACGCTACCTAACATCCGCAATCAGCCTTATATTCATCAACCACCAGAAACAAAATGACTGCCGCCCCGCGCCTCCGCTCCCTCTATCGATCCCTCCTGCGCGAGCTCCCGCCGCGGCCCGTCCTTGCCCGCGAGCGCTCACCCCTTCACAACCGTCTTCGCACCAGCTTCGCCAAGGCTGGTAGCAACCCGCGAGGCGAAGCCGATGCCGCAGAGGCTGAGCAGTTTGCTGCGTATCTCCGCGCTCAGCGTACCTACGTCACCCTGCTGGAACGCTACAACCCCGGGATGAACATGGACGAGGAGGAGCGCGTGCGTCTCACAGCCCGCCGTGTCGGCATGGATCTGCCCGTCGAGTTTAAGAACCAAAAATAAGAGGCCATGAACAAGAAGCTGAGGATTTCCGCGGATGTATCGACTTGTCGACACAAGAAAGAGAACAAGAAAGAAAAACGTGGCATTAGAGACGCATTCGATTCGGACAAATATGTATTGTCCGACAACACAAAGCCTCAGCCTTGACAGCACTGTACCCTCTTAAATTGGTGGAGAGGCCTAAACATCACAAAACAGTCTTCATGGAGCAAAAGGCTTGCACTTGAAATTGAAATAATTCAGAGAAGATGTGGCCTTATTGTACGTATATGTATAACACATGTGGCGGGCGTTTGGATGGAACACATGATTTTCAGCTCAACTCCAGAAGTCATACAACTGGATAGATATGCCAAACGAGTAAAGGGGGAAATACCAACCATTGATTTGTTATGACAGATTTTTTCGTTCGTCTGGAAATTTTCCACGGCAGTATTTCATCTCTTCCTGATAACTTTGACTAGTCCCTAGACCTATCTGATATCTGGTAGTGTGAATTATGTACAAGAATACTAGTAATAAAGAGTCGTTAAATGCGTGTTGGGGTATCATTGTCTCTGAAATTGTGACAACAATGTTCATAAGTCTATCGTCCAATTTCATGGCTGGTTGTCTGCTGTTAGACGCTGCCTACGCCACCTTCTTCCAACGTTTCATCCCAACCTCCTGTTTGTAGGAGATACTCTCCCAGCATCTGCTTAACACTCTTGATGTTCTCGCCCAAGGCACTGTTCCACTGATCCTGTACAACACGTACCTTCTCTTTTAAATCGTCGGTCAATATCTGGCCTTCTTCTCGGCGCAAACGTTGGGCACGTGCCTCACACTCTTCCGAGCTGTATTCTCGACCTTCTCCATCTTCAACCTCGCTCTGTACAACTTTTGCCTTGGCGTGCGTTACAGCTTCCTTTACTTCATGTAATAGGCAAAGCAGGTTTGTTTGCGATTCAATAAACTGATAGGTGCTTTTCTCTGTGTGAAGGAGAAGGCTGAAGAGATACTGCAGCGGATGTGTACAGTATGAAGGATTCTCTTCGTACTCAATTGTTGGGATCTGAATGTTGAAATCGTCTAGGCTTGGCGGTATCTTCTCCAATAAACGGCGCAGTGGTGGCGCAATATCCCAGAAGGCCGATAACTGTACCTCGACACCGCGCATAACGGTCTGCTCAACAACGGCCTGAAATTCTTGCACACGGGCCAGCACCTCGTGGGCGAATGCCAGCTGACGTTTAGCGGCGTCTTCGGCGAAGAACGCTTCGGCGTTTTGGAGCTTCTCTTGATTACCAGCTAGCCGGTACGGTGTCAGTACAACGTCCCGGTATCGGTTGTTGCGGTCGGTGAGTATGTCGTAGATTGCCCTATGTAAGGTTTCCCTGGCTTCAAAAATCCATTTCAGGAGCGTCAGCTTTTCGAGGAGCTCAGGCTTGTCGTCGCCTTCTTCCTGGGGCATGTCCGCTGCACTGGAGACGTCGTCAAAGAGGCCGCTTGCCAACTTGTCAAACAATGCTGTTGCCTTTGTGATACGGCCAGTGACTAAGTCATTCAAAGGCATGACGACCTGGGCTTGAAACTGCTCGAATTCCGTCCTTCCAAGCTCCTTGAGTTTGTCCTTCTCAGCTACCATTGAATCTTGCTCGATAGCAGACGCCTCTGCGAATGTCATGTTGCCCACATTAACCTCCTGTTGAAGGTTGGATCGCAAGGCCTGTCGCCGTTCAGCTGCAGCCTTGGTAGCCTCCTCACGCTTCTTGTTGCTGGTAATCTGAAATCTGTCCTTTGTGGCTCCAATTTCTGCAAGGTCACTGATCTGACGTACAGCCGTCCTCATCTCTGTAAGTTCAGGGTGACTATTATTGACTGCCGGATGATGGCGTGGAAATGGGGGCGGAAGAGTGACCAGACGGGATATGTCTAAATGGGCAGGATTAGGTGTTGTTGGAGAGCCCGAGGAAGCGAGGGATTGTGCAGAATAGCGTAGGGGCTGCGGTGTAGATTCTGGTTCTGGCTCATGCCAACCGGTTTTCTCTGGGGGGTACTCGCTCGAGCACCGACCATCGCTAGGGTTCTCGAGTGTTTGGGGGCTGTCCATCCATTGAAGAGCCTCTCGAGCCTCCTTTGGCACCCCCATATACTTAGATTCTCTCTTGGATCTTTCAATCAATTTGCCTCCTGTTCCAGATGAATCGGCCTCCCACCATCTACTTGATGGGCGGCCCCGGGAGTCTGCCTCATCAAGCTTGTCGCTTACGCTCATACTCAAAATTGGGGAGAGAGACGGCATATAGTTTGAGGTCCAGTTCCCATTATTTGGCGGCCCACCCACAGGGGAAATCGGGATGTTTGCCGACGCGGGAGCAGAGCTAGATTCCCCCGGGCTTTCGCGGTAAACTGAGGTCAGCGATCCACGATGAGATCGGGTAGGCTCAGATGACTGAGGCGTCCACTCGGCCTGCGACGCTCCGGATTCCCGCCTGGTTACCATGGGGCGAAATATGTCTCTCGTAAGATCGAAAATTTCCGAACCCATAGCACCGATAGCTGAAGAGTACCGTTCCCGCCTAATTCTAGATTCGCTAACTATGAAATCGGCAAACAACCGCACCCGATCAGCATCTGTTGCCGCCGTCGACTCTTTAACAGCAAATGCTTGGAATCTTTCAATTGTCTCGTGACAGAATCTTTCGGCTGTTTGTGTGATAACAGTGTGTTTTGTTCCTGAAATGGATGCTGACGATGGTCCTTCTGCCGGTGTCGTAGACCTGAACCTTGTTTGGGAACTGGAAGCTGACCGTGTCTGGAGCGGTGGTGTAGGTAGCGCTTTGGGCACCACATTAGGCGATCCTTCTATCATCGAGGTCCCCTTCGCAGGATGTGGTGAGAAAGGGGGTGTTGCAGTTTCAATGCGAGGGCGCTGAATTGAGGCAGAGGCCCGTGGAGTCGTTGAATGCTCATCAGTTCGGGGTGTATCGTCCGCAGTTCTACCCCCGCTTCTCGGTGTCGACTTGTTGATCGTCAGCTTGCGAGAAAGTGTGTTCTCGCTGGGGACCATTATATCGCTGAGTTGAGCGGGATTGATGGTTCCATCTATTGAGTTATGGTGCAGACTATATCTGTTGCGGCTTTCTGCACGGCGTTGAACGATGGTTTTGTCATGACGGACTGCCCTTGCGCGGCTGAGACTCCCAGAGCTTAAAGTTGCGGAGCTACTTGATTCTCCTGTTTGAACAGAGCTTGCGGCACTGGAAGTATCGATAGTCAGGCCCGGGGAGCCTCTGCCTGGGGGAGAGCGAGCAGTCTGTTCGGGTTGATCAACCCAGTTGGCTGGAGTAGGAGGTACCGGCCCCAAAGCTGTCACTCCACTCGGCGGAGGTCGCCGTGTAGGCGGTGATGCCATGGGCGTGCTTGTCCTATGCATGCTTTGGAGACTTTGGGATCTGGATGAAGCGGGCGGTGGGCCAGGAGGTGGGGGTGGAAGCGGCATACCGGGTTCCCACCTGGTTTGTGACGCTGAACGTGAGCGGGCCGACGTTGGCGTCTCAATTGCACTGGCAGAAGCGGCTCGTCGAGCACCAGGAGGGCCTTGAGAAGAACCAGAATCGTTCCGTTGTGGCAATGGATGTGGGATCTGGATCTGAAGAGGACCCGGCCGTGATATCGGAACAGGTGGTACTGGATCAGGAGGGCTAGAATCATGATGTTCTCGACTCCTTCTCAGCGAGTGAAGGCCGAAACGCCTCTCTCTCGAGCTTGTTCTACCGTTAGTTCCTGGCGGGGGAGGAAACGATGTATTGGCCACGGGCTCGGGAGAAGGCCTATGTATATTCGTTGGAGGGATGCGTGCCGCCGATGTGTTGGCCGTTGGTGGCGACTCAAACATGCCGCTTTGTGGTCGCTGGCTCCGCGGTGGACTGTATGGAGGTGGAGGAAGTGGTGATCCTACGGAAACTCTTTAGTAAGGGAACCCTAATCAGGCTAGAGCAAGCGCATTACTCTGTTCTGGATATTGGCGAGGCTGCTCAGCACCAGCAGTGGGCGAGGCAATCCATTCCTGTGGGTTGTAAGGTTGAATTGAGCTTCCAGGAGTATGAGCAGAGTTAAGGTGTACCGACGACACGGAAGACAGCGGGGTGTTGATTTGGCTATGATAGGGACCCAATGACTGTGTTAATAATGGGTTGAGTCCCTGTCGTAACCGAGCCGGATCACGAGGGTTACTCATTGTCAGCTAGGATCGAGACGAGGGATAGTTTGAGCGACGGCTAAAGGAGAATGAAAAAAGCGGCGCAGAGAGACACCAAAAAGACGCAGAGGCCGTGGATGTAGCTGTAGTTGATTTCCTCGTCGGCACCGAACAACCCCAGGCTAACGACTTGGGCAGTAGCCTTGTCACTCTCTTCTTGCTCTTTTACCTGCCCATCAACTAGACAGACTGATCTGGAGATAGTTTCATGTCGAGGAACAGACCATACAGCCGAAAGGACCGACAGGCAGCAGGTAAGTAGGGTCGTGTCACAGCTACGAGCGGAAGTACGCGGCTGAGGCAGAGGGAACGAACTTGGGCGGGAAAATGCAGAAGATAAAAGAGTCGTTGATGGGTAGGCTTGGTCTGCTGCAGGGTGGTCGACCTCCTGCATACGGAAGTACACATGTACATGCCACAGTCGTACAGGAGGGTATCAGGGATGGTGGCTCACACTTTTGATCGCCCACCAACAAGGAGGACGTAAGTATCCTTGTGACACTCGAATGGTGAATTCGAGAATTGAAGAGAGAGAAAGGGCAGGGGTGAGAGCGGGCTCCCGGTAGCACCCTGTGAGGACAGGAATAGTAGTCGGGACCTGGGGCAGAAGCGCGGTAGTGGATCTGATAGCCCGGACTAAATTGGTCAACACTCGGCGATAGGTTGGAGCAGACGGAGCTCAATCGTGACGACCGACTTGTCCTTATCCCGCTTGCTGTACGCGATGCCTTACTTATCTCACAGTAGGAGATGGTACTTACCTGACAAGGGCCCCAGTGGAAGTGGGTGGCATGCTGTTTCCTCTGCGAGGGGCACTTGATCCTTGCCAGGAGCATTGAATGGAGAGAATGCAAGGTGGGATGGCGAGTTCAATGTTGCCCCATGTGCCTACTGCTGCACGACAGGCATGCAGGTGCCGGGACGAAACTGCACTGCTGCTCCTCGTGGATGCTGAGTATTGCTGTTCTCTTAGCACCAATCTCGAAACCTTCAGCTACCTTTTTCCTCGGGCAATGACGGGTTAGAATAGTATCCGTAATGTCAAAAAATTAAATGGATCGGATGGCACGCATTTTGTCCGGCAGGGCTTGGGGGTAGAAGAGCAAACTCGTGGCCAAGAACAGCAATTGGCAGAGCGGTGACACGGATGGCGGGCCATGAAGACCTTGGCTTGCCATGAACCGCCAACAAGAAAGCGCAAACGTGAAGATAGCATTGACCAAACCCCCTAACGACCTGCCACCGCGTGAGGAGAGGAAAGGGGAGTGAACATTGAGCCAGGGTCGGCTCCAGAATGGCCTGTCTTTTTTGAAGGAGCCAAGGGACGAGACTCGTAGGGATGTTTCTGGGGGAGAAGGCCATTGGTTCATTGCTGGGTGAGAAGTGACTCTATTCTTGGATTTCCTCAAAACCCTAGTCAGTTGCAAGAGCATGTCAGGGTTATGATTGGTCCATGAATTTGTGAGGAGAGGTTGCCGGCGCTTAACTTCCCCCTCGACCTATCGAGACCTTCTCATCAGATTCCTTCTCCCAGCCGTGTTTCTCCTCCATGCTGGCCCGCCCCATTGAAATTTGACGTGTGATTCGGTTCATGCATTTTCAAGCTCAAGATGAGCCAGGCATTGGCGACTAGAAAGTTTTGTTTCCAGTCAGCAACCAGGCCAAAGGAGCTCACCGCACCAGCTTTAGTCGAGTGGCTGGGACAAGCTAGCCGGCGTTTGTAAGCAAGTACACCTGTCGAGAAGTACGTAGTATGTTGGGATGTTATTTCAATGTAAGGTAAAGTCGGACAGTACGCAATTCGTACTACTGCGAGGGAAGAACATGAATATGTGGAGAAATAGTTATGGTTATTGTAATGACTGCCATCATTTATCAGATTCACAGTGGTATTCAGGGCTTCGACAGAAGGGCTACGGGATTGAACCTCAGTTGCCGAAGGCATTTTTAGTACCACAAGCTGTCCGATGCAGGTCTGTGGAGATTTATTCACCGTGTTTATTCATCGAGATCGATTCCCAGTAACCTAATTTCGTATCAGTGGCGCCAGTAGCATCGGCAGCGAGGCAGCTTATCATTCCGACACGTACATGTCGGGAGGTGCATGAGCCATCATGATGCTCAGTGTTTCCCCATTGACTGTGACATCGCGTGAATGCAGGATTTTACGAGCATAATGCTCCGTCTAGCACTATCCTAAGTTCCAAACCCTGTTTATAAGGGACATAAATGAGTTCAACAGACTAGTTGCGCACGAACGCTGGCCGGGCAAAGTTACGGCCTCCATCTTCCAGAATGCGGCTTGGAATGAATCCATATTTTGTACCACTCGGTCTGCACGCTGGCCACCTCACCCAGCCCCGGCCGATCCAGATGGACCTGCAAGTGCTTAATATGCTCACTTGCCGGTATTGAAACCGCCCGCGGTGCGAGATGGCCGGGATCACGTGGGTATGTGTGTCTTTCGTCCAGCAACGGTACGCATCCAGCAAGCCGGTTGCAGACCCCACGATTATGCTGACTGTTGACGGCACTCGATGAAGAAGAGAACTTTGCCATAAAGACAAACCCCCTGCCACAGCTCTACAGTATTTTCAAGATCCTACTTCAGCTTACAAACCCAGAGAAGGAGGCATTTATTCAAGGCCAAGAGCCCGTTGATGGCCAAAGCAGTTGAGTCTGCAAACTCATGGTTGGCAGCATGTCGCTCGGAGCGGAAGGATCCGATGAGCGCTGCAGAACAAAGTTCTTGAGTGATATTTAAGCCCAAATGAAGGAACCAAAGCACCTACCAACTTATCAAATTCAAGAACGCCTGCCGGACAGAGCAGAGGCTATTTGTGCCGTAAAAGATGTGGCTACGTAGGACTTGGAGATACCTGTTCAGCTTGCAAGCACAGACCAGGTGGGGCATTCGCAAGACGGGCAAACCAAACGGCCGACGATTTACCGCCCGGCAGCGGAGGACTGTCAAAAAAATTCTAGAGCTTTCTCTCAAAGACTCCTCGCGCTCAGATTTATTTCTACCTTCTTTCTCTTTCCATTCTCCAACGTTCCTTTGACATGACAATCCAACGCGCCAATCCACACTGAGGTAAGGCACATCTCCCCTTTATTTACCCCGCGTTCCTTCCATACCTCTCTTCTCCTATATGATGATACGCCAGCTGGCACCAGTCATAGAGTGATTTTGTACTCCCATCTTTGATGACAAACGCTGCGGTCTATGACCATTTCCTGATACACGGAGAACTTCAATCAAGCTTCAAATCTTGCGCATACATTCGACAACCGATCCTTAGCTAACGGCCATTGGATTAGTCACGTTTTCCTCCTCGCAACCTAAAATCAGAACCGAGTCACTGCCGACAAGATGGTCCTCCACAACCCCAACAACTGGCATTGGGTTAACAAGGATGCTTCAGCCTGGGCGAAGCAGTACCTTGAGGAGAGCTTGACAAAGGTTGAGTCGACAGATGGTGGTGTCACGGCAAAGATTAGCAAGGTTGTGAGCATGGATGGCGACGTCGACGTCAGCCAGAGGAAGGGCAAGGTCATCACCATTTACGATGTTAAACTCGTACTAGAATACTCCGGTAGGTACCTACTGCAATGCAAGCACTTTGTTTCACCTATGAACGTCCACAATACCTGTCTACTGCGTCGCTTGTGAATTATGATGGGCCTGGCTAACGACGCGCAGGCACCACCGCTGATGAGGCCGAGGTTTCGGGCACCATCACCGTTCCTGAGGTCGCTCACGACACCGAGGAGGACGAGTTTGTGGTGGGTTTTGACTGAAACTTACCATCTATAAACATGGTGACTAAACTATTTCTGCTGCAGTTTGATATCGACATCTACTCCGAGTCAAAGGAGAAGCAGCCTGTTAAGGATTTGGTTCGCTCTAAGCTTGTTCCCCAGCTGCGTCAGGAATTCCTGAAGCTTCCCGCTGCTCTGATTACCGAGCACGGCAAGGATATCCAGCACGCACCAGGTTCCAACCCTTCGAGCGGCTTCTCCACGCCCAAGTACCATCCCCAGGGCTCAACCTCAAAACCTTCCGCTTCAACGAGCGTTAAGAGCAGTAGTGGCAAGGTCGTGAACACTGTCACTCTGACTGATACTGCCGAGTTCCGCACCCCCGCGGAAGAGGCGTACCAGACTTTTGTCGACCCTGCCCGTATTGCTGCATTCACCCGGGCTCCTCCTAAAGTTTTCGAGGGCGCCAAGAAGGGCGGAAAGTTTGAGTTGTTTGACGGAAACGTCACAGGCGAGTATCTTGAGCTCGATCCCCCAAAGAAGATTGTCCAGAGCTGGCGTCTGAAGCAGTGGCCGGAGGGCCATTTCTCCAAGTTGAGCATCGAGTTTGACCAAAATGATGTTGACCATGTCACGCTGATGCGTGTCAACTGGGACGGAGTCCCTGTTGGCGAGGAAGACGCCACGAGACGCAACTGGCAGGAGTACTACGTCAACAGCATCAAGCGCACGTTCGGGTAAGTACTCCAGTTTACAGCTCAGCAACATAGTATCAACTGTTAACACGGAATCTAGTTTTGGCACCATCCTGTAGACTTGCATTCCTGAACAAGGAGCGCAATAAATCTACATCCTCGGCACTAATTGGGGGTTCGTTCAAGAAAGTGGAGCGTGAAGCTCTCACCAGACGACCTGACTTAGCTGAGCGGCCCGAGAAGGTCATTGGCTTGTTACGGAGATACTCAGCAACTTTCGTGACGGAAAGCAGCTGAGCATTCGGGATTGACAGGTTAGGAACGAAGTAGATGAGATACGTTAAAATGAAATAAATAAACGTTACGTCTGATATGTAGATTCTGCGCCTTTGTAAGCTGGCCGTCTTGCGCCAGATTGTATACCTCACTGCCAACGATAAACCTCGATTACGATATGCAAGTTTTGTGTATACTAGTACATCCGAGGTCAGCCGCCCAGTACTAACTGCCTGAAGTTTTGCGTAACGCCCCGTGGGTGGCAGCACCCCCGTAAAAAATTAAATAGGCGATGCTCTGGGCGCATGTCTTTGTCGACCAACAGCTTCAACAGAAGGTTGGTCACGCTTGACGTTGAAATTGTAATTTGGGACAAATATGTCGGCCAGGTTATCCCACAGTCCCAAATCGTATAGGTTTTCAACATCTCTCAGATTCCATACACGCTCCCAATCGCCTTCTCCCGGTCCATTAGAGGGAGGAGGCATACCATCATCGGTCCTTGCCAACACTTGTTGAGTACCAAGCGGCCATCGCGTCTGCGCCGGTTCGAATCGTGCGTCCTTCACACGATTATTAGGCATGCTGCGTTTAAAGGCACAGCCATCGTCCATTTCGGCCTTCCAATCAGACCATTTAAGTGATTCGTTGGTCGTGGTACCACAATAAATGAGCCACACTGTGTATCCCAACAGCCCCCAGACCAAAGGTGAGGTCATGGCGGCGAGGAGCGTGACGGCGCCCATGCCAACATTGTCCTGGAGCGCCCAACTCCAGATAAGAAGGTACTCTTTGATGTTCATTCCCTTTGGTGGCCAAAGAGCCCAAGTAGAGTATTCGGATGCAATTTTTGTCGACAGAAGAGAGAAACCCAGGAGGGCGCCATACGAGGTAAGAATAGCCGTCGATAGCAGAAGAAGTACGAAATAGTGTTGGTTTTTGTATCCAACGCAACCGTTGATAAAAATGCAGTGATGGTCGAGTTTTGAAACACAGTGCTTACATATACTGCAGTGCTTGGAACGGGGAGGCTTAAGGAAGTCGCAGGTGGTGCACTTTTGGCCAGGAAAGAAGATAGAATAGTCGTACGGGTAAAGAGACATGTAGTAGGCATGGTTCTCAGGTGTAATGTAGCCCGGGTCGCTCATGACTGAAAGGTAGAGGAAGAGATAAGGTAGGAAGATGCTGATGGAACCAGTAACTTTGTGAAAAGTTGAGAGTTGTGGCCAGGCACCAGGAAGGTACAAGTACTCCGAGACGGAAAGGATTAAGATGAAGAAGATCTGTCGTTATCAGAACACAGGGTTGGCAGGATTGGCGTCGGTTTCTCTGTCCAGGGGATTCTATACTTACAACTACTGTCGGATGGCGATCATGTAGCATGTAATTGCCAAACCGAAGCATGGAGCTTGAGAACCTCCCTCCTGTCAGGAGCCTGTCGGTGGCTAGAAAGCCATTCGGAAGATGAATCCACATAATCCTGTGCAATGTTGCGATGGGTGTGTGTCTGCGACAATTTAGCAAAGAAGTCTTAAGAGCACTTTTTCTTGTGCCAATCCCTAGCTTCCTAACGGACCTCAAAGCCGGTAATCTGCCAAAGAAGGCCACGAAGACGGTGAAGGAAATGGCTAGCACGACCAGTGCCACTTTGCCGAGAGTTCCCATGATGCAGAGGCTTGCTTCCACGTCTCGAAGCGCATCCTTTGAGTTGATAAGAGTCGAAGAGCCGTAAGCCCCGTACTTTTGGTGCCCAGATCCCAGCAAGCTTAGTTTGAATAGGTCGAATGTTGCACCAAGCGAGTGATGTGTGTAATAACAGTTTTGGAGCAAAATTCGCCTACCGCTGTTAGCGGCTTCTGCCTGTCAGCCAAGGCTCAAAACCTCACCTAGGGCTACCTCCGAGTATTAAGGCGAAATGTGCGACACACGCCTGTGCGGTTTGACACGCTTGCAAACCAGATATGCGCGGTCCTAGATCAAAGCACGTTGATCGCTCGAAATTTCACGTTAACATCGTTATTGCCATCTGGGGTCAGGCACCAAAGCTATCGTTATAACGGTCTCAAGGTGTCATAGCGTCCTCGTATGCGGGGATGCCAAATTCTAAGTGCTTAAATGCATAATCAAGCAGCATATGCCTAAAGGCATAATGATACGCGACATCCTGTTAGAATCGCGCGTCACCTGCGCGACAGAAACACGGGGAGATGATTGAAAGAGCAAGCTGCGGCAGTTCGGGTTGGACTACACGAATTTAACCAAGATTCCTTTTTCATACTTTGAAAGAGCTCTAGGCTTTTCCTTTGAAATCTTGTTCGCTGGACGGGCTGCTGAAAGTCGGTACAGGCGCAGCCTTTAGGCGTGTCACCAGAACTGGAACAATTACACAACACATTCACACTCTCGCACTTACCTGAGCCAAACTCGGAGCCAATACGCTAAGCTGTCTCCGAAGCTTTCTTCAGCGTCTTTATAGGTTTCCAGTATTTATAACCTCACCTTACGTCGTCCAACAGGCGCAAGGCGAAGAACACTCAAAAGTCAAATTGGCACAGGGATCCAATCATTGCGGAAAATGTCCGCCGCAGTTGTGTATGAGGGAGTGCCAGGCGCCCAAGGCACTCTGTTTCAGGGCAAAAGGTTCTGGGTGGCACGGCTAGTTCCCGACAGAAAAACAATTCTGGATTTGATCACGGTATGCTCTGCCTTGACGTTTTTTTTTTCTTGCTGCTAGTCAAGCTTACACAGGTAGCAAAATGGCGGCAAAATCGTTCCATTAGAAAAGCACGCCGACTTTCTCATAGTGGATCAAAAGAGAAACAATTATCCGCCTGAGTCACTCTCCTGGCAGTTTGTTAAAGATTCTGTTAGGTACGGTGCTGTCCAGGAAGAAGACAAGTACAGAATTGTCCAATCCCCAGCTGCTACTCGTCCTGTAGGGTCTTCCAAGCCAGTCAAGAGCACTCGTACTGCATATACTTCTGCTGACGACGCTCTTCTTGCACATTGGGTCCTTTCTCACCATAAACCGAGTGGAAATGAGATTTATCAAAAACTTGAAAGCACTGTTAGTTGTCATCTCAAGCGTAATTAACTTCTGGAGGTACTGATGTTTGTTTAGAACAATCGCCATACATGGCAATCTTGGAGAGATCGGTGGGTAAAGAAGCTATCAAAACTGTCCCCAGCTGTTCTTGAGGAGATGGCTGCTCGTGTGCCTGAGCGAAAATCTCCAACTTCATCTTCACCATTGGCTTCCCTTCCCAAACAAAATACCCAATCCGCAAAGTGCAAGTTACCCGCCTCAGTCTCACGGTCGAACATTCCACCTCTAGTAGCTCCGCAGGAGAGACCTGCTGTCGGGGGATCAAATAAGCATTTTGATAGTAGCCCAGCAGCCGAAGATAACTTTGACGAGCAAGACGATGAGCTACTGCTTGGTAGTGTCCTGGAGCTTGAACGACACGGCTCCAGACCCAACATCAATTTCTTTCAAGAACTTGCCAAAAAAGTACGTACGCCGGTCGCCCGCCATATCAGAAGTCACATTAATTTTTCATAGCATCCACATCATTCCATATCATCTTGGCAAAGATATTGGGCAAAAGTAGAGTCACAACTGAGGAGAGATTTTGCCCAGAGTAGTCTATTAGCCGCTAAACATCCTGTCAACGCCACGCATGAGCAAAGCAGCATCGCAAGCTCTTTCCACCGTGGGCAGAGCGAGGAATACATCGCCTCCCCTGGTTCACACAACCAGGATATTGATGTAGTATCAGCTGTTGGCACAGCCACGTACACTGAATCCAGGAACCCACCAGCACCGGAAAGTCAGGACCAGCATGATGATGAGGGCGCGGAAATTACTGAGGAGGAAGAATCCCAAGGCATGACAAGGAAGGAATTTTACGACTTTTTCGAAGTTTGGAAGACGCATTCCAGCTTTGTCGAGCCTCAGATTTCCGGCCAGCCCTTCGACATATGGCTTCTTTGGAGGGCTGTTCGGGCTGTGTATGCTCGAGGAGGTACCGAGCCTGATTGGGACATAATTGCCGGAGAAATGGGATTTCCTCGTGAAACCTCCGAAGTATTCCGTCAGTTCTACAGCCAGAGTGCGCAAGGATTTTTTGCCACCTTGCCTAGCGAGGACGATATAACCAATCGAAGCGAAGACGGCAATCAAGAAGAAGGCCATGGCTATGGTGACGGTGGAGCTTCACAGCATCAGCTGGAGGAGGAGGAACCAATAACGGATGATGAGATTCGTATCTCGCTGCCGACCGGCACACCTGGGTCGTCAAGGAAAAGACAGGCCACTCACGCGGAGTTTCCTGGTCTGTCTTTGACCCCAAACGGCAGAAAGAAACGATCGCGACTGGGTCCGAACGATGAAATACCCTCGACGCCAGAAGAGAAGCTGGGGCTTGCTAGCTTTGATGGCTTCGGCGTTAGTCCTTCGCTCAGCATGAAGAGAACGTCGCCGCCAGCCTCTGCCATCATGAAGAGATCCGAAGGAAATGGAGATGTATTTGGGAGCAAAACTCGTCGCCTGGAGCCAGAAACGCAAGATTTCGGCTTTGACGATGAGAATCCTGCTCGAGGAATGTCTCAGGAAAATGAAGAGTTTGATATTTCGCCGTCTCAGCAGCTTTTCAATGATTTACAAGCGGTGACCCCCGTTCGCTTATCCTATAGCAGAGAGGGCGGCCAACTGTCCCAGCGCAGTGAGGTAGCAGGTCATAGGCCTGAAGCGTCTCTTACTATAGGCGTTGAAGGTGTTCAGGACATTTCTCGCCGGGAAGGCGGTGGGGAGGCAGAGTCTGAGTCCCAAGAAGGAGCAAAGATTGCCGCCATTGACGGTTTCATCAAGAGCTTTGAGGGATTCGGGTACTCACATGATCATGTTCTAACTGCACTCATGTCGACATCCCTCTGTATGCCGCTGGCCACATCTGTCTTGAAGTATATGAAGGCACACAAGTCCATTCCCAGAGACTGGGAAGGGGTTTGGACTGAAAATGACGACGAAAGGCTTAGACGCGTGGATAGCGCAGGCCCATTGTCTAAGGATAATGCTCAGCGTGCGAAGCTGAGGAAGTACTGGGATTTCCTGGTACTCAAGCACACACAACGTCGAATCGAGCAGAGGAGAGAGTTCTTTGCGTACATGGACGAAGTTGAACAGAGCTCGCTATGAGAAATGCGGTCTGATTGACATGAGGAAGCCTTTTCCTACACTAACAGTGCTTTTCGATACCGATAATGAGAATTTGAGAATTGGTTTGACGAGCATGGCAGATGTTGTGTTTCGCATCCTAACTCTATGATTGGCATGTCGCTCTCCCTCTTCCCTGTCATATCCTATTCCTTTGTGATGGAGTAACCGTAATGCCAACCCTCCTTTCTCAAGTCCTCTCTAACCTTGTATGCCCTCTCAGCTACATCCAGCAATCCTAAATCAACCTCTACAACGCTCATTGCCTCTTCTGTGCCCAATTTCCCAAGAGAGCCGACAAGCGGCATCGCTACTTGACTAACGCCGCAGTACCTTACCTCCGCCCCGCTCTCTCTTTTCTCTATGCCTCCCTCAGGCCCGCCTGCATTAACAAACACTACAGCAGCCGTGTTCTCAAATGCTCTTGCCACAAGCACATTGTCCAGGAAAACCTTCTCTGAATCGCGGTTCACCACCTCTCCACAGCTGCTGTGTTTGTACTCATCTGCTAACCAGAAGGCGGGGCAAATAATGATCTGCGCGCCGTCCCTGATCAGTTCTCGAGATGCCTCAGGGAACGCCAAATCCCAGCACACCAACAATCCGACTCGTCCAAGGGGTGTTTCAAAAGCTCCATGCGGCTTGGGGCCTTTGGTCAGATGTGGCCGTTCGTTGTGCCACAAATTTTTCTTCTCGTATCGCCCCAGCACGCGGCCATCAGTACCAATGAAGTACGCTGCGTTGATAAGTTCGAGGTTGTCTCCCTGGCCCTCCGGCTCCACGATGGTGCCAGGTACTATGGAGATGCCTAGTTCTTTGGCTAAAGCTTGGTACCTTCCCAAGTACGGCCTTGAATGCAGGCAGCTCGAAACGAAGTCAGGATGCTCCGGCACCCAGGAGGTGAGATGGTACTCTGGCAAAACGGCAAGGGAACAGCCCTTGGACGCAGCGGAGCGTATGTATGACTCTGCTTTCCTGAAGTTCGTTTCGAGCGCAACAGGCTATCATTCTTGTCAGAGCCTGTTCAATATTTGGCTATTTTGTTAAGCTGAAGCAGGTAGGCAGAGGAGATATTTGGATGAGCAACATCCAGTAACTACCAACCTTCGGGTGCATCTGTATAAGAGCAATTTTGATCTTACTTGACATCGTATAATTTTTCGTCTTCTCGCCAAATAATCATGCAGATTTAAGACGACTTGTTGATAAAGAGATAAAAGCAGGTTTTATTGGAAAGTCACGGTCAGCACGTGGGAACAATAAGCCGGCTGCAAGTGGGAGGTCGCCTGATCTTGCACTGCCACGCTGTATGCCTTACGCTACTCCACGGGCATCTAAAAGAAATAATAAGTATAATGATAAACTGTGTATGAATGCAGATGATCAAATTCCAGTTAATTTGCGATGAACCCGAATAGGTGGCTATTGCTTAGCGCATGTGCAAGAAATGATGTCAGAGGCAACCCCATTGGTTTTCCACGGAGAATGCCACTGCGTAAAGCCCCGGACCCCAGCCAAAAACCTCAACATCAGAATGATAATAGAAAAGAGCAACAACGCCGAAACTCCTGTCTCCCACAACCATAGCTGCATTCTCGCAGCGGGATAACACTAATGCGCTCGATGTAACCCGAAAACAACCCTTGAACCGAGATCGACAGCTGGTTCTGCGTAAATTTTATGGAAGGTCTCGGTCAATGTCGTTGTTCGCTGGAGCGAGGAAAACGGTGTCCTTCTTCTCATTATGTGGTGCTGCTGTAGATGAAAAACGTCCCCAAATTTGAGGAGCGAAGAAATGGGTATGCGATACGATAGCCCCAGCAACTTCTCCTACACGAAAAGTGAGTAAGTGTCGCGCAAGCCATGAACCTACCGGGGGGGGGGGGCTGACCTATAGTAATAAGCACAAGATTTCGGCTGGCTGACGGTGGAAGGCCGTAGGATCCCATGAGCAAAGAAACAGTCGGGCACACAAGGTAAGGCACATAAGTCCTCCAGCCAGATGAACTATTTACTGAGCCGTGAATGTCAGATGCAGACTGCGCGATCTTGTCCAGTTTCCCTATAAGATCTTCTGATGTTTGCTGCGCCTGCGTCAAGCTTCTAACGTGGGTCTCATACTGTAACGAAAGGTTTTCGGTAAGCACAGAGAGTCCTCGTAGCCCCTGTGAGAATTAGCTTCGGAACATTCTATTACAAAATGGACTCGCCTTTCCAAGGTTACTCTGACGTTCAATGATATCTGTAACTACAGCGTTCGATAACTCCTAGCGTGCATCATTAGCTAAGGATCTTGTGCCAAGAATGCATGGCCCCTACCATTCGGTTCTGCATGACCAGGGAAGAGGCTGAGGCTGATGCCAATACTGATAGAACAGCGTCAATCTGACTCTGGGCATTCTGTTTGAATGCTGAAATTGTAGTCTCATATGTGGCTGCGACTTCGGCATTGCTGCTCAGGACCGTTCCGAGAAGAATGGATAATAGTTGCTGCAAGTTTTGGGCATTTTCAAACCCATCTTGTAATGCGAGTTTCGATGCCTTTGAACGTCAGTCTAAACTAACACTGAAATAGTGGGTTCAGGGATAGAACCTGGGCTGTATGTATCATCTCTTGAGAGATGATTCGGTCTACATCTCGTAGATTGTTCCGTAGCTGATCGACATCAGGAATAATGCTACGCAAATGCTCTGTTGCCTGATTGGCTCTTGTTTTCATGGCCTGTAGATGAAGCTCCAGCTCCCGTTCAACTCCGTCGGAAAGCTTCGATAGGACCTCTGTTAACCGCTGGTGGAGGCGCACACTTTGAGCTTTTCTCGATTAGAACCATTCTATAAACAATTGTACTCACTGCTCACCTTTGTCATTGTCAACGCGAGCAGCTTCACAGAATCTCAAAGCTTTATGACGGTAGCTGACCCATGTATTCCATGCTGAGTCGGACCGGGCCAAACCAGAAAGGCAGGAATCGATCTGCTGCGGGGAGACGTGGAGACGTGGGACTTTTGAGTCAGGAATCATTGTTAAAGTCGACTCTCGGAACGGCGTACAGCTGGAAGGAATATCAAACTGCCCCCTTTCAAGATCACAAATTGCCAGGCTGGCGGCGTATGAGTCGACAAAGTCTCGGATCTGTCTGCCGCTATCAATGAGCACAGTGGCATCGTCCTTCCCATCGAGCAGTTGGCAGTTGTTTACCAAAAGGCGAGCGGCGACTCGATGACATAGTGGCTCGGATTCGAGCTCCTGAAGTTCTTGCATGGCGACAGCGTAGATACTCGGTAGGCGAGAGCCTGATTGTGCCATGGCGGAAGAGCTCACTGCGCTGTTAGACATTTTCCGTGCGACGTTTGATGATGCTTCTCCAGCACTCCAAGAAAATCCTTGTACAGCTGCAACACTGTGCAATATCAAAATGGCTCGATAAACGAGCTGGAAGATGTTGCACCACATTATTGCACTGGTGTCATCCAGACAGCGAGGTGGAAATGCGAGGGATGGATGACAGAACAGTTAGAGATGTATAAGAGCAGTGCTGTTGATCTTGGCGAGGCGCTCTATAACCTGCAAATTGGAAGGGTTTAAGTAAAGACAGAACAGACAGCAAGGCGTGATTACCGGGGCTTCGTCGACTTCCTTGGAGGTACAAGTGACGGGGCAAGGCTCTCAACAGAAGATGACTGGTTATTGACCAAAGATGAAGGTGTAAGATAGAAGTCAAGATAGACGAGGGCCGATCGCTGGGCCTAAAGAGAGTGTGTTCTGGGTAACGATTCAAGAGAGGAAAGAGAAGGAAGCCTCTAAGTCAAACCCGCAACATTACTTCCGTTTCTGTGAAAAGTGAAAGCACCTACATCACGCCCCACTTTCTGCTACTGCACTACCAAGTACTCACCTTAGAGATAGTTCGTTCAATTGTGTTTACAACTTCCTTCATCTGACCCACGAACTTCCTCTTACCTCGAGGGACCAAGGAAAACCCGAGTAATACTAATACCGAAACTTACAAGATCATGACAAAGTTCACGAGGCTCCAACTCACTAAGGTAACGCGAACTACTGTTTTCAACAAATCTGGACATAGAGATTCTCGGGACTTCACAAAGCAAGTCATATCCTCTGACGGGATGGAAGCTGCAGCTCTGGCTTAGAGTTCTAGCGAGAAGATCACTTTCCCACCACGCGGTGGAAAATATTTTCTGGCCCAAAACAACCATGACAGATGGATTGCGTCAATATGCAAGAAACCACGAAACTCATCAATGGTGGCCTTTGTTTAGAACCGAGACATGAGGGTTCGTTGGCTATACAAATCGACTGAACTTGATAGACTCATAGTTCGTCCCACGAAATATGATGATGTTAGCGCGTAGGTACCGGTAGAAAAGCTCCCAGAAGATCAATCATAAGGGAAGGGGATTCAATGCCAAGACTGTATGGTTTTGATTAGGCAGGAAAACGCATTTGCTTGCACTCACCAAGAGCGACATCTCTATTCAAATACCAGCTTGCTGTAACCTTTAAGCAAAGCTTCACGTTAGTTTCACCACCCACAAGTGATAAGTGGTCTTCAAGTTTCAAACCTGCATGCTTGCTACTTTGGAACACTTGCTACCAGCTATCTCACAACGCCAATGTACCTAGTAACAGTATTCTTTGAAATTCGAATTTTCCCCGCTGAGCCAAGCAATCCAGAGAGAGAGAGTGAATCTCGGACCTGAGGCACTCTTTGAATGTGTCCTGTGCTTGGAGCAAGCCTATCACGCAACCATCACGAGGCTAAGGCATGAAGTCAAGTGTAGTCCCCGAAGACTTTTACTTTGTGATAGGCTTCAATGCATCCCTACATTGCTGCTACATGCCTTTACGACCCTGCATGAAAAGTAATCGACACATCCACTCGGATAGGTGCCCTACGAGAGACTACTCGCTGCATGGGAGCTGTCGTGCGCCAAACGCATTTCCGAATGTGTTTGTGACAAATGCTAGCGATAAGCCACATCAGACCACTCGCGCAGCAGCTCGCGCAGTGGGGCCTAGACCTTTTGGGGGGGGGGGGGGGGGGGGGATAAAGCGGGATACCGATGACAGCGAGCTATTTCCCCTCTTGATTGGCAGATGTTGGGTAGGCGTTGATCACCTCCACACTCCTAGCTTACACAAAAAGTTACATACATGTGCATGTATATTTACTCATGGGGTGGACCTGCACACCCAAGGTTGGTCGTAGTTGATGATTGTCGTAGTTTGAAGCCTTGAGGGTCGTGAGGGCCTAACAGATCAGTTATCGCATTTGTAGTGTGCTTTTAGGGAACAGGGCATATCGGGGTTTACCCCGGAGGAGTCGGTAGGGATCCAGGGTCTCTGTTCGTCACCCAATACCCCACCACTACTGACGACAATTTTGTAAGACCTTCTCTCTTTTCTGGCTCAGATCTTTCTCGCAGGTGAATGTCGAGCACTTCCCTTTCAAGCATTCAAATTAGCCCTCGTGTGGCCGGGGATCTCGATATCCGCACCGCAGGAAGAGGTCATGCCGGTACCCTACCCACCGCCTTTTTCAGTCCAACATGAACCGGGAAGTCAACGCCGGTCGCCGGTGCCAGGCTGCATGGGGCTGAGAGACCCAGCTTTGACCGGGTGACGTCGGTTGTGGCCCCATAGGCGATTGAATTCATCGACCTATAAGACTAACGTCCACTCCCCTCCCGACTCCCCATCGAAACTGTCAACTTCACACTGCAGATTTTATGATATGTGATATTCCTACAGGCTTCTGTCTTTTTCTGGGATTGTACTAATTAATACCGGCAGAGTTGTCGTTTCCAGTACCGCGAAACGCGGTTGGACGTCCGTTCTGGAGGGGCCTAGACCATTAACTGGCAGCTTCACGTAGCAGGATCCTATATATCTACATTAAAGCCTGACGTAGCACTTGTCCTCTTCCTTTCGGCTTCTCTTTCTTTCCCATAGTAGAGCTCCTGAATTTGCCACACATTGTTTAGTTTCTCAAATCTCTACTTGTTCGTCTTCGACATTATCCACTACCTGTCAATTACCATCAGGGACTTTGCTGAAGTCTTCGATGGTGGACTCGATGCCTTGAAGCCCGATCTAGAGTGGTTTGCCGTTTAGCTTCCTGCTGTTATTAGACAGCCCGTGGCCTTGGAGTCCGAAGCAAGAAGGTAGACACGCTAGAGACCGCCGTTTACAAATCGAGAGTACAGTCGCTGTACGCAACGCACCACAAGGGCTTGACATCGTCAAGCAGACGCAACGTTAAGCACCCTATAACTTGTATGGCTATGCCCCAACGTCCAAGAACGGGTGGTAGGAGGTTTTGGCGGTCAGACGAGGGTTGCTAACATAAGATGCAGCAATATTATCCGTTTTAGAGGGAAAGGGGTAGAACGTACACCTGTAGAACTGCTGGAGCCAACCTGTAAGAATGTGCACGCAGATTGACAAAGCATTCGAATGCGGCCACCGCGGCTTTCACAACATCAATTGGTGTTCCAATGTTGGCAAGAGCTGCAAAGGGCCGAAGCCGAAGCACGATATCATTGCATGGCCGGGCCTATGCACCGACTGCGCCAGTCGAGCGGCGGACCCAAATCCCCGGTGGCACTGAATGAAGAGTTCAGAAAATTGACTTGCAGCAGACTGGTAAAGATTTCGGTTGGCGACGACAGTGCAGCGCAGACAGGTATCAATCTCGGATCTCAGTATTATTTAAAAGAAATTAATACATGATGATTATATGCCTGCCATTGACTTGTAAAGCCGTTTCACTGTCAGTGTAGGTAGGTGACTGAATTCGCTTGATCTCTAATCAAAAATCTATTCTCTTTCGTACCTTGTCCAACTCCGCCCCTGTTTGGCAACACTTCTGCCCGGCATTCTAAACCAGAGGGTGTGTGTGTGTGTTGGCACCAGCGGGGGTTGGAATATGTTCTAAAGCCCACAATTCATATCACTGGCATTCATCAACCGGCATGGTTCGGAGTACGGCAGTCAACTTGTCCGTATCTCTTGACCTGCTATGGTCAGTGAGTTACCGATGGTTGAGAGTAAAGGAAAGTGCAACTTAAGCCTTTGAACGACGCCTCCAGACTGTACGTCAAACATTCTGCCAGGCGAGGCCTCTGGTTTATTATCTTCACTTTCGACGTAATGCCATTGGTCAGCTATGCCGTTCTCCTCGTTAACCATGAAGACCTCCAACACCATGGTTTAGTGACAAGAATCTAGTAAGTACTGTCATCTTAGTGTCACTGACAGACTGGAACGTTGATATTAGACCTCGATATGTGGAATTGACAACAACGGGTGAGTATGAAAAGCCTAGAATGAATACCAAATATGAACATGGCTAAGGCGCTCTGAGCTAAAAGACAGTGGAAATAATAAACTAGACAGCTTTCGTAGTCTTCTGTAGTTAGATGGTGATTTTCAAAAGAGCGATCGATAAAGCCTGCTGCTCAACTCAAAGGTATGGTGCCAAGAGAAATGAATCATGTTGATACACAAAAATCGCTCCTGATATTGGCCGAGGCCGTAATTGCTTCAAGTACATACACAATGAGAAAAGTGAGAAGGGCACAACACTGCGACCACACAAGACATAAGAAGTAAACTGAGTCCTACACGCTCTAAGTTTCTAATTCTATGTGCTTTATACCAACTTGAAGTGTGAGTAGGCATTCGCCATTTGCTGAACCTTATGCGTGGGCGACATGGCGTCTGTGGACAGAATTTGGGAAAAGCAAGACGTGAATACCATTGGACTTGAACATTTAAACACGCGAAAATAGGCAGAGAAACTAGTACTAACGCCTGGATTGATAGAAAATTGGGGCGAGCTTGAAGCTAAACCGACCTCTTGGCTAGACGCAGGGCAGATAGAGCCACCTGGCAGCCCCAGATAAGTGAAGCGATTACAATAAGGTACCCTTAACGGTGCCAACGGTGTCTCGGTCTATGTCTTGGGGATACCACGTGTCTGTCCCGCCACCAACGTTCCAACTTGGGTCAAGGACGTTCTGGAGTTTTTCCTTCGACACCGCTGGCACGCACACTGCTTGACAAATATGTAAGAGAACTGTGTAGCATGGCAGAGAAAATGAGCGAGATACGTGGAACCCTGCGGGAGAAGGAGTTACTTGTTCCTTAATGTTTCGTGGCCCCAGGTCAGCCCGGCAAGGGAGGAGCAGTGACCTGTGCAAACCAACTTTACCTTTCTTTAACAATCTGCGGATGGGTAATGGTTCGCTGTTGTAAGGCAGTTGCTTGCAGCAACCATAATAGCACGCCTGGCGCCAGTGCGCCAGCTTGCCACGACCACCAGGCGGCGAATGGAGCGTGTGAGGGAGCTGAGCTCTGAGAGCTACTTATGGATACAGCGAACTGAATGGATCTAAAAGCGAGGGGAAACTGGGTCACAACAACAGGCACTAAACCGTAAAGGGGGGTAAAGGAACGCGGAACCGAAAGAAGGGAGGGGTCCCTACGGAAACCAAACCAGAACCAGCCAGACCCTAACGGAGCGGGAAGTCTATTCTGGGGCGAAAGCTTGAGCCATGCTGCAAGGCTGACAATTCGGACGATGTCTAGTGGGGCAAGATCGACACGTGGCCAATCAAGCCGCTATTTTGTCAGACTTGGCAGCCATCGCACGACTCCCCTCCAGCAGCCTCGCCCATCATACGATTGTGAAGATGAAGTGGTCGAATTTTGATACGCCCAGTCAGTGTGCCCCGGTCGCTGGCAAATTCGATGTCAGGCCATTCCTCCCGGCCCTCAATCATTCATTCGCGTCCAATTGGCAATCTTTGCACAACTTTTTATTTGGCTTTATTTCCCCCCTCTCGTTGTCCCTGGCTCGGCCGTGCTGGCCCGAGTTCCTCACCGTACGGAATCCGGCGCGGGTCCTCTCTGAACATCAGTCGACTTTGTTCTCGTCCTTCCGGCGCTGTACTCCTTCTGTTGACTACTATCCAACAAGATTTCCTGGCTTACACTTCCCTCCTCCTCCTAACTCCTGTCGCCTGCCTTTCTGCCTGTCTCCCGCAGGTCCCTGTCGGATATACGTAAGGTGTGACCAGTCATTTTCGTCGTGGCCTCCACAAAATTCTCCCCAACCCTCAACTCTTTTCTTGTCCCTTCCCCGTGCTTAATGGATCTTGTTGTTGCTTTCCCGTACCCGACCCGTGCTCCTCTCTGATTTGCCTCCTGCGCCCTTGTTCTTGCCCAAACTGCCTTGGTCGCGAGCCTCGACCCCTTTGAGTATTTCAGACCTTAGCTGATCTTAATAAGCGAAATCCCCGCCTCGTCGCCTTGCCTGCCTCTCTACCTTGCCGCCCCCGACGAAGCCAGACATTTTACGGCACATGAACGAGAATAAGACATCTGTTCTCTGCTACATCCTACGCCTCGATTCATCCCTGTCGACGTCGACGATTGCTGCTTGCGTTCCTTACCTCCATCGACTCGGCTGTCATTGGAGTACGAATTCAACCTGATTGGCCATACGAGGTGGTACGACTGGTCAGTCTGGATCGCAAATTCTTGTTTCAAGAAAGAAAAATACAAGATCTGGGCCACAGTGCTCACAAATTACCCGGAGACGATCGAGTCGAACATCCACTTTCCTTTCCTTCATTATCGGTTTCTAGATCGACGACCGCCGACCATTCGGGGGCCGAAATGCTGGCTTTGTGGTAATGGACCCCAACTTCCTTAAGAACCTCGACTACTTCGCCGTTCCCAACAATCAAACGAACAGTTCTGTTGAGCAATCGGCCGAATCATCAGCCTCAGGTGCCGCCAGAAATGCGCCCGAGACTTCCATGTGGGAGGCCCTAGGGGCCGATCAAGCGAACTCCGAATCAACTTCCAATGGCCCCTCTGGCTCCCTGCCGTCCTTCGCGCAAGCTTCTCCAGTGAGCACCAACTTCGGTTTGGGCTCAATGCCCGGCCAAATACCCTATGGACAAGGTCAACCCAGAAATGCTTTGCCCACCCGAATGGCTCAAACAGCTGGTCCAAGACGGAGGGATGGTCATGACCGGAAGCGCACGAAGGTTGATTCCGAGGCTGCAGCGTTAGAATCTGTTGACTACTGGATTCAGTTTGATGATGATGATGAGCAAAAGCTTGGCGGTAGCTTTGAAATAGATTTTTCCAAGCGCAGGCACCCAATCCAGACCTATCCCAGGTATTTCCGTCTGCCCCTTTGAGAAGGCGATGCGCCTGAGAACCGGCTGACTATTAATATTACCAGAGCGCCAGCTGCGAACCGTCTGAACCCTATGTCTACAACACCTGGCCTTGGTGCTGGATTGTATACCAACCCTGTCTTCAAGCCAGAGGACTTTCTCGATGACACTGCTCTTGATAACGCCCTATCTGATGATGAGGACGTTCTCGAGTCTATGAGCCTCGGTGACCAGCTTGGTAAAATTGAATCTCAGCCGCCTTCTGAAGTTCCTCCACGAGAGGGTCTTTATTCAACGCCTTTGAGTTGGGAGAAGCCTGCGCCTGGCTTAAGAATGAACCCTCTTTTTGGGATGGGTGCGATGGGCGGCATGGGCACACCCATGCTTGACCCGGAACAGCGACGACTGTTGGCCATTGCTCTGAATACTGGCCGATCATCAACTAGTATAGCTTCCGGGATGGGTTTCGGAGTTGGGGCAGATCTAGGACCGGAATTTTCGAGTTTAGAAAACTTCGACGCGAGTATGGCGACGACAAGCATGAGTGAACTTACAAGAGGCCCAGAGCAATCAAGTCTCCAGAACAAGGGAAAGGAGAAGGAGAAGGCCTCAACCGAAAAGGACTCCCAATCCCAACGACCGCAAGTGTCGCGAACCACCACTGCCGGAACTGGAGCATCTGAAAAGTCTAAGGACAAGCTGAAGGCGGGCGATCGAACGGCCCATAACGACATTGAAAGGAAGTATCGTACCAATCTCAAGGACAAGATTTCTGAGTTACGTGATGCAGTGCCATCACTCAGATCAATACCTGAGGAGGGAGGCGAAGATGTTGAGGTAGACAGTCAGTCGCAGCGTGGTCCCAAAGTGAGCAAGGTAAGATTGCATAGTTTCTGCTCCTTGTTCTCTGAAATAATTGCTCACCTTGACATAGGGCACTGTTCTCACGAAAGCGACTGAGTACATCCACTACCTCGAACGAAGAAACAAAGCTATTATGCGTGAGCATCAAGAGCTTGCAAGGCGACTGCAAGCCTTCGAGCAACTTCTAAGCGCAACGGCACGGCAACCCTTCCCAATGCCCAACTACAGCAGAACTCTATTCGACCCGAGAGGCTTCTGTTAACATCTCTTCTCTTACTATATCACGCATTACGATTGCGAAACTGTACATATTGTGTTGTTGCGGGCTACCATTTGCCCTAAAATATACGATTGCGGTCAATCTACGAGGCATGACTGAGCACACAGATTTCAGGTTCTCAGGCCTATGTTTAACTTCTTGATGTCACAAACTGAGACATGGACTAAGAGAGATAGTTTACAGGCATCTTGCGTGGAGTGTTGATTAGCCTTTTAGCATACTATATCCCTTTCTTCCGCCTGAGAAGAGACTCGTCGGCTTTAGGCTTCCCCCCGAGTAGCCAAAGAAACGCCCTACTATTGCTGAAATCTGTTGGTTCCTGAAGAAATTACCAAGCGGAAATTTTTTAACATTGCCACGAAATGAAGATTCCATCATCCTGGACGTATCGCCCGATTCACATATTCTCACCCACATCTTGCTTGTACTCTAGTCTAAATTCAGTAGGCGGCAAGAGTCCGCCAGTGACGAGGAAAGGGGAGCTCGCTGTAGTCTTGCTGAAGCTCCAGGAAGAAGGGTCCTCAATTAGCGTGCTAAATCGATCAAATCACGTGAACGCAGCTGTCAAGCTAGTACGGCCAGATTCCCCATCGCGCCAACGTCACGGCCAAATTGTGCAGACTACAATTCAAGCAGTGGAGGCTCGGCCCTTCCTTGTACAACGGCACGCTATTCATGCCCCATATGCGTGATATTCTACAGTCAAGGTAACAGATAATGGATACACTTTCTTGTCATGTTGTTACAAGGCATCTAGTCTCGCAGAGCCTCAATATCGGCGACTTCTTTAACAGCCTCTGTCGTGAAAACAAACGGTGACTCGGCGTCAACGCAAACGCTGTCTTCAATTCGCACGCCCATGCCGCGGAAATGTTCCGGCCAACGATCGGTGTCCGGAACGTAGATACCGGGCTCGATGGTTACGCAGTGTCCCGACTTCAGAGGCGTTCTCCTACCATAGCCGGGCACGTCATGAACATCGAGGCCGATGTAGTGACCAACATGGTGTGGGAACAGCACATCTATGTCGCGGTGGGTCATATCAAAGCCCAGGCTCTTGAGTTGCTCAAGCAGTCCGTTGGCAGTGTGGTCGTGAATGTCGTCGAGGGAGAGGTTGGCGTTTTCACGGCAAAGAGAGACGCTGGTGCGCTGGACTGTGAGGACAGCTTCATACAGGTCCTTTTGGGCGGCACTGAACTTGCCATTTATAGGCCAGGTGCGAGAGATGTCGGTGATGTAGGTACCGTACTCCCCGCCAGCGTCGACAAGAACCATATCTCCTTCCTTCAGGGGTTTGTTATTCACAACATAGTGGATGCAGAGGCCATTTTGGCCGCCTGCTACAACAGGTATATACGCCGGGCCGTCACAGCCATCGGCCGTAAATCTGTAGTCAAGGAAGGCGTGCAGGTCCTTCTCGCGGGTCCATTGCCGGCGCATAGCGTCCGTGATGACGCGACCGGAAATCTGACCAGCCCGACGCATGTTTGCGATCTCGGCTGGTGACTTGATGCACCGGAGAGAGTTCATGATAGGGTATAGGGGAATCTTTACGGAAGGAAACCATGATTTCTCATTTTTCATGAGTTGCCACAGTTTGTTCTCCTGTTCCCCATGCCTTGGTTTCTCGAGGTCCGTATAGACACGGCTCGCAGACTTGAGAATGTCCGGCAGGTACTGGTGGATTTTGCTGATATCGCCTGCCTTATCGGCATTGAATATGTCTGTGGCGGCTTGGATACCATTTCGAGCACCCGACCATTGCTCAGCTCTGGGATCCTTTGGTTGTGTAAAAAGGTGGAATGTGTAATCCCCAAAGTCCTTGCCCGTCTTCTGAATGACAGCCAAAGAATCACCCTCGTTCCAGCCGGTGAGGTACAGGAAGTTAGACTCTTGGCGGTAGGGGTAGAAGACAGCCCCAGAGCGATACTTGAGATCGGCGGCAGACAGCACCGCCACGCCGCCCTCAGGCAGCTTCTCAGCGAGCCGGGCGCGCCTCTCCCAATATTCCTGGGCTGTAATACCTGGAGTGACTATGCGGACCAGTTAGTACAAGGGTTGTGCCGCATTATACTGAAACTTTGTTCAGACAGAACGAAGCCTTTGCTATGGAGGGTGAGTGTACTGACTCTCGCCGGCTCTGAGAATGTGAGGATGAGTCTCATGTACTGGTTGGCCAAACTGGAGATCGGCAGCAGAGACTGCGGCGTAGCGTCGGACCTGACGACAAGCCAAGGGAGATGGCCGCCATGAAGGTGCGGTATTACTGTGTAGCCTCTGAGCGGCCCGAAGGGCACGGCTCACTGAACGGGAGGCGTTCATGGCCAGGAATGGAGTGATGTGCAGAAGTGTATGGGAAAGAGTGAGGATATGGGTCAGTGAGGGATGGGCCTACGATGCGGATGAGGTCATCACGAAACGCAATGGCGGCGTTCCCTTTCGGCGGGAGATAGGCTGGGATGCTCTGTACTGGATGAACTCTGGGTAGACTAGCCTCAGGGCAGACACCAACTGGCGTCTAGAAAAATAGAGGCGGCTGCTGGCTGACTCGTCAAGGTCTGGGTAGTTCAGCGCAAGCGGCCTTTCCGTAGAGACTGAGACGGGTGGGAGATGCCCTTTTGGGAATCGGGCCACTAAGACAAGTGGACGGAGGCAGAGATTGACGCGTGTGGAGAGCGTTTGTTATGTATCTACTGAGGAAACGGAGTTGCATGCGTTTTTGTATGTATGTATGTAATGTACGGGTATGTATGTGCGTACACAGTGGTGCAGTAAAAAGGAGGCATGGGTAGGTGCTACTGCACAGAACAGCAAATGCAAGCAATGGTGCGGATATGATGCATCCATCCAGTTTTCCTCGGTAAGGAAAGGCGGACTGCAAACTATTGCGTAGCTGCACTGGAAGAATGGATCCCAAGGGCCCCAGAAGCAGCAGGATTTTTTATTGTTTTTCCCACCACAGCTCCATCCAATTTCCAGGCTGCCATCGCTACCAGTAGTTGCTGCGTCGAATTACAGTGAGCCTTCACTGTATCACAGCGGCCAGTGTCACTGTGAGACGCGCTGGGCCAAGAAAATTTGGCCGGTTGCTGGAGAAGAACCTGGCCCGTGCGTGTTTTCCACGCTGCCGAACGGGGATTAGTGCTGTTGTTCCCCCCCAAACTCGTCAAGCGCGACTTGGATAATGCCCGGGGACTCTTCCCACACAACACCAACCACTCTTCCTACCATATTAATAAAGCTCTGCCTTGAACCTGCCCACTTTCATACCCTTTGGCTCTGGTCCCGAACGCCTTTTGACGACGACATCCCATCTCCTCTGTCCCGTCCCATCCAGCTTACAACTTCTCACACGTCTCGCAGCCATTTTCAATGTCTTCGTAACGTCTCGACACGCTCTCTGTCGGTACGCGTGAGCGACGTGTCAGCCACCACGTCGCGTGCTCGTCCACAGAGCAACCCCCCGCCTCGCTCTCTCGAACCACCCACACCACACAAACAAACAACACTTCCTTTTCTTGTCGAGTATATTGATTGGACATTTTTATGGCAGCCATATCCCTATCACCGACTCCAATTCCCCCTCCGGCCATGTCCACTAGACGAACGCCTTTGTCTAGCAACCCCAATGTGGCCAATTCGCCCTTGAGAGCAGCCTCTGCTCTGGCCCAGGCCAAGCAGAAGCGATCCCACGCCAATATTCAGAGAGAGGAGCTCTACGGTCAGCCACCACCTCTGAAGAAGCAGGTCATCGAGAACACCGGGTCACGTCAACTACGATCGCCTTCTAAGCTTACCAAGCCCTCACAACTACCACAGCGTGTGGCTCGCCCGATTACGAAAGAACGGTCCACTCATCACGATGACGCCAATGTCGAGAAGATTCGCCAATGGCAGGCCGAGTACAGGGGAAGGTTCCCCAAAATGGTCTTCTACTTTGAGAGTATCCCGGAAGACCAGAGGGCAAAGCTGTCTAGGCATGCCATGTCCCTTGGAGCGGTATGTCACAAACAGCAATCCAGAGAAGGTTATTGTGACCACTGACAGCAATCCAGAGAGACGAACGCTTTTTTTCTAGTAGCATCACGCATGTTGTAACTGCCCGTCCGATACCCGCACAGGAAGAAGTGCAGGCGTCTGCACAAGAAGATCCTGAGCCGGAGGAACAGCCACAGACGATCAATCCATCTCTTCTCGACCGCGGCACCGATGCACGAAGACGCCTGTTGTTTGAAACCTCGAGAAGAAACCAAGCTCAACCGCAGGATGATGGAATCAGGCGGGCACGATCTACCAGGAGCAATGACGTACTTCACAAAGCTCGCGACATGGGCAAGAAGATTTGGTCCGTCGAGAAATTTCAGAGGATGTTACAATTCTTGCTGGAGCCTGACCCCCATGTCGTGGCGGCATATGGCGCCAAGGGGGAGTCGTCGCGGAGTTTGAGCACTAAGAAAACGGTTGATGAGCCGGGTCTATTGCAATTGCTGCAACACGAGCGGCTCAACGGCCCTTCTGATGCTGTCACTAGCCGGGAGATGATCAACTTCAAAGGACCCTACATTTATGTGTACGACATTGATGAGAAGCAAAAGCCCATCATGGTACGGGAATATCCCAAGGTCAACAACAAATACGATGGCGAGTGGCCTCAATTTAGGACTGTCACGGATGGCCGCTGCCCTTTCGTCGAGGAACCGGAACCTGTTGAGCGGCCGAGTCGGAAACCTCAACCGCAACAGAAAGAGCAGAAAGAGCACAAGGAAACGAAAGACAGCGTCGTGAAGCCTGTAATCGAAGAACGGGCGGCTCTTCAACCCCCTGAAGTCCCAGCACCCAAAGCTGTAATTGGCAAGCGCACACTTGCAGAAATGCAAGACGGACAGAACAAAGCTAAAGTGGCAATGAAGCCATTGGAGCTTTTCAACCCTCCGAAGGCCGTTGTATCGAACCCTATTGACTTCCGCTCTCAGAATGCTTTCACTAGCCGGGCTGGAACTGGTCGTTTATTTGCAGGCGAGCCCGTGGCTTCTGGGGTACAACCTTCCAATGTTACGTCCGCCATTCGCTCCCAGATGATTTCCTCTACTTCGGGTGTCAATGGGGCCAAGGCTGGCACTAGCAAGGAAGTTCACGGACTTCAGCGAAAGGTGCTCCAAAGAGGTGCTCCAGCACCCCAGGATACCAGTTCTCGGCGACTCACTGAGATGAGCTTGGATGCGACATCTACCAGATCTACGAGCGTTTCTAGAACAACAAGTCGGCGGATGGAGCTCATTGAGGAGGATACAGAGAAGCAAACTTCCAAGCTCGTCCGAACCAGCTCCAAAACACAGGCACCACCTGCAAAAAGTAAACGTGATCTCAAGCCCGGTTACTGTGAGAACTGCCAGGACAAATTCAAGGATTTTGACGAGGTATTTTGACTATGACTCATGACCGGGTTTCTTGCATTTTGCTAATAGTTTGGCAGCATATTCTCACGCGAAAGCATCGCAAATTCGCAGAAAATGACGACAACTGGGTCGAACTGGACGACCTTCTTTGCCAACTGGGCCGTATGCCCAAAGGTTTTGGTCGGAAGGCGTCATATGGTGACGATGAGGTAGCGCATGAATGGACGTAGGCGATGCCACGACCAGCCCTTTGCTCTCCGTAAGGTACACTGGCTACCGACTCTGCCCTATTCATTCATCGTTCACTTTCTTTTGCCGACGTCCGTGATCTCAAGAGCGCCGCGCATATACATCACCAGCAACGGATTAGTTCCACATACATCAAATTACTGATAACAGTGGACTGTCCATCAAGAAACTGTTTACGGTTTCAGGACATACTTTTTCTCTTCGTCTTTAAATCGGTTAGGTCGCACCGATAGCATTGCATGCAAAATGGCGTTCGGCATGGAGCATTTTATACCACGACGGCTAAATTTCCTTATTTGGCGGGCAGCTGGGAGGCATTGCGTCGTCATTCAGAGGCTGGGATAGTTTGGAGCAGAATTCAAGGGCAAAGACGGCGGCAAGTCATAATGAGTATGGTGTAGATATATCATTGAACAGTCTATGCTTGTGTATACTGTACGTTGAACACGGAGACTACATGGTTTGGATTTTTATTGGCTTTTTAGCTGCTTTGAAATGTTGTAAACGAACTCGAAACATCACAACGAGGGCGTTGTGGGGCAATTAAGGAAATTCTATCTTCTACCTTGCGAGTCATTGCGATGTCAATAGCAAGTGTCACTAATGATACATCGTGCTCTGTGTATTTACCTCCTGGTCCAAATTCGAAAACCAGCTGATATCAAGGAGCTAGTGTGAAACATTAGCCAGACCTTTGGTTCGTGGACGTCTACCAGAGTCAATTTCGTTCCTCACTAGTACAGAAGAGTGTGGAAGCACTTCTGAGGCCGATGTAAACATGAAGTCAGCATTGATGTTAAGCCACTCACCTTGCCCCGCACCTGCTGAGCGACACTGGGTCTGCTGTTTCCCTACGAAATACCATGCCATTCGTTTCCTGGCAGGGTGGGCACGGTCTCCGCGCACTAAAATCAATTGTATCCACAGGCATGGAGTCTCTGATGGAACATAATGACTAAACAAACTAGTAATGTCATTATCCGGTCTCTGTGGCTCAGTTGGAAGAGCGTTGGTCTCATATAACAGAATATGACTCTATCCTAAGATATGGACATCCAAAGGTCGCAAGTTCGAGCCTTGCCAGGGACATGTGTTAGATTTTTGGCACTTCCCAAGTGTTTCTGAGTAACGGTCACCTTAATCATGTCTTCACCTCGCATTTTTGGTCTGCATTGAGGATTGTTGCTGAGACGTAACCTCCAGCATAATGTAGCTTAAACATGGGCAAGCCGTTCCTAAGTCCATCCCTTAGTGCAACATTTCTATACGCAACCTGTGCCTGTAGGATCCACAGTCACCGTGGCAGCATGTGACACATGATAAACTGAAGATCGTTGTTGCTTGGGTCGCTCTGCATTCTGGCTTCGCAGTGGATGTGTTATTTTACAGAACCTTGTTGCCGTTGCACGGATTGCACACCACAGTTCACTTTAAATTTCAGAGACCAGCGCCTTCTACCTTTTTACTTTCCATGTAGCGGGGAGCTGCGCTCGCAGTCACTGCGATCGAGCTCTTTCAACTATTGTACTTGTTTATTGTGGCTAGCCAACCTATATAAGAATAAGTGACTTGTCATGTCTGACTAATTATATCTCAATTCCTGTAAAAACGCTTCCGGTTATTCAACTTTCTTCCTGTTTCTATCAAACTTTCCCTCTTTTTCTTTTTCTTCCTCTTTCCCTTTTCTCTGACAATGCTATTGTTGCTGTTCCACATGATTAAACATGAGAGGTGGGTTGTAATGATTGTTTGTGGAAAAGCAAGTAGATATACGGGGACGATCGAGTTATGAAAAATCGCGGTTGATAATGGTCTGGAAAGAAGACTCTTGCTTTTATAATAGCTGCGAGACTGTCTTTGCCCATCTCAGTGTTCCTAAACTGGCGAACCGACACCATCATCGCTGCTGCTAGCTGGTGTGTCCTGCCCGCCTATTGACGGCTTCTGTTTGTTGCCGATGTCGAGCAACGGCAACAACATGGGGACAATAGAGCCTTTTCGGATTTCTTCGTATATCTGAGATACGTTTCCGCCAATGGTTCTCTTTTGTTCTTCCCTAAGCCCCTGGTGGAAGCCGAGACCCAATTGTCCACGTACAAAGTGGTAAAGGATTGCGGAGCCCTTGCCTAGCCCCTCCAAATGGACAGAAAGTTTATCCCCAGAACCAGAATGATCAATTATCGGAGGGTTGTTGGATCGGTCCGAGAGCCATGACTCCATGCTTTGCTGAAAGTCGCGCTGGACACCCAGCACGCAGTTCAATGAGACGCCATCTATCTCCTCCTCGGCCAAGAAGTTAACTATGTGAGAGGTAGCTCTAGAAGCTACCATTGGGCAACGTTGTAAATGATCGGCCTTGTTGGCCTCAAACCACCAAGTCCAGACTAATTCATCTAACCCTGCAGTCAGTTTTGTCATCTGGGAGCCATTGAGCCCAAAGGCGTTCTGCTTCAGCTGTTGGGACAACGAAACTGATCTCAGGAAACGCTCGTGGTAGTCTCTAAGATCGATTGCTTGACAACAGACGTATACGTGAGCAGCACACATGTGTGAAAGAACGTCCACTGCCTCCATGGTCCGACGACCCGAGAGAAAAGCAAGCGAGTTGATGCCCTGATTCTGCATCTCGGCGGACTGTACGTGGGCAGACACAGGATGAGCGAGAGCAGCCAGTTCCGACATATAAGCGCTCATGTTGACGTCGATGCCCTTCATTGTATAAGACTGGCCTGGGTCTCCGAAGACAAGGTTTGGATCGAGGCCGTGGTTCGTGGTCGGGTTGATCAGCTCAGTACATTGGGAAAAAATCATTCGACCTATCATTTGCAATGCATTTCTGGTTTTGTCCATGGCCGATGTTATTGCAGTCGCTTGGAAGTTACCCCCTGAGTAGACATCTCCGTCTGATGGGTCGTCGTTAAGGCCAGAATCAATGACCGGGTTATCTGAGGTTGAGTTGAGCTCAACTTCAATCTGCCTCTGAGCCAGCAAGAGGTCCTCTAGATAAGGGCCCATCCACTGAGGTGCTGTCCTTGTAGAATACCGGTCTTGCCAGAGGCCTTGACCCATTCTCTTCTTAGTTTCCAGTCCGATAACGAAATCCGACGACTGCAAAAACTGCCGTATATTGCGAGCTACTTCGATCTGCCCAGCATGAGGCCGTATCCTGTGTATAAACTGATGGGCCCACTCAACGTTACCGCCGAGACACTCGGAAGTGAAAGCAGTTAGAGCCTGGCAGAGGATTGCAAGTTGATTTGCCTCGTAGATTACCAAGCTAGCCAGTGCAGCAGATGGGGCAGTCCCATTGATGAGACCAAGTCCCTCCTTTGGCTGCAATTCGACAGGTGTGATACCGTTTTGTTCTAGGGCATCCCGAGCAGACAAGACCCTTCGGCTCGTCCCGGATCCAATGCTGACTGATATGTTTGGATCTCCTATCAGAGCACCTGCTATGTATGATAGCGGCATGAGATCACCCGATGCCGAGATTGTTCCCCTTAGAGGAACTAAAGGCGTGATGTCGTGACGAAGAAGGTCCAATAAAGTATCAATGAGCTCAAGCCTAACTGCACTATGACCTCGTAAGTTCTGATTAGCCCTAATGACCATGGCAGCTTTTACCCAGGCCTTGGGAATGACGTGGGACTGTCCATCTTGGTCAATCTGGGACTCTCCTCGGTCAGAGCTGGTGATGATGGCGCTTTGTGTGTGTTGGAGGCAAGCAATCTGGAGTTTCTTAAGCTGCTCTGTGCGTGAATCTGCGCTGCCACCAAAGCCGGTGTTGACACCATATACAACCCAGCCATTCTCGATGTGATGGTCGAGAACCTTGACGCTCTGGTTTATTCTCTCTCTGAGCGCCGCGTCCTCCTTGATACGAGGCACAAATCCATGACGAGCAATAGCAATAATGGCAGCCACATCGAGACTGTCACCGTCTAGTGAGAGCTTTGTATCTTCATTCTTCCAGTTGTTAATGGCGCTCAGTGTGCCCTGCAGAGCTGAAGCGTGCGGAGCCTCCAGCGTAGGTGTTCCCCCCATTTTGCAAGCTTCCTGATAGGTCGAAGGAGCCTGCCAAAGTCTGCGCCCAGAATGCGAAGGAGTTATAAGAGGGCAATGTAGGTAATGAGACCAAAAGTTCTGAATGAATAAAAGTAGAGGTAGTAGGTAGTGATGCAGGATTGTGGAATAGTTATAGATGAATTGCTACACCTTTTGGTGTGTACGTGAAGGGGCAAGAAAGAAGGTGAGGTCAAGTTACATGAGCATGTTGTTTGCTACAAACGGCCCTCTCATAGCTAAAAGAATTTGACATGCAGTCATGATTTAAATAGTCATCGCTTTACGTTAGTGACCTCGTTGTTCCCTTCCAAAGTGAGTTAAGTCTGCTTCTATGATTGTCATCGTCCATTCAACAGTCTCGACCGAGACGCCCGCTAGGTAACCAGAGCTGGCGTCAAACATGCGGTGAGGGACAAGAGAAAACGATCCAGCGCCACTGTGTGAGGCCAGGGTGGCCGCATTAAATCGATACATCATCATGTGCCTCGTACTGGCTGGCTTCGATTGCCCGTACAGCCCGCCCAAGCGGTTACAGCTCGGCCAAACCCTCGACGGTGGTGGCTCATGGGTGTCAGCAGAATGTAAAAGCCTGTCTACTCCGTGACAAAGGAGTCCGGGATTCTCGCTGCTCTTTTTGGTGGCGTAAGAGTCCCAATCTTGGATTTGCGAGCAATACCGAGACATGTTTGGGCCAATGTTGTGTTATGAGTGGAGGAAATAAAAGTTTCCTCTGGCTCTGTGTCCCCTGGACCGATTTAGTGGGCAGCTGCCTATGAATATGCCCGAGACACGGTCTTCCGGGGGCAATGGGGCACTTACAGGCTACGGGCTACGGGCTAACACCGGACGGACTGTACCACAAACCCCCACCCCCACCTACCCACTGTGAGATAAACAGTGCATGACTGCTTTTGGCTGAAATAGGTGATGAAGAGTCAGCCTCATTCAGCTTCTGTTTGCTCAGTGTGCAATCTCCCAACTACCCACTCAACCTACGTAACTACCTCCTTGCCTCGGGCAACAACGTGACCGAGTGCCATTCACGACATATACCTAACCGAAAGCCTTTGACTTGCAGATCTAACCCGCAAACCCAAAGAAAAAAACAAAAGGAAGCTAAGTCTGCCCACGATGACGTCCGCTCCTGTCTCGCCTTCCATTCCAAGATCCAACTCGGCCTCACCTCCGCCGGCCACCATTCCGGATCGCCCTGCCTCTCCTGAGATACCGCTCACAATGTCAGCCTCTGCCATTCTAACGGCTCAGCCGAGAGATGTCGCGTCCGCTCTTGCAAGCGCAGGCGAGTATCCTTCGGAGAAGGTCGTTGTCAAGTTCAAACCTGTTGGCAACGCTCCAGCTCTCTCCCGAGGGGTTGCAAAGATATCCTCCACTCAAACCTTCTCGACCGTTATCTGGTACCTTCGGAAAAGGCTCAAGCTTCAAAACACAGACAACATCTTTTGCTACGTGAACGATTCTTTCGCACCCTCCCTCGACGAGATCGTTGGCAACCTGCACAATGTGGGCAACAACCTGAATGTCACTTGAAAGCTTTGGAAACTAATCTGTGTGCAACAGTGTTTTAAGGACTCAAGTGGTCAGCTAGTTATTTCATACGCTATGAATCCAGCCTTTGGCTGAGGAGAAGTACGCTATTAAAGGGTATCCAGCTTCTTGTAAATGTTGCAAATGCCCACCCCTTCAAGCCCCAACACCGGTAATGCAGCCCCAACCCGATGCAATGCAAATGCTCTTATCACTGACTGTGACAGCTTTTTACAACTTCTGAAGAGTACTGGAAAACGCCTCAAGTTCTTCCTTAGAAATAGGGTACGTATGCTCAGGGGCAGGGTATTGCCTGCCCTTGACTTCGTCACGGTAGGCCTCGATGGCCCTCAGGCTCTCGCCCCAGGCATCGCCATATTTCTTGACAAACTTGGGCAAGAACCGACCGGGAGGGAAGTTACCAATCATGTCGACCTGAACCAAGACTTGGCCGGAGCAGCCGTTGCCAGCACCAATACCGATGGTTGGAATTGACAACTTCTCTGTTACGAGCGTCGCGACCTCGGCAGGGACGGCTTCCAGGACGACAGCGAAAGCACCAGCCTCTTGCACGGCTAGCGCATCCTCGAGCACTTTCATAGCGCCATTGCAAGTTTTGCCCTGAACTCTGAAGCCACCTAGAGCATTCTGCCGTTGAGGCGTCAAACCCACATGTGCGAGGACAGGAATGCCAGCTGTGGTGATCTTCTGAATGGTAGGGGCCATCTCTTTACCGCCCTCTAGTTTTACGGACTGAACTCTGCCTTCTTTAATAAAGCGGATCGCAGTCTCAAGAGCTTGTTCTGGGGCAATCTCATAGCTGCCCATGGGTAAATCGCCAACCTAGAACTGCAGTCAGTTGGGTGTTTGGGATGGCCAGGTTAGAGGCATACTCACAGTAAAGGCAGATTTGGTCGCTCTTGCGACAGACCGGCAATGAAGTAACATCTCTTCGACCAAAACTTCGCTAGTGTCTTCCATACCAAGTGCTACCATGGCCAAGCTGTCGCCAACAAGAATTATCTCCATGCCGGCATGGTCGGCAACATGGGCACTTGGAAAATCATGAGCCGTCATCACTGTGATTGGCTCACGCTTCTTGTGAAGACTCCTCAAGGATGCAATTGTGACCTTCTTCCTGGGGTTGACTGGCGGAGTACCCATAGGAGAATGCGAGCTATGTCTGGTTTGCTGTTGTCGCGACATAGTGGGACAGACGGGCCGCAGAAGGAAGGCTGCCGGTGAGGGTCGCGTGCTACGGAGTACGTAGGCACACGACCTCAAACAGGTACTTCGAAAAATATGGGAGGACATATGGAACCACAAGTACCGTTTTCTTGGTACGAGATAGAATGCCAAAATATGCTACTGAAGTAGGGGAAAAAATGCAGATTCAGGAAAGTGGTTCAGTGGTGACGGTCGTGGGATGTCATAGAGAAAGAAAATTTCCAAAAGGTAGAGTTAGGGCGAAGCGGAAGTTTTATTGTCCAAGTCATGATAGTTTTTGCTGCGTAGAATTGAGTATCTCCAGAAAATGCGTGTGGTGTTTCGTTCCCGCCGCCTCAAAGGGAATAAAAGCGGGTCGAATGGGCGCCGGACGACCGTAGAATGCTAAAGGGCCCCAAAAACGGGGTCTGGTCCACTAAGTGTACCTCCGTCATTGGGTGCGCGCCGAGGCACGTCCCTTTCCCACTACTAACAAAGTGCCCTCCCTGTTCGAGTGTACCTGGCAGTGAAGGAGGTATGAGTGAGCAATGCTACCAGTCATACCTACCTTACCTAGTTTGTGTACTGTAGGTGTGCTGTAGTTTACGGCGTAGTTCACGGCATTATGCTGAGCTTCCCAAGTGCGCTGAGCTTAGACCGAGGCAAAATAGCCTCGGGCCCGGAGAATCTGATCTCGGTATTCCGCAAGCGCGGCCATTAGTCCTAATCAGCCTTGGAACATTAGTTCACGTGGTTTGACTTTCTACTACTACATAGCACTGCGCTTTATTTGGCCTGCCGCAACACCCGATCGCCAGTCGCATCACCTGTTGCAAGAATCCCCAGAAGGGGAAATGTGCCTGTGATATATGTGAGAATAGGTAGGTTGATAATAAGAACTGAAAGGCGATTACAATGTCTCTCTACAATTGCCTTATCTTTGGCCGTTTTCTTGCCCGCGTTATAGCCATAGACTAATGAGCTGCTTTAAAAAAAAGACGGTGTTTACGGCGGCACCATTCCTCGGAATGGCCCGAGCACTGTGTTGTGGTCGCATGTTGCAGCACAAGGCCGTTACGACATGATGCCTTACTCAAAATCAAGACACCGAGGAAGCCATATATTTGCGAGCCATGTGAGAAATATGTGAAGTCAATTTTAGATGGAGGGCATGTGACCTTGAGTCTCAGGGTATGCTGTCTGCAAATTTGGATGGCCACGTATAATCAATGCGTAGGGTACTCCTACGCAGTCCACAAGCATACACTGGTCCTGTGGCTGGAACGTCCCGACTCACTGACATGACACAACCAACCAACCTCTTCGACGCTGGGTGCTGATGTACCCCGTCTTGTTGGCCTCTGCGGCTTACAAGGTTCGCATTGTCTGGATTGTCTTAGTCAAAACTCGACAATCCTAGCTGAATCCAGTCTAACCGCTTAATCTTCGGGCCCACATTCCTTATCGCGGCACTTATCAGCTGTGGTCCGGGATCGCCCACATCATCATCGCGCGTGACTTGGCGTCAGGAACTCGATCCGACTCCTCCTCCCCTCTTTGTAACAACCAACAACTTGTCTTAAGTGCTCTGGGACAACGAAAGCGCACTTCTCGTCGAAACTCCACCTCTCTTATTTCCTTCGACATAAAACGATATCAGTACCTTTTCTTCCGACTCCGAACCATCTTTCAGTAACATAATCAGTCCCAACTCCGGCCCTCTGTCATCTAGCCACCGTCCGAACTCCCCTGCATTCGACAAGATGAGTAGCCCACGCAGGAGAATCGAGACTGATGTAAGTCTGCGCCATCAGCTGCCAAATACTTTTTTTGTCGCATACGCAGATGAAGATTAACTAACTCGTTGCACAGGTCATGAAGTGAGGAGTCAAAAATCACGCCACAATGTTGCTGCCCAGCTAACCTGATCTAGGATGTGCGATTCGCAAGCAAACCACTTTCCTTTGCTTATGCTAAAGTGTACAGGTTGATGAGTGACTATGAGGTCACCTTAGTGAACGATAACAGTACGTTTGTTTTTCCGCTGCCGTTCTAGCTTCTACAAACCACCTAACTAACAGCTTCTAGTGTAAGGACGAGAATCCCTCACCGAACGGCCCATCCTGACGACATTGAAATAGGCAAGAGTTCTACGTCCGATTCAAAGGGCCAGCTGAGAGTCAGTGTAATACGTATTGCCAGGGCAAGGACTAGTTATGCTGATTCCACATAGCTCCGTTCGAAGGAGGCGTCTGGAAGGTCCATGTCGAGCTCCCCGATCAGTACCCCTACAAGTCGCCGAGTATCGGATTCGTTAACCGCATTTTCCACCCCAACATCGACGAGCTGTGAGTTTTCTTTTTTGGGAAACTTTTACGAGAGGGAGATGGCGTTCTGGGCTGTGAACGGGGCGAGGAACTAATGGGGGATATTGCATAGGTCGGGATCCGTCTGCTTGGACGTAATCAACCAAACCTGGTCGCCCATGTTCGACATGATCAATATCTTTGAGGTTTTCTTGCCCCAACTTCTGCGATACCCGAACCCGACAGACCCTCTTAATGGCGAAGCGGCCGCTCTAATGATTAGGGAACCGAAGAGTTATGATGCCAAAGTTAAGGGTGCGTGGACTTTACACGAAGAATTGAATCATGGAGCAACGGATACTAAAATGGGGACAGAGTACGTGCAAAAGTACGCGAACAAAGATGCCGCGGACGAGAACGGTGCTGAAAGCGAAGATGACGATGACATGTCGTCTGTCGGAAGTTTCGGGGACGATGACGAGGAGCCCGCCGGACGGCTGGATGACGTATGAGCGCAACGACTTCGAGGACTCTGTTAGAAGCATTCATGGAAATGGCGTCGATGAAGACTTATATCCCCCGGGCTTGATTGGTCTTGCATTCCGAAGTTCTGTCCGATTTGCGCCCTTTCTACAATTAGGGGCCGACGGCACCGGGCTTTTTTTTTGTTTTGTTTTTTTGTTTCAGGGATAGGTAAGGCATGTATGGATTTAACTTTGGAGTTTTCTACAACACTGGACGGACTGGATTATGATGGACATGCCTCGAGAAGACGACAATAGTTGGCCGATGGAAATGGGGACATGCCAACAACACTACCCCCCATAGATTGGATCTTTGTTTAGTTGAACTTAACGGTCCACTCCTTCAAGAGCCTTCAGATAGTTGCCAATGACTATATTCACATCTACATCTGCTATTATAAATAGCCATGGATAAATGGTCACAATTTCATTCCTCTCTAAACGCAGATTAGGCGGGGGAATCCGGCTACGATTGAGCCAAAGTTGGTCATGTAGAATGCAATCGATTTTTTACAAAGAACGGTTCTTCGCAGAAAGATTCTGTTTATGAGGATTATATTATGGTCAGGCACTTTTCCGATTTTGATGTTCTTATGAAATGTAGATCTTGTTCCGGGGTATCTTATCCTGCGCTGTCTGTCATAACGCCATGTAATCTAGTTTGAAGAACCCATGCTTAATCTGAGTCTGAATCATAGCCCACAAGGGCCTTGGCGGAGGGCAACGCCGGTCTATCACTCTGCTTTGGCTCCTCCTCCTCCTCCTTAACATCCCGTTTCCGTTTAACGCCTGGTAACCTCGCTGGATTCCGCTCCATACGCGCTTCCAGCAGAAATGGGTCTCGAGATATTCGCGTGTTGCTGACAATTTCCGAGACGATGTTATCCTTTCTCTTGGACGCAAGCAATTCGGCCTTTGGTGTCCCCTTTGGTGCTTTCGCGACAGAGCCCTTAGAGGCGGCGGAGGAGGAGAATAGCGGCTTTGCCAGGACTTTGTCTGTTCGAGCATCATCGTCATTGTCGGGCCCGAAGTCTACAAGTGAGGCCCTCATCGCATCTTCTTCCGTCGCGAGCACAAGATCGATTCCTAAGCTCATCTTGTCTTTCAGCGCCTCGCTCACCTCTGCCTCCTTCTCCCGCTCCTTCCTCCCGGTGCGGAAGGTCCGTCTCAGCGCCTTGTTGCGCGAGTACGGGTCGTCCCACTGCCGCTTAGAGACGTCTTCAAGCGCATCTATCCGCTCAGTCGCCTGCGCAAGCTGCTGACGATCCTCGATGGTCTTCTCCAGGCTCGCAAAGGCGCTGCTCCTCAGCTTCTGCCTCTCTTCCTCCGTCATGATGACCATTTCTCCCTCCCTTGGCACCGCCCCGTCAGCGGTATCGTCCTCCCCAGTATCCCGCTTCTTGGCGCCTGAGACGACGACGTACGCCGTGTTCTTCGGATCTGTCTTGATCTCGATGGCACCGCCGCAGTCTGCATGCCGCATGCGGAACTGCCATATTGGCGTGGAGTAATAGCTGCCGACCCTCTTCTTCTCGGCGTTGAAGCGCACGCCTTGGCCGATGATAGTGGGCTTGGGGCACGTGGAACACCATATAGGATAAGGCATCTCGAAACGCACCGTAAGTATTCCAGAGGAAGCGAGCTTGGAAGCGCGCGCGCCGAGGGCGTGTTTCCCGTGCAGCTTATTGCCCGACGTCGTGCCCTCGACGTCGGGAGGGACATAGCGTCCCATGTTGAAGCCCTGCATCCTGGGCCAGCTTTATTTAGTGAGCTTATACAGCAATGCAAGAATAAGTGGATGAGCCGGTCGGTTTCAGTGGGCGTTTTCGAGGGTAGTCGCCAGCGTCGATGGCTACCTGACAGATAACATTAAACATGAAAGCTGATCGTAGGCTTCGCCCCGGGTGGTGGGGAGGTCAATCAATGGCTGTGGCGCGGGGCATCTCGCTTATGTAATGACTTCCTGGAGATGCAGGTACCACTAACATGACAGTGCTGACTTCACCTTCACACCTTTTTTTTCTCCTTTACAGTTGGAACTGCACAGCGGAATCTAGATTAGTCCGTCACTCTACGTTCAGATATTATGAATATATAGATTCAAACCCCCCTGCTGCGCAAAATGCTGTCCCAGCCGAATTTCTGGTGTGGCTGACAACGCAACATCTTAGGCGGCGGCGATCGTACTCGTTGAAACCGGCCATCCAATGCTTCGTTGCAATTGGGACTTTGAAGGTCACATTAGCTAGACAATGACGAGGCCATTTCCTGAAACATAGACGTGCGTAAAGCCGACGGTTTCCGGCTCCCGGAAATGTCTGAAAAGTGAGCTTATTGTACCCATCTGTCGAAGGCGAGGCTGATGGGCAATTGTCACCATCGATTGCGTGATTGGGTTTGGATGAGATACATGAACGCGCTGTTTGCCCGCTGTCATAACGTTTCTGCTCCATGCTCGCAAGCATTACATGGCGATTTAATCAATATCGAAACTCGTTACTCCGAGAAACTCACCTCCTTCAGCAATTCACTGATTCCGTCCGTAATCTTACGAAACTGCCATGCATCCCCTTGGGAGTTGATGGAGTTAGTAATGAACACGCTCTCATTCCGCCCGAACATACTTATCCTACCAAACTCGATATCGCCTTCACAACAGGAAATTCTCGGCTGGTCTAATATTCCAGTATGCCTCGTTCTAACATCTTCTTGTTAGCCTTTATCACTCAAGAGGCTGAAGGAGACACTTTGGCATCGCAACCACGCCCACATGAAAGCTCGCGGCTTGTCCGCGGCGACGACCACTTGGAGGCCTCCATCTTGTACATGGACGTTAAAGATCAGATAACCAATTTGATGCGGCCAAATGCGGGTTTGCACGGGACGAACGAGCCTCGTAAACTCAAGTTTCGTTACTTCCATAAATGGTGTTATTGAGGTCGTTTATGCCGGAGGGTGTTCCCAGTCAGTTGGTCTTGGCGATTCTTCGATCCTTGGCCAGCTTGCAGGAGGCTCGGCAGTGCCTAAGTACCCTGGATTCTCGGATACCACAGTAGCCACTGACAAGATATACCCAGGTTTTACACAGAACAGTACAATTGGGTACGCGGAAACGACGGCCAGTGTTGAGGGAACACTTGACATTGATATTGCCTTTCTCAAAGATACTGCTGGTGAATCGCATGAACCGAACGCTCCTGGTCCTCCCAGCTTCAGTCTAGCCACACTTACTGTACACGTTCGACTGTTTGACGGAGTGGAGCCCTGGTGAGAGAAAGAGCACTGTCAAGATTACCTATCACATCCTTGCGGACCATCTCGAAGAAGAACGCGCAATCGGCTGTGCACAACATAGCAAAACTAACTGGCGTGGGAGCCAGGGCCCGGCTTGCCATCATATGCTTACACAAACGGCGTCCACCATCTGCCGAAGCTTCCGTCATACAACCACACACTGGAATCACGGCCAACGGTGAGGGTTTAAAGTCCATGTTTAAATCATCGCAAGACATCAAGGTATATCATTCATGCCCAAATACTCAAAATCTCAATCTATGCCAAGTATGGATCGCTCAACATCCAAAAACGATGCTATCTCAACCCCGCTCAAAATGACGGACAGTATAAATCCCCCAGAGTTGCGCCGGCACCGCTTGTAGCGTATCGTTCCCTATGTATCATCGATCCAAATCAAGTCCAAATGTCATCAAGATAGGGGCTCTGGGCGGTGGCATCGTCTTCTCATCGTAACCTCCCTTTTTATCGAGTTGCTCATTGTTGTCCGCCGCCCAGGCACCCAGTGGTATCCCGCAGATCATTATGCACTCCCCTGTACCCAAATAGCAAAAAAAAAAAAAAAAAAAGACCTGCTCCTTCGGGGAGTGAAGTCATAAAAAAGAAAAAGTGAGAGAAAGAAGAGAAAAAAAGCAAAACTATATCTTCGGGGGAAAAAGAATCTGCTCAAGTGAGCGCTTCTTCTCTTTGTGTAATCGTTATCCTTCAACTTGCAGCTCCGTCCTCACCTGCTGCAATCGTCAATCGGCCATGCTCGCCATGCCTGCCATTGGAGCAAAAGTCTCATACATCTCGTCATCGCTGCTATCTGCGCTGGGGCTCTGGGGGCTCTGAGCATTGCTCACGTCAGCGCTCGGCAGCCCGCTAAAGCTGCCCAGGCTGATGGTCGGTGGCGCACTCTGGCCGAGGGCTAGCAGTCCGTTACTTCCAAAGCTGCTGCTGATTCCTCCAAAACCCATATCCACAACGCTTCCGCTGCGGCTCATTGACGGCTTCTCTGGAAGTTTCTTAAGAAGGCCGGTTGAAATGTCGAGCATGGTCATAGCGAAATTCGTCAAGCCCTTGCCTTCACCAGGCTTAGAGCTCACGGAGAGTGTCCATCGGTACTCGCCCAAGCGCCGTCGGTACCAGTCAGCTTCTTCCCTGCCGGGTGATGTCGCCCAGAGGAGGGAGCCAAATGTGCCAATAAGGGCAAAATTCGTCTTGGAAGCAAAATACCAGAATGAGCGCAGGTGGGAGGAGTTCAGACGATTGACAAAGTCCATGGCGGAAATGAGTCTGGCCTTGGCCGCACTACGGCAAATGTGCTGCACATACTGGTCAACAGCTGAGCCTGTGGCCTCCAGAGAACGAATAATACGGCGGTGAAGGGTGATTTCGGCAGCGAAGTAGGCGAGGTGAAGGTAGCCAATACTCGATAAGCGGTTCGCGGGTACAGTGTTGGCTGAGTACGAACTATCCATACGGATCGTCGCGGGCAGACTGGCATACCATTCCTTGAGCTTCAACTGTATCGGCTTTGCCATGGAAAGAACGAGGTGTGTGCCTTGTCCACCGGCATTCATGACAGTCTGTTGGGCTTGCAATGAGTAGAACGTGTCAAGAATCTCGGCGAGGATCTGCGACAGCTGCACCATCTGCCCAAACAAGGTACGACCGCGCTCGATTTCCAGTTTGTCTTCCACATCCTTCTCATCCCACTCAACATCGGGGAAATCGTGCGGCGACAGCGCTTGTACTCCCCAGTTGGAAGAGAAAATGTGCGACGGTCGCCCATGAACAAGAGATCCCCACTTGTCTTGCATGTATAAAGCCCACGCAAGGCGCTTTCGCAGACCCTTTTCCCAAGGCGGTATTTTCCAGCCCGTGCAGTCGAGATGTAAGCCGAGTTCCTGGGCAATGGCGACAAGCTGGGCAGTCGGGGCCCACTGGTCGCCCTCAGGCCGCTGGGATAAAAGGAGACCGGCCTGGATAGTGGACAGTTTCGGCCGGTACATGGCATCTGCGAGGGTTGTACGGATGAGCCGTTCAAGATCAGACACATTCGGTCGAGGTAGTCGGGCCAGTTCCTCATCGTGATCCCACCAGTTAATCGCAAACAGGTAGACAGCAGCTAATAAACAGGGTGAGAACTCGCGATAACTTCGCTCGTATTTTTCCAGGAAGACCGTCTTTTGTATGATTGGGAAGGCCGGATGTACGATGCGGAAGTACAGATCTACAAGCTTGCGACCATGAGGCCGTACAAGGTTTTCGATTTCCTCAACATCCTCAAGAATGTGCTCGTGGCCCGGCGTGTTGAAATCAGGTAGCAGCAGAAAGGTGTCATCATCACTGACCTTGCGGAGGGTGCCGCGTGCCAAGAGACTCTCGTCATGAGGGTCAAAAGGCGAGAGGTTGATGAGAGAAGGCTCGAAGTCAGTGGTCGGGCCGATATACTGACTGTAGCGATCGTTTTGGAGACCTAGCGTCCGCTTCAGCAGAGTAGGGCCACCAACGTTCGCCATATCTTCAATAAAGGAGCTGCTCCCCGTAGTACTGGAAAGGCTGGGCTGGTGTTGCCGCCGCCTTCTGATATCGGCGGTCCTACTAGGTGAACTGTTGTGCCAGTCACGTGTCAGATATTAAGGTTTCGTTAAGGTATGGTCCCTTGGACCGCAGCGGCCGCATCGCAGTCATAAGGACCCAACTTAACGGGCGCAAAGAGATGAATGACAGGGGAAGCAACTCAGACCAGCGAGAACAGCAAGTCGGAAGGCCGCAGTGGAGGTGTTTTGGAGGAAAAAGATGGGAAAGAAGGTTTGGGTATATTATATGAGCGAGAGTGAGATGGAGGGGACTGACCTTCTTTTGCCAATTGAGTCGTCAAAGTCGCCGTTCAGCTTTCGTTTCCTTGGTTGGGGGCTGTTGAGCAGGGAACACTCTGAGCCGCTAGCCTGGCAGGGTATGCAGCTGTCGTCGTCTTCGCTCACAATGCACTTGACCCTAGACCTTTGGCACGATTCGCATGGGCTGAGAGAACGAGTGGTGTAGGAGCCGACGGACTCGGCAATTTCCCGGCCAGGCATGCTGCCGCGGAAGAGGTCGAGGTTCGTGAAGTCCTGGCGATAAGAGTTTTGACGGCGGGGTGGTTTGGGCGCAATGGCGATAGGAGCCGTCCTGATGACGGCACTTGGGTTGGACATGTTGGGCAAGCTCGATAGTAGAAGAAAGCTATGTATATACGGGCAGGTTTAGGCCGACGCAGGGGAGGACGGACGGACAGACCCGGTTTGTCGAAACGGGGCCCCGGCCCTGGTCTGGTCTGGTCTGGTCTGGAGATTGAGATTGGGGGGATGAGGCGGGTGCGAGTTACTCCTAGGGTTCTCCGGAGATATGAGGACGGTGATAGGACGATAGACTTCCTTCGATGCTAGAAGAGCGGTTGGCGCAGTCGCCGGGATGGAAAGCTGGACCAGTAAACAACAGCCCCACGGCGCAGCGGCAGACAAGATGCAGGTGATGTAATGTTCCTGGCCTGTCTGGTCTTGGAGCCGCCACCGAAATCGACAACGATAGAGTCTCCTTGGTCGATATGAATACAGGAATGTGTACGTAGCGCACGAGATGCACGATCCGCCAGACACGATTGGTTAATGAGCACCTATTCGGTCTGCCCTTGCCCTTACGTCTGGTGGGTGAGCCTGTGCTGTAACACAGATCAATGGACAGGGCACAAAAGATTTTGATAACGCTACGGCGCGCCGAGGCCGGTTGAGATAAGACTCCTATGGTAGAAGGTAGTAAGGTATCGAGCGACAACGGCGGACGGACGTCGACCGGGTACGATAGCGAGGTTTGACGTGACCGATGGGGCTGTGTCCAGGCTAGGTCGAGTTGAGAAGAAGCAACAAAGGCCACGCGAGAATTGTGTGTAAGGGAAGAAAGTAACCCGGAGGTATTGAACCAGGCGAAGCGGTACCGAGTTAAGCGGCAATGGGAATTAGAGGCGGAAGAACAGGACTCCCCTTGTCCGTCCTCTCTCTTTTTCCCCCCCCCTTATGTTAGATCTGGGGTGGGTTGCAGAAATCCGAGGGGCCGGCTTGGGTCTTTGGGGTTGGGGGATAAGGGTCGGCAGAGATAAAGATAAAGCGCCGCAGCGGGAGTGGGCGAGACGGATTGATTTGCGCCCGTTTTTGGTGATGGAATGTGGTGGTGGTTTTGTTTTTGGGGGGTGCGGATGCAGGGCCGAATTTGGGGCCGGATATAATTCCTTGGGATTGGATGGATTGGGTTTGATGGATCGATATAGGGTGGGCTCAAGTGACGATGGAGGCAAGGATGAGATAAGCCTGGCTTATCGGTGTCATTGGGCCCCGGGGGGGGCGTTAAAGTATATGTAAGAGGCGACGTCTCTTTCTGCCGTTTTAAGGACCCATTATTGAATGTGCGGCACCGCAACCATAAATGAATTTTGGTATTCGTTTTGTTGGAGACGCAGTAATAATATTTTATGGGGAGGGTGGCGAGGATGAAGGGGCGAGAGTGAGAAGAGAGGAAGAGCGGAAGAGGAAGAGAAGGGAGGGGGGAAAGGAAAGAGAAGAGTGTAAAAGTAAGTGGGAGGAAAAAAAAAAAAAGAGGCCAAGGACGTTAAAGAGTATGGTAAGAGTAAGAGAAAGTGAGAGGACAGGACGGAGACAAGCACTCTACTAAGGTACCCAAACAGACGCCAGACCAACCACAGCAATAAAATAAAATAAAACAAAAAAGCATTCGGGTGGGAGAAATACGGACGCGAATGCAAATGGGTTCCCCTTGCGACCACCCCTCTTGACTGATAGTCGCGTAGTCGTCGTCGCCGCCTCTGAGTATCTGGAGACCTCAGCACGACGGGATCTGCCCTGGATGGAGCACAAGCAGGATCAGGATAGGAGTGGATGTCAAGTAGAAGAGTCAGACCGCCAGGGGGGTCTACATGCAGAGGCAGCAACAGTAGTAGTGGTGTTATAGTGGCAGTGGCAGCAGCAGCAGCAATAAAGAGGGTAGGCGGATGGCCCAGGAATAATTAAAGCGCAGTTAACCCCGGCTCCCTTCACTTGAATGGCACGTCTCGCCTCGGTGGATGAATTAAAAAAAGAGACTCGAGGGGGGGGGGGGGGGGGGTATTGGAAGATGAGGGGAGACCACAACTGACTGGCCGGCGGGCGTAGACTTACTTGAGCTCGGGCATGCGACAAGGCATGATAGACCCGACCGAGGACAAAAAGAGAGAAAGTCCCAAACCTTGGTCTGATGGGGTATGGGGATCAGGATGGGGATGGAGCATGGCATGGCAAGGGCATGGACAGGTCGACTGAGATGGGACGGGATAGGATAGGATGGGATGGGATGGGATGGGACGGGCATGGCCTCACTCTCTTGCCTGTGGCGGCCCATCTTCGCCCTTCACCGACCTGGTACACAGGAGACCAAGGCAAGGGGGGGACGGGATTAGTAGCGGCAGGCAGTGCAAGCATGGCATTAGTATCAGACTCTCGAGGCAAGCAGCAAATAACCGCGGCCAACGGTTGTGTCAGTGACAGATGACACAGAAGAATTAGAACAGTAGTGGAAAGCAGACTGATACAAGAGAGCAAGAGGGAGACGGAGAAAGAGACAGAGAGGGCAAGCCGGGCTATCCTCAACGCAGGGTAAGTGTGTTCAAATCCAAGTTGAAACTGTCCAATTACAGACAAGAGAATTACATTTTGGCTCCGGGGAATCGAACGACAAGACGGGCTTTGATGCGGCGGCGGCGGAAGAGCAAAGCGCAAGAGTAACAAGGTATGGTAAGAGAAAGAGAAGGGACAATAAGGCAGTGACGGAGTTGGCTATGCCCAGAGGGGAGGCAGGTACACCAAGTGGTGTTAGTTGGAGAGGTCCAGGTCTAACATGATGTGTGTGATAGCGATTACGTTGTACAGTAAGCGTATCGGAGGAGAGGGGCGGTCGATGTCTTGCCTTTTTCCCACTTGCTGGAAAGGCGCGAGGCTAAAAGGGGCAGATATGGCCGTTTTCGTTGCATGCGCACCCCCCCGGACAAACTACTACTTGGTTGAGGAAGAGTCGGGCATCTCTGCGGTGAAGAACCAACCAGAGACGGCGTGGTTGAAGGGATCTGAGAGATAGAGACAGAGAGAGGGAGGTGTGTAACAGAAAGGAGGGACAAACCTGAGATTTTTCTCCACAAAAGCACATGGCAAAAGGCACAAGAGACATGGGGCTGCTAGGAAAGTGAAAGATAAAGCACGAGACACATCGGCCAACTGATGGGCGCGACCTTATCTCTGTCCATTCCTGGAGCAGCACGGGCAGAAAGATGCTACGAGACAGAAATACATAATAGCATTTGGGCAAATCATGGCTCATATATTTGACTGTCAGGTAAGTTCCTAGCCACGGGCCCTCACCCCTGGTGCTGCAAGATCCGAGTCGGCGGTACTCGGGCGGAACATTAGGCCCACAAGCTTCCACAGCCTTTCTGCAGCTCTGTTGCGACTATGTGCCACTTCGAGCGCTTGTAGCGCGTTCGTACAGCGGCACGGACAGCGGACAGCCCCGGTACATTGTACTATGTGTGCCCCTCTTTCCTGGCTAGAGTGGCTCCCATTACCTTATGAAAAATCCGGCGGTAGCCTGATTGGGACTAACGCGGCAATACTGATAACGTAACAGTTGTATATTGCCGAGTCAGGGCTCTCGCGAACCTCCAACTTTTGGCTCCCCAGTAGCCATGTTTGATGCCATATCCAGTATGTCCAGCATCCCCCCCCAAGCAGTGACATGCGTGTGCTGTCTACCTATTCCAAGGTAAGATACATCGTCCGTTACTACCTTGCTTTGGTTGCCATGTAAGTTGCACTTTACCTGCCTGCTCAAGTCGCATGCAAGCCCGACGTGCAGCGTGGCAGTAGCAGCAACACCAGTGATAGACCCGCCAGATGTCTGTAGGGATAAGCCTGGCTATGCAGCATCCAGAATGGGGGCCACCACACACTCACTCACCCACCACCATGTTCAACCAGCAGCAACACCATCATCGTCCCTCATCCATGACCGCAATCATGACACAAGTCGGTGCTACGATGTGCGCTTCTGCCATCGACTCGGCCTTATGTACGGAGTAGTACTAGGTAGCATGCCAACTTACTCTTACCGACTCCAACTGGGCACAGAAATCAACCAACAGTACCAGACCGTGCTGAATTTACGATTCCGATTACCTACAAATTCCATCATCATCGGCAGGATCAACAGACGCTTGTGACAGCGGATGGCCAAACGAAGACGGTGAATCCCTGATATGCCGCGCCAACTGCCTACCTAATCACCGCTCCGCCGTTGCGCCGCAGGGTCCTTTTCGATTCTTGACTCCTGCCCCCTGTCATACCTCACATTCCTTTTCATTCTTGTCTCGTCCTGTGTGGTCCCTCAGTTGAACCCCATTTCCATGCGTTGGGTCAGACACGGATGCGTCGTTCCCTTTTACTTACAAGATATAAACGACAAACGATAAACCAAACCACTCGGGACGGCGACGCCTGGGCCCTGATCTGATGCAACTATCCGGCTATGCCCGATGCACAGGGAATATGTCCCAGTCCTTGATATTCTAAACGCGGTCAAGTGTCCTTTGCCTGTCCCCGAATCGGCGTCAGGGGGGTGGATAGGCATTCTCTTACTCCCTAGTACAAGAGTCTCCAACCATATAGTGATAGAGATACCTCATAACTCACCACCCTCAGGGCTCTCCAACGCCAGATCTGGTGGACCGGCGTCAGCTCCTGGTAACGCGGGGTTGCGGGGCATCCACCACATCTGGCCTCCTGCGAATCATCGACCCTGCTTTTCCTGTTTGTTCTGCTAATCATGCCAAATCATGCTAATCTATTTTTCTGCATCGGTTTCTGTTGCCATCGGAATTAAACCGCAGGGCCAAAACAATAAAAAACAGCACCAGAAGAGGGGGGGATGGGGAAAGAAGAGGAAGAAGGAAAAAACCACTCATCAATTCACCCACTTCGCCCACCACCACAACCATCCACGTCAATCTTGGCCTACCCACAGTAAACGCTTACCCTGCCATTCTTTCCGGCCAAACGGCTTCCTTTCCAACCTCCTGCTCTCTTTGCCAACGGTCGTACTGCATCTCATCCGTCTCATCCTCTCCCAATTGTCATGTCGGCTCGTCTGCCGAGAAAGCTGCCCCCCTTCCCTACCAAATGTCCCTCGTGCTCAACTGCCTTACGTTTCCTTCAACTAATCGCCTCAACGCCTCTCAAAAACGCTTAAAATCCCTTCCCATCAACCCCTGCCGCTGACCCCCACAAATCCCTGCATCTCGTGTCTCTTCCGACCGCCTCTCCTCAACAATCCGCAAGCCACAGCCCTTCTCCAGAGACACATCCTCGTGGGGGATTTCTCCCATGTGTCGTGCCGCATCGTGAACTCATCACACACGCACACTCACGCACATACACACATCGACCCCCTAACCCAGCAGCTCCAGACAAGGGGAACCCTCGCGTACATGCCCAGCCGGTTCTTACGTCATTAATGTCCAAATACCGCTAGGTTCACGATGCCTGCCCGGCGGCTCTATCGCTAGCGTTCCGGGGGCCGTCGGCGGTACACGAGTGCGCCTGTGCTTGCCAAGTTGGACATCGGGTCATCGTTTGCCATTTTCCCAACCGGCAGCTCCCGCCCCGGTGAAGATTTGCCCGAACATGTGCTGTCTCGGTCCGAGGAGACCGCCGTATGAAGATAACAATCCAGACGAACGGGAATGAGGTTGCTTAGGTGAAGCATTGTGTTTTTATTTTATTTTATTTTTTCTTCATCAACTTCTCATCTTGTCTTGTGCGGTTTCTAGTTTGCACACTATTCCTCTCGCGCTTGTTGCCCAACGTTCGTTTGGTGCCCACACCGCCCATGACTTTGAGAAACGATCCAGGGGTGTGTGTATTTTTTACTCGCCCGCATCTTCCTCGCCAGTAGCGAACTTCTTACGTGCAAAGCTGCAAAAATGCGGTCATATCAAAGCCCGAAATTCTTCTTCAGGAAGCACCTGCTGTCGTCGGAACGCTGAAGTTGACCCAGTCGGAGCTCCTCCAATCGTCCTCGGGACCAAATGCCTTAGTCGATAGTACCGACGTTGAGGAGCGCGTAGGCTTCCGATGTGGGCACGGGCAGAAGCTTACGTTTTGGGAAGCGATAGGCTTTGAGAAAAGCAGGATGAATCCCAGCTGAGGTCCCGCCAATTTGCCGTGTTCTCCTGTGATCAAGGTTAGGGCGGCAAATTTAAGGGTCGCTGCCACTCTATTTCAATTTTTAATCACGATACAAACGCTAATGCCAACCCAAACCGGTGAACAACAACGTTCGAGACCATGTGCATCCGCTGATCTTAGGAAATCTGATTGGTCATGGAATCCTACCGTGTGCTAAGCCCAGCCCTGTGAGTGTGTGTGTGTGTGTGTGTGTGTGTACTATGTATGTGTGTATCAAAAGACGCCGCTCTGTTCTCCGAGGTCAAACAAGGGAAGATAAACCATCAATCATCGACTTTCGGGATAATTCACGGGGCTGCTGTCCGGCGGAAGTCTTCCGTCTGCTGATCCCCTACTGGTCATGAGACTTGAAATGTGGTGATGTTGCGAGGGGGGGGGGGGGGGGGAGGGGGAGGGAACTGTTTGGTAACTTGAGGACATCACAGTGGCAGGGAGGGTGTGTTTGGGACATTCACATCGACGTACCCCTCCATTGGACTGTTTCTTGGGAAGCTCGAGGGGACGTTTCAGGGTATCTGATGCGTCCTCATTTTCGAAGATCCCATTCTTCGCCGAGAGTATCATCTGCTCACTTGATGAACCGCACCCATCTCGGACACGCCTTGCTGACGGACAATATGTGGTGGCATCAGCCATGGTGATCATGGGCGTCTCTGACTGCGTACCAGGTCCGACGGAGTCTTTGGACGTCTCTTGGCGCGGATATGCCAGCATACAATGATTCCTTCGTTTAGCCGAAGCTGCGGCCCTATTCCAAGAGCATACAAACCTCCTCGTAGACTCCTCCAGCCTCGACCTGTGCAGGTATGCTCATCCGAAACCCCCCGACTTTGACGAAGCCCAGCTTCTCGTAGAACGGTACGGCGTCCATCGTGCTCTCCAAGAACACCTGAAGCCCCTTGCCCTTCGCTTCTTTCGTGACGGCACGCATCAGTGCCGTCCCGGCACCGCGGCCCCGGAAACGGTCGTCGGTACACAGAAACGTCAGGTCTAGAACGCCCTTGGGGGCCATCCCCGACGAACGGACCACCGGGCACCGCCCGTGGCGGAGGCCGGCGGAACCGGCGGCGGGGATCGCCCACGACATGTCAGATTCCGGGTCTTGCATTAGCGCTCAATGGCCGCGCGATAAGAGAGGCGCGTTTGTCCGTTTGAGGGTGGGTAAAGCGTGGGTTCGCAGTGCGAAAATGTGGTTCCGCGGAGATAGTGATGAAATGGTAATCTCCAGGTTCACCCCCAATGACACCAGAAAAAGAAAGGGAACCAAAAAAAAAAAAAAAAAAAAAAAAAAAGGGGACAAAATGAACAAGTCCCTCCCCCCTCTTCAATCACCCCGGCCCACAAAGCAAAAGCGACTTCGGAGCCGGACCTTTTAATTGCGGACTTTGCTCGAAATGACAACGTCGACCTTGGCGGGGAAACGGGGGGACGCACCACACTACCGCTCGGGGGGTTCTACTTCTGCCTGCCGTGATTGCCAGCTATGCTCGTGGTGGGAGGGGGGTGTGTGTGGTTGAGGTGTGTTTTGGAGATTGACGCGACATTTTCCGAAAATTTCACGTAAGGGAAATTCCGGGATGGGGAGATGATGATGAGATTATGGATATGAGCCGCCTTGGATAAAAGCGGCAGAAAACGAAGCCGCAGCAGGCACAACAATAACAGCAGCAGCAGCAAGCCAAAGAGGAAAATGAAAAATTTCACTCACGGACGAATGGCCGGGAGCCAATTGCTTCCCGACGAGCGGTTGACGCTGCGGATGAGTAGGCGGTGAGGTATTCTTGGTTCGCCGATTCGGGCCACTCCTCGTCTTCGTCGCCCTCCTCCTCCTCCTCCTCTTCGTCTTCGTGCCCTTGGTGTTCTCCTGTATGACGAGACTCACCCGCTTCTAAGCGTCGCGAGCCGAGTGTGGTGGACACTCCGACGACGTCCCATTTCACAAACGAAGCGATGGTGCCGCCTGCCTCTGATGATGGTGCGCTGTCACAGCCGACGCCGTCGCTGCTGCTGCTGCGGGCGACGAGGACCCGCGATGCTGCGAGGTGGCGGAGGGTGTCTTTGGCGAGATGGTCGTGGAGGTCTGCGAGGCTGGCAGGGGTGGGGAATTGCAGATGCAGTAGCGGGTTCGACGACATTGAGGAGATGTGGATTGAGGCGATTCGCGCCGCCTCATGCGGTGAAGGGTGTGACACTGTGAACATGTCTTTTTCTCGGTTTCCCCCTCTTGTTTCTTTCCCCCCTTGGTGATTTGTCGTGTGATGTGTTGCTGGTTTTGGGTCCTGGTCTTTTTTCTTTCTGGAAAAGGAAAAAAAAAAAACCTGAGAAAAGTCCTGTATGAGGTAAGACATGGAATGGGTCTGAGTGGACATGGTAATTGATCATGTGACGACGGCCATGACGACTTCTGATATGTTTAACATGGAATCGTCAAGTCTCGCGAGCGCATATGGACACAAGTAGTAATTGCTTTGTATGGCCAGACTAGACAGCTGGCGTCGATGATATTTTGAGTTAAACAGGGAGAAGCTGAGGTTCGTTTGTTGGCTTGTACTAGTGGCTTCAGTAGTTCTTCGTCCTTCATATGCATACGATGTCGACTCATGTTTGCTTCATCGCCTGACATCTTCGACCGGTTCGGGATGGCGAAGAGCGTTACTGCTCGGCCAAACCTCGTGTAGATTTCTCTTTATCGTTGGTGATGAGTTTCGCTCCTAGCCAATGCCTATCTGTGAATAACACCTATATCATCGCATCTCGAGCTAGTGAACTGGTCACTAAGTTTGAATGAGCTACGTGACACATGCCTGACAGTCATATGCCATGGCAATGGCTTCTGTTGTGCCTTTTTGACCCGAGTCCATTCTGCAAGCCTTCTCATCTGTGAGGAGGATGCTTCAATCTTCTCGTCTTCGCGATGGTTGAAGCTAAAACTTCGATTCCTTGTTCTATCGAGGAGAGGCTCCTGCTGTCCTATAGGAGGTGATGCATAGGAAAGCATCTTTTAACGTGACAACGGTTTTGCTACGTAAAGTCAAATATTTTGTCTCTTGCAACTTGGCTCACACCAAGCAAATCATCTAGAAAACTAGATTCGTTACCGTGCGCGTGCTTCGACACGTCCCTGTCGAGTTCTCTCACTAAGGATGCAAACATTATGAATGTATGGGTAGAATTCAGCATTGCAAAATCGTTACGCCTGCTATCATGTTTACTCTGGAAGCATGTACCTTTCTTGAGAAAGACTCCCACTTAACCCTACTCAACACCAATTGAAACGAAACTGGTATCGGGTGGGCATATGGTAACGAAGAAGAAATAGCAAGCGACAAACGTATGTATTGAGGCAGAACTTTAATGGTTTCATGGTAAAATGCCCACCCAACATGCCTCGTTGCATCTCCTTAACTCTTCGAACACCAAAGTATCCCAATCCATCTTTTAAGAATACCGGCCGTCCTCTCCAATCTTTCCAATAACAGGCTCCAGCAACAGGGGCAGCGCCTCCGCCGAATCCCTCGCAAATGCAAAGTCCCCGGGACGCAGCTTGGCCATCTGACCCTTGTCTTGAGCCTCAGGGTTGATGATACACACCCGTGCACCCGCCTCGTGCGCCTTCATGATATACCCAGCAGCAGGCCACACCTTTGCCGAAGTACCGATAACAAGCATTAGATCGACCTTCCCCTGTTCAACCCACGCGTCAACACCATTGAGCATCTCCTCGTCGAGATTCTCGCCGAACCAGACAACTCCCGGGCGGAGCAGACCCTCCTTGCAAGACGGGCAGTGCGGTAGGTCCTCGTCGTTGATTTTGGCGAGCTTCTTCTTGGGGTCAAGCAGCGGCAGCGTTTGGTTGGGGTCCTTGACGTCTTCTGATGCAGGAGCGAGGGCTGTACACAACGGGTCGGCGGTGTTGTTGCGTTCAATGTAGTCGCAGTTGGCACACTTGATGTCGAAGAGGCTGCCGTGTAGGCGGCGCAGTTGTTCTACCTTGTGGCCGGCCTGCAGGGAGAGGTCTATCTACGTTAGTCATGTTTCCTATTCATGATAATATCATTTCCCTTTCTTGTTTTTGCAGACCATTAGAAAACAGACAGCCAGGACTGGAGATGGTGAAAGGCTTTGGTCTTACCGTCAACGTTTTGCGTCAGGCACAAAAAGTCTGGGTTTTTCTCCGCCAAGGCCGCCAGCGCGTGGTGTCCCGGGTTTGGCTTCACTGTGAGTGCCATGTGTCGACGGTACGCGTAAAACAACCATACCAGCCCAGGATCGTTGCGGAACGCATTCATGGTCGCCAGCGAGGTGGCATCGTGGTTGCGCCAGAAGCCCCCGGCGCCACGAAAAGTAGGCAGGCCCGAAGAAGCAGAGAGACCTGCACCGCAGAGGGCTAGGATGCGCTTGCTTGAATTCAAAGCCTTGTGGAATTCCGCGACATCGTTGTGCTTGCGCTGAGGCATGGCTGTTGTTTGAATGGGGCGGCGGTTTGCTGGTTTAACTGTCAGCTCACAGACACAGATTGCCAGTCGAGCACAGATATTTACCAATTGGAGTCGAAGGGTTACTGAAGCAAGTGTGATGTTTCAAAGCTAATTGCCGTCCAGATCTAGTGATACTATATCTCATCATTAGGCGACGCACCGGTATTTGAAGGGTACTTGGTTGGAGGCGACCCAGGCAACCGTTTGCCATCAGGCAACGAGAGGGGCAGCGGTGCCTGGTAGGCAATGTATTAGTAGGTCGCAGATGTCTAAGATGGCCAACCAGAGAAAATCTTCCATGCGCTTTCGAACTTATGTTATGTGTTGATTTCAATTCCACTGTTGATGGTCAATCAGCATTCGAGATGGTCACGACCATGTAAGTGGCCGAAGTTGACAAGTTGATGTGGGGGTATTAGCGAACCAAAGCAACTGGCTCCACTTTTATAAAGTCTGTCAGTGACATCACACCGTGACTATACCATAACTACATCACTTAGACCACTTTGAACAAATTATGGTACCAAATTATTATCATGATTCTAGGGCATTTTGACCCTCGAGTTGAGATTTTTATCTATCTCTCTATGCTTCTATAATGTAACCAATTCGCTATGCCCTCTATATGCACCCAAGTCATGTCATCAACCTCGTCTTATGTACAACACTGTGGGAGAAGGCGCCCATCAACGCCTATCATCCCAAGGTATCACGCCGTAGTAGTCTTAATCCCCAGATTTAGTTCTGGAGGACGTAGCGGTAGCGGGCCTTGCCCTCCTCGAGGTCGACGATGGCCTGGTTGGCCTCGCTCATGGGGCGAAGCTGGATCCAGGGCTTGACGTTCTTCTCGGCGGCAAGCTCCCACATCTCGCGGATCTCGTGGGGAGAGCCGATCAGAGAACCGGTGAACTTGACACGGCGCATAACGAGGGGCGCGGGAGCGATGGTGTAAGCACCGTCGTCGGGCATGCCAACCTGGACGAGGGAACCGTCCAGCTTGATGAGGTTGAGGTAGTCCTGCATGGGGATCTTGGAGGAGGAGACGGTGGAGATGACCAGGTCGAAGGTGTTGGCGTACTTCTTGGCCCAGTCGCCCTCCTCGCCGGTGGCGATGTAGTCATCAGCGCCCATCTTGAGGACCTCCTCGCGCTTGTCGGCTCTGCGGGAGATACCGACAACCTTGTCGGCGCCCATGGCCTTGGCGAGCATGATGGCCATGTGGCCGAGACCGCCGACACCGCTGACGGCGACGGTCTTGCCGGGGCCGCAGCCGTGGTTCTTCAGGGGAGAGAAGACAGTGACACCACCGCACAGCATGGGCGCGGCGTAGGCGGACTCGAGACCGTCGGGGATCTTGACGACGAAGTGCGAAGGGCAGCGGTGGTACTTGGCGTGGCCACCCATAGCCTTACCGCCGTTGTAGTGGAAAGCGCCGTAGGTGTGTACGGACTTGGGGCAGTACTGCTCGTTCTTGGAGGCGCAGGGCTCACAGTCGCCCTGGCGGCCGAGGCAGGAGTCGGACTGGGCACCGACACCGACGCGGTCACCAACCTTGATGTTGCCCTCGGCCTTGGAGCCGACGCGGACGGCGACACCAACGATCTCGTGGCCGACACAGACGGGGTAGGGAGCGGGGCCCTGGTGGTTTAAAGTTAGCGTACCGTTATTGAAAGATGAGAGTGCAAGTGAGGGGATGTTAGCTTACCCATCCGGAGCGGAGGACGTGGATATCAGAACCGCAGACGCCAGAGTGGGTGATCTGGATGTCGACGTCGGTCTCCTCCCAAGGCTTAGGCTCGTACTCCTGCCAGACCATGTTGCCCTCGCTAGACTTCTCGTCCAGGCCAACCCAGCCCTCGAACTTGTAGTCGGTAGCAGCCATTGTGATGTGTTGTTGTTGTTTTTATAAAAAGTAGAAAAAGAGGGTATCTAGAGAATCTCAAGAAAGAAGAAGCTTGATATTGAATTGTGTGTCTACACTAACAAGCAAAGGCTCTGGAAAGAGGGAGCAACTCTGCTCTTTTAAACATGAGAGACCCCGATCCGCAGAACAACGTTAAGTCCTAAAAGCCATCGGCGAATACGTACTAACGCCGGCGTCGACCAAGAAACCATGACTTGGGACGAAATAATCCACGCAAGAGAAAAAAAAAACTGCAACGTGGGTGGAGTCAAACAGCGGGAACGAACTGGGAACACTACGGCATCAAGTGCGGCTCGATGCCGCGGCTCAGATCGATGTAAGAGAATTCGTTAGTGTACCCGTCGGTGGTTCCCCCAGCGGCGAGGCGGTTTGAGGAGCGGAACTTTTCCAGAAGAAAGTCAAAGAAGGTCAAAATGCGTCGTCATGATTCGCCAGACCGAGGGACCGGGGGGGGGGCCTCTCCTTCCTTCATGCCGGTGGGTTCGGCGATTATCTGATTAGAAATCTTGTCGAACGCCCTTCTCCGATGGGCAAGGGGCTGGCGCGAGATTATGGGAGCACCGAAACCGTTTTCTCCATCACTTGCGGCACTTGTCGCTCTATCAGACGACATTGGGCTCTCGGACATGATTCAGGGATTAATCAATGAGGCGAAAAGGGAAAAGGAAAGGGGAGGGGCCAGGCGTGGGCTGTCGAACACGTCTGCAGATGGGGCTAAAAGGGCCGTAGGCGATAAGAGAAGGTCCAGGGATGTTCTTGGCCGCCAGTGCCGAACAATCATGGTGTTTTGATGTCATAGACTCCAGAAATTTTCGGCACTTGGACAGCTTTACACCGCCAGGTGATGGGGCGGGAAAAAAGAGGGCAAAATAGCACATGGAAAGATAAAAAAAAAAATGGAGTTTTTACCAAGTGATTGGAGAAGTGTAAGGGACTTTCTGTACCCTTCTTCCAAGTCTTCCAAGTCAAGTCGTGGAGAGAGAGTTGTTGATGAAAATGGGTATCCACTGCAGAAAATTTGCCTCTTTTGTCTCTTTTGGTCGTCTTTCTTTTTGCTCTAACCTTTCACCTTATTCCTACTTTACAGCCTATTGATGCCCTTTTGCGGCTCTGGAGTGTTGCATTCTTACGTCAATTGCGGGATCTTCCGTGGCTATGTGACTGCGGTATTCGTCCGCTCTGGGTATCGCTTCTGGCAAGCTTCTAGAAACGTGCTTTTTTGTGGGTTCCAGCTGGGAAACTCTGCCGTGCAGGGGCCACTAGCACGTCACTATCGATCCGCTTCCCGCCGGCCATTCCAGTCGGCGTCTCCCGTCCCGTCAGTATCGCAGAGTCAGATTGACGGGCGGAATTCCAACTATTTTTTTAAGGTTCAGATCATCGAATTGCCAACTCCACAAGGGGACGTCAGTGGGATAAGATCTGACGACGTTCTTGGGACGGGGAAGCTCTCGGTGAAGGGCGAGTTTGCATTCTATTGCTGCTCACCGAGAGGGCTTGTTGTTCTGGGGCCTGGAACCTTCTTTTGGTGACCGGGACCGGGGATGTAGATGGGTGACAGCGCACGGAAATAACTCGTATGAAGGGGACTCGCAATAATTGTGGGATACCAAGTTTCGCGCATTGCAGCAGCCACTATGCCTCTCTCCTCTTCCTTATCAATTCCGCACTTGCCGCGTGCCAGGATGCTTCACCGTCAATCAACATCGTCCGATGGTTGAGCAAACAACGATACATCCTAACTCCGAGCAACAGACCCCGTGTCGTGACTGACATTGTAGACCTATAACATCGCTCCTTGAGATCCCGACTTGAACTACGGCTGTTGCGCCCGTGGCCGGCGTGCGTCGATGCAGTTCAATCGCCGTGGATCCGGTTTTGAGGGTGGAGAGGTCGAATCGTACGAAAAACTACACCGACAATCTGTTACTATTGTTGAATCACCAAAGCGCCCGTGTGATATGTCAGTGCGGAAGAAAAAAAAAAAAGAAGAGGAAAAAAAGGGTCTGGAAAGGGGGTCTGCAACCAACTTTGACACGCCGGTGCCGGATCGCCAGTTGTGACGTTAGACCGGACCGTTGCTTGACTCTCTCGCAGCTGTAAGATGGTAGGTGATCGCCGGTATAGTTTGCCACTGCAGAAAATCGACCGACGTAATCATGCGCCGTACCTTGCATGGACATCCCCGAGCACACCATCCCTCCCGAATATGCATGCACGGATCCGGCAACTTGGGACCCCACTACGCCGACACACTTCACGGCCGCAGCCCCGAGACCTCGGAGTACGCGGCGGGACATGAGTGGATATCGACCCGGGAGAAGAACGGCGCAAGTTACTCCGTACATGGCCGTTCAGACGACAGCCCGAACGAAGATGTGTAATCTCGTCTCTCCCGGCTGGCTCCCTCGGGTGATCTTGTTCTTCTCCACCCTCCGTCCACCGCACCCATGGCCGCGCCCTGTTCCCTAAATCCTATACGGAGTACCGGCCGAGACAATTAATATTACGCCGAGTCGCTTCCCAGTAGTCTACTTCCTACCATGCACACGTGCACGCCTTACCATTTCCCCTGCGGATGCATATGGCACGGATACCAATGCAAGGGCCCCGGAGTAAATCATTCTCAATTTGTGATGACGCCGTATTGTCTCCCCCCCAAACCGCGCAAACATCCAATCACCCAAAATTAAAATGACAACAAAAGAGATACCAGCCACGAGAAGACAACCGTCATTTCCCTACTCGCAACTGACGTTGACGTAAAGATGCCCGCTTGGCGGCTGGGACGGCACCAGGGACTCCCAAACCGAGGCTTTTCGGTTCACCGTCGCCGGGCGGAGTACCAATTTCACTGGGAGCTGGGCGTCCTGGGAAAGGAAGGGGGGGGGGGGGAGGTTTGAGGTGCATCCATCCAGCAGGCAACGGCGAACCCACCTGATCGTTGGTGGTCGGCAAGTATCCGTCGGACCCGGACCAACACCACAACAAGGGGGAAACCCGTAGACAATTACAAGTAGTACGTTTAGTAGCGAGGCAGCAGCCGCAAGGGGGCAGACCTACAGGCGGAATAATAAATTGGACACGCAATGTAGTGTGCACCACGCACGGAGAGACATTTCTTTTACGCCGCAGGGCGAGGCGGTATTGGCTCAGGGCAAAGCAATATTAGGTCCAAGGCAATGAATATCCATCCCCCCCTTTCTGCCCGATTGCAAGCACCAAGAAATGAGGGGCAAAGAAGCCGAAGGAAGTAGTGCCAAAAAAAAAAAAAAAAAAGGACGGACGACGACAGAGAAAAATGCCTGACGTGATTCCCCTTTCCTTTGGCCAAATGAGAAAAGTACCGTGCATCATTAAACGCCCAGATGAATAACTCCAGGGGAGGGGGGGGGGATGGCGGCCATGCGGCACGGCGGGCACGTCACGATACCAGACTACAACGGCGGTGGTCTGCACAAACTGGTTGGTTTGGTAAAATCGGTTGGAAATTTCGTCTACACCTCTTTCTTTTCCTTTTTTTTTCTTTTTTTTTTTTTCGCGCCAAAAAGTGGAAATTGGACCCGGATAAGGTAGAGCGCGGCCCGCGCTTCTTTTCCCTCCTCCTCCTCTTCCCACCCATCAAACATTCAATTGCAATTGTCCCTCTCTCTCCCCCCTCCCCACCGACTCAACCCGATATGTGTGGGTCAACCCCCCCTCTTACCAAGTACAATGCTCCTTAACTTCAAACGTGGGAAATTGCAACCCCTCGTATACCGCCAAGGTGATTTACAATTGATCTACAGGACAATCGAGTCGACAGAAAACTCAATCTTTGATTGTAAGATGAGACAACTCACGAGATGGGGGCGCGCACGAGAAACATTAAGGTTTTTTGGTTGGTTTAAAAAAAGGATGTCTGTTAAGTAAACTCGTTCGATTTCCCCAGAATGTGGAGAAAATCGAAACTGTTCTAAGGTATCATTATCCATCTGCCGCAAACGACACAAAATACACACCAAAAAACGTCTAAACCTCCAAAGGGTCCGGATAAGCTGGATTGTTCTCCGTGGTTGAACCATGGGTCACCATCGTCGTCCATATCCCCTTTCTGACTTCTTCTCCTTGCCTGAATAAAATAAAATAGACACCTTGAAAATCGCAAGGCCGTCGCGGATCTAATCCCCAATCCCCTTCAAGGATCCGAGGAAAAGCCGCGGAGAGCGTGATCATTAAAAGTACCAGATTAAGTCAAGGTTGGCCTCGACTGATCGTCAAAGACGCCCCCTCCGAAGCGGGGGTTGGCCTGCGTACTTCAGCCGGGTTAAGGATCGTGGTGAAATTGTTTTTCGCAAGAATTCTACAACCCGCTCTCCGTCGACGGAATTATTTGTGTTGGGTTTCATACGCGTGTACGGTCGTTGATTAGGAGTTGTCCATCGGAGCTGCTTACAGCAGGAAGGTGAAGAAGAGACCGGCGGCACCAAGAGCCAGGTTGGCCTTGTTGATGTAGCCGGCACCGGTGACGGTGGCGGGGGCAGTGGTGGTGCTGGAGGCACCGGTCTGAGAAGCACCGGTGGCGCCGGAGCCAGAGCCGGAGCCAGAGGCGGAGGCAGAAGAGCCGGTGGCAGAAGCCTGAGCAGAGCCGGTGGCAGCGGTAGCGGGGCCGGAAGCGACGGTGGACAGGGTGGTCTTGGACTCGGCCTTGGAGGTGGTCTTGCTGGAGGCGGCGGAGGAAGAGGACTTGTCGTCGGTGCTGCCGTCGGTCTTGACGATGATGGACTCCCAGCTGCCGGAGCGGTCACCGTAGACGTAGGAGGTGGCGCCCTTCTTGCCACCCTGGTAGTCGGTGATGGTGATGCTCTTGTAGTAGGCGTTGAAGGGAGCCTCGTTGAAGTCGGTGTAACCACCAGCCCAGTCGACGGTGCCCTTGGGGGCGTCCTTGCGGCCGGCAACCCAGGTTCCGATCTTGACCTCCATGGGAGTCTGGGGGTAGCGGGATCCGCCCTTGGCGTCGGCGTACTTGAGCTCACGGACGAGGTTGCCGTCGATCAACCACTTGACGGAGTTCTGGTCCCAGTCGATGGTGTAGGTGTGGAATTGGTTGATGGGGTCAGCGACGGGGTGGTAGGCACCACGGTCGTAGGTGGTGGTGTCACCCTTGCCGAAGTAGTTGGTCTGGACCTGAGCGGTGTCGCTGCCAATCCACTCCCAGTCGATCTCGTCGAGGTCGTCGGACTGGAGGACGACGGAGGTCACGACACCCTTGCCGGGGGCGGCCTTGAGGACGACCTCGAGCTTGCCGAAGAAGATGTACTTCTTGGAGGCCATGGTAGGAGCGTCGGTCTCCTTGTTGATGGCGAAGAGAGCACCCTGGTCCTCGAACTTGACGGAGGTACCATCGAGCTTGCGGAAGATGTCGTCGTTGTTGCCCTTGGTGAAGTCAATGCTGACAGACTTGCCCAGGGCAGGATCAGCGGGGCAGTCTAGCCAAATTATGTTAGCAAAAAAGAGCCTTTCACATCACAGAGAACAGAACCCAAAAGACGAGTTCGGAAGAGATGTTGCGACTTACCCTTCTTGGTAGGGTCACAGGTGGTGAAGGTCTGGGCAGAGACCATGCTGGAGGCAGCAAGAGCCACGGTAGCGGCGGAGAAGATCTTGGAGAACATTTTGCCTGTGATCGAGTATATGTCGAGTAGGAGCAAAGGGTGAAAGGGTTGAGAGGAAAAAGTTGAAGAAGGTTCGACAAGATATGTATAAGAGGCCGGGTGTGTAACTTAATTAAGAGGAGGTTGGGTTATTGCTCGAGTCGGATGTTTTTAGAGGTGGCTTGAGCAGATGTGATAATGTGGAAATGAAAACAAAGGCTATGTCGATTAACGAGAGACAAGCAAGTAAGCTAGAAGAGGGTTGTAGGAGAATGCTCGTGAGAAAGCAAGTTAGGAAAGGTGAGGAGGGAGGTGAGTACAAGTAGGCAGAGACACGATGGGGGGGAGATGAGTTTATTAGTCTTTCCAACGAGGCACAGCACAGCACAGCACAAGAATTGTCCGAGGCAGTAGCCAGCAATAGCACCAGGCAGGCAAGCAGGAACCCAGGCAGACTACGAACGGACTAGTAGCCATTACCCAAAGTAAGGCAATGGAGACATGCCATCCCATGGGACCTTGTGTAGTGGAGGGCAGAAGCACGAACTGGGTGCCCAGTGTGTACCCAGAGTATCCGTAGCCAGACTGGGGTGGGATGGAGCTGGGCGAATCAATACGACCTCGTACCTTATTCAGGACCCTGCACTGGCCCTTGGTTTAAGGAGGGGGGTGACTGTCATCGGCCAAGCCTTTCAGTCCTGCACCATCGGCAACCCCTGGTCTTGGGGCGTTCCTATGCAGGTAGGTTGGCCGGGGTGATGGGACCGTTCGCTCTTTTTTTTTTGTGCTGGTCTTCTTTGGTGTGTGGGTGCACTTTTGAGTGGCGGCATGACCAGGAGAGTAGACCCAAGCCCACAAGATTGGAGGCCCCTGTTCCCCTCTTCCCCTGGAGCGTGAGCCGGTGGGCTGCTTTGGTGCTGGGTTGTTGCTATTGCTGCTTGCACAAAGGCCCCAATTTTGGTTAATTTGAACGCTGGGGCTGAGGCCAATCAAAGGGAACGGATTCGACCGCTTTGCCCAAAGAAGAATGGCACCGAGCGGAGTGGCGCTGCTTCTTGCTTTTATGGCCAGGATCCCTTTCCGTCAGCACAGAGCCAGAGGCAGAAGTTCCTTCTCGATCCTCCCAACTCGACAGTGGTGTAATACCTGTAATCCTGTAATACCACTAGTATGTACGTACAGGAAGTGAGTAGGAGGGAAGAAAGGACAATGGCCTTACATAGTAGAAAGGTCTGGTACCTGAGGGATCAACGGGGGCTGCAGCGCACATCATCCGTGTTATGACACCTCTTTCGAATACGTGCCTGCTGACAGAGTACCTTGCCTTTCTTTGCCTTGGTATGAACCGTAAGAAATAAACAGTGCCCTACTACACTAATTAGCATTAGCATTTAGCGTATCCGGTACTCCACGGGCGGGCTGTGTCGCTTGTGGTGGTATTGGAGGTAATCTGAATCTGTACATCATCAAATCACACTCTTGCGTTTCGATGCATCATACATCATTGCGAATAATGGCTCACTGATCAGCCCGGCATCATTCCCTGGCAGTCTTTGGGCAAACTCTTGGAACGTTGGAGGGATCAGCGACAGATTGACAGCAACACGGAGAAATTAGAGCACGCTACAAGCAGCGGAATTCCACTTGGCCCTTCTATCAACATCTCGTGATCGTCCTTGTTGACGCTGCCGGACGCTTGAGCCGGCGCCGCTTCCATCGCATTCCAACCCATCGCTGCCACGAGGCAGAACATTCCTGTGTCTACTGCAAGGTAACGTCAAAGTGTGTCAGCCATTCTTATCCATTGTCAAGCATTCAGTCCGCCTCCTTTGTTTCGTTCTCCCGCATTCCAGTCACCACTGGTCAGCTCATGGTCGCCGCTGGTCCTTAGTCAGGTCCCGAGGACCGAGTATGCAAATCGGACATGCTACCGTCACTGCTTACGAGGTCGGCCGGAGGCAATGCTGTTTTCCGCGCATACAAAGTGATCGCATAATGATTGCTCAGGATGACTTACCGAGTATCCTACCAGGTTTCTGGAGAACAACAACACAAACATGATCGATCATCATCCCTTCTCCGCCCGGGCCAGCACCACAGGCACAGGCCACAAAACACAGGGCAACAACGTAGTGGGCAAGCACAGGTCACAGCAGCCTGTCGTCGCATCTTAGGTGGTGTCTCACCCCTCTGAAGCAACGGGGGATCCCTGCGACGCATCCGTGAACCGTCCGAGTCTGCCCTCTGCCTGTCCCCTATTGCACGACTCAATCGACTCAGCAACTTGACTGATTACCCCCCGTATTGACCATGTTAATCCTATCTTTGGCGTCCCCGTCGCCCGATGGCGCGGTGTTGGCCGTGTGCCTCCCGCTGCGAGGCCAAACTCTCGCCCGTCCATTTGGGGAGATCCCCCAAAGACCTAACGCGCTTTAACCTAGCACCGCAATATATCATCTCACCTATTACTACGTATACACACATCAATCTCATCGCGTCTTGTTCCCGGTACGTACCGCCTGGTGGCCTTGCATCATTGGACGGATGCCACGTCAAGACCCTGCATTTTAAACTTGCCATGCGCCTTAGTCTATGAGCGCGCGCATAATAAGGGAGCAAAAGTAAGCAAGCTGCGCCCAGTGATGCAGGAGACGGGAGGCCTGGGCTTTTTTTTTTTTTTTTTTCTCACTCACTGTGTTGTTCTCTGTCCGTAGCATGGTTTGATGATTGTTTCTCGCTCATCTCGTCGTCTGCCTCCCAAAGTCGCGTTCATTGATCAATTGGTTGATCATCAAACTGCATGTTCAACCGGGCGAGACGCACCGAGACCCGCGGCCGCCGCCAGCCAACCACTGTGCCTCGATCTCCGATACTCCCTCTCCTGGTGTCATTTCACAGTTGTAATTTGCTCCGTTTACCCCGTCACTCGTCTCGTCGAGCTGGCGCCTCGGAAACAGCCTCTGCCGCCGTCTCTCTAACCTATCGCCGGCGTCGGGTTACAGTCTACTCAGTCTCGCTTGAAACAGGAGTTCCTCCTTCTCCGGCGTCCCTTGGCTTCTTCTTCGCCATGTTCCACACTTTGACTTGGAGCCCATGGTTCGAAACAACGGCGGGACTCAGGGAAGCCTTTACCCTGTCACACAGTATTGCCAACCCCCCTATCTCCCACCGTCATATCTCTCTACCGTTGTCTTTTACTGTGTAAGAGAAGGGGCGTATTTCTCTTTTTGTCATTTATTCCCTTCCCGTCATTCGCTAGTGAAGTAACCCATCCCTGACACCACAGGGTGCCAGAAATGTCTCCCCACAACCAGCTCGGCAAAGACTCCTTCTGCCGCAAATTCAATTTTTCTTAGTCTCTCAACCGTCGTGCCGATGCCCCGATGACTCCAGAGATCTTCATAATTCTCCGCTGGTAGGCCAAGGGCCAAGGCTGGCCATGGGGCTTCCACCCATCACGCGCCATTTCCAAACACGAAGACGAGTGACAAGACAAATGTCTTTTTATTTTTTTTTTTCTCATTGTTGTTAATTTTTTTTTTGCCTCCGACCTTTCTTCCTCTCGATCTTGGCCTGTGACCAGCCCGTAAAGTCAAACAGACACCGGCGGTGGTGACCATGACAAAGAGTCACAGGGGCGTCGGGGCGGGCAAAGACCCGGCGTGTTCCGCGCCGCGTCCCGCAACGTTCCATAAACCCGAACCCATCAACCTATTTTTTGTCCTTAACACGATGGTGTGGTACTGCTTGCAGGACCCGCGCCTCACTCCAGTCAGGGCTGGGTCAGGCTGGTTGCAACCATCAGCTCGAACGGGCCGATCTATACCGGGCGCCTCTGCTGCTACCTACACTGCCAAAAACAAAACTACTAGTACCTGCCGGACTGTCTTGCAGCATACCTCGTGAACGCTCGTATCCAACTGGCTGGGCTCCCTCTGCCTTACGGGCTGGGTCCTAAACCATGCCGCCGGTGGCTGCCAGAAGATGGCTGTGCTGGGCTGCCAACGGGCAATAGGCTGTGGCCTCTGCTCTGCTTCTCGCTCATCCGCCCCGAGGTTAACCAGCCCTGTGGTGGACACTCTCCTGTCTTTGGTGGCACCTTGCATCTCTTTTGCACTTTTTCTTCTGCTCAATACGCTGCGGAACAGGCCGATCCTGGGTCCGAAACGTCACTCGGCCCACCGATGCCTTGGCCGTGAATGGGTCGGTTTTGTCATGCCGAACCGCCTTCACCGTGGAGACCTGTCTCTGGTCTACATACTCGGTATGTTGTTGAATATTTTCTTCATCACATGATGATCGCTACTGGCTGCGGTGCAGCCCTGCAAGCCAGCCTGTGTTCGGTATCTCCACGCTGTGTGTACATGGTTTCTGTAGCTATGTGTGGAGGAGGCGCAGGGCTTTTTTTCCCAGCGCATCCAGCCGCAGGGAAAGGGCTTTCGCATAACGACCTGATCCTTGGGCCCGGCACTACATTCCTGCCTCTGTACCACAGCATATGTTTGACGGCTGTGAGGCTTGCAGATAAAAGCTTGGGGTTTGCGTTGGTGGGGAGAGAGAGGGGAAGAAACCTACCCAACAGCTAAACACTAACATGTCTTGATCGTTTTTGTCGCCGGAAGCTGCAGCTCGTTAGGCTCAACTCTATTCATGATACGCCCGGGAGTTCAGAATGAGCTGGACGCCTTACGAATACCGCTAGCCGCTCATCGGGGGAAACGACCTAGACACCAGCAGAAGCAGAAAAAAACAAAATGGCATAACCGCCCATTCCAAGCTCGCTACCTAGTCAAAGATTGATTTCCAGGCCAGCCACTAGAACAACATCCAGGCGGTCCCCCTGAAGGCCAAAAAGCCAGAAAGAGCAAAAAAGGGACATGAATGAGCGCCACTAGCGCCTGAGCGTTCTCTAAAATTAAACCCCCCAGCCAGGACGAACCCGCCCATCCACCACCCCGTATTCCCAGTCCAGTTTTCCCGAATGGCGGGCGGCGCTACCATGCCAGATTGATGGACCATCT